CCCCATTGGGACATTGACTCAGTGTCTATAACTGCACTTTACCGTAAATTCTGCAAAATGTGTTGTGTTTTAATAACATTATACTGAGCTACATCAAATGTAAGGATTATTATTTTTATTATTGTTCTAAAATTAGCTCTAAACCCAAAAGATCTTGGGTGAAAGATTGAAAGATTTATTAGTTCATGTTAATTCCCAGGGCAATATCTGGGAATTCATAAATATACTGTATTTTATCAGTAGAAAACAGACAGACTGTCTCTTTTACATGTGCTTTACATCTGAGAGATCAAAGAGAATTTATGGGCATTTACCTTTTAATCTTAACAAAAATGAAAAAAACAGGCTGGCAAAATGCGAATTGAAACTGAGGATTTATAATTGTAATGTGATATTTTATTTCAGATTTCTGACAACATAGTCTCATTGTTGGATAATACAGCCCTTGTAAGGTATGTTCTTCTGTTATAAACTATAAACTTTATTGAACCTAAGTGTTGCCCTGAATATTTTGTTTTTGAAAGTGGAAAATTGTGCTCAGTGGTTAGAGCACTCGCTTTGCAAGCGAGAGACCTGAGTTCAATTCCTGGCAGGGCAAAACCTTGGGCAAGTTTCCTTACTCCACACACCTAATAATAACCCCTCCAAAACCAAAAACAATAATAAATTGGTCATTTTCAATCCACGACTGTTTGTGGGACATTGCTGTGCGCAATTGGCTGCCGTTCGCCCACAAATATACAGTCAATTCACTTTATAGTGTGTTCTGTGAAGCGCTTTGGAACGTCCTCCCGACGTAAAAAGCGCTATATCAAATGCAAGGATTATTATTATTATAATGTCAAAACATTTGCATTTGACTGTGTTACTCACAAGATTTCAGCTCACCTTCCTTAGAGTTGTCTCAGCTCTGGAGCAGCTCCACCCCAACTGGAGTGTGGAGCTGGAGCAGCAGCTGTTTCTCCTCTGCATCCCAATCAAGATGGGTGCCTGTCTGTCTATGAACCTAGATTCCAGGTAATGCCTTCAGCAGCTGTTGTTCCAAGCCTCAGATTTCTCATTAGCTATTCTACAAACAAGTGCCTTCAACATGGTGACAGGACCTTTACAAGAGAGATTGTGATGTGTTAGTAATCTTGATGCTCTCGAAGTCCAATTCCCAGTATCAGGCTTACTCAACACCTACTGCTTAATCTAGGTCCTCATTTTACGGGCTTTGGCAAATAGATATGCCTGCCAAAGAGCCGACTTACCCTCCAGGGTGCTCAGTAACAGCTCAGTGTTAGCCACAGTCTTCCTCCCTGCTTGGAGGCAATAGGTGGAAAGCCTAAGGGAAATTAATGAAAACAATATAGGTGACTTTTCCGAGCTTTATGACATACTATGATTTCATATAAAGCCACAATCTGACCCAAAAACACTTCTTACAAAAATGGAATCCAGGCTACAAGGGAGCACACATACATGAGAATACTCGCATTCACAGAAGCACTTAAATACAATATACCAGAAAACATTCTTAATCTCTGAGAATCAGAAATAGAAAGTGCAGTTTCAACAGTCGAGAATGGTGGACCTGTCAGTATGAGTAGTTCACTGACTTGACTTCCCCGAGCTCTCTATGGACATCTGAGAGTGAGAGCTGAGTAACATCACACCTAAGGCAGCAAGATCACACCAGACTCCTTCCTGAAGCATTGCTCTGATTACCCTGGTGAGAATTGTGAGATAGCAATAGCTAAATGCAGAATGTATTTGAAATACTGCTGATGCGTTCACTTTCTGCAGCATCTTCCCTGCCCTGCAGGACGCAACTCTAAACAGCACCTTCATCCTGCAACTAAGAACGGAGTCTGAAGCTGTTCAGCCCTTACTTCTAAAGCCCTTGACCCCATCGACCTACACACCATTGGTAACTGGCAGGTGAGGGCATGTTGCATAGACCTGATATGTGAGAAAAAAACCTTAATAAATGACAGCTGTCATGAATTGAGAACTTGGATCAGGAATGGTCTAGCAAGGCCCCCGCAGAGCATTGACTTGATTCCAGTATTCTATCATCCCTGCATATCTTCCCCCACCGAAGACTCTTTCCCTCTTAAATATTACCTCTTTAGCTGTATATCACACTTGTTCATTTTGTTAACTAATGGAAAGATTGTTATATGAAAACAAGAATTGATAACCTTGTACAGATTATATATTTATACTTCCCTTTCTTCTGTTAGATCTCATAAATTTATATTTCTATGTGTTGAGCTTCTTTTTATTAATATCATTTGGAGTTCCAAACTATTTTTTCCTACGAGCTAGAATTATGAAAGCAGCTTCATTGTTACCTTTGGTGTTTGGTCGCTTCTTTCTCTTAGATACTCAGTGGAACTGTCAGGAGCTGGACTTGGTTCGTTCAATGTTACAGGAGAGATTGATCTGAAGGATGGTGGGGTTTATACAATTATATTCTATCAAGCTGACCATACAGGGAATGTAAGTCTTCCAAAAGAATACATAGTGCAGTCCTTAGGGTATTGCTTGCTAATATTTTCCACTGGACTCACGAAAAGTCTCTAGTACTGCTGGGATATTGATCAGCCATTGTTTGCTGGTGTCAAATAATTATACAAAGTGGCCGAGAATCTGAGTTTGTGTTGCTAAGCCACAAAGACTCAAAGGGTCATACGTAGGTTGTGGAGTCCTGTAGCATATTGGTTAGAGCACTCGCCTAGCAAGTGAGAGGCCATGCGTTTAATTCCCGGACCAGAGTGAAACCTTAGACAAGTAAAAACCTGGTTGTTAGTCAATTGGCAGATCGCTTTCCAGAGGTAATAATCCTTTTTTTAAAATTCATGACTATTTGTAGGACATAGCTGTGCACAATTACTGCCCTGTTTTGCCCACAAAATATACAGTCAATTCACTTTACTGTGAAGTGCTTTGCAACGTCTCAACTTGATAAGGCACTATATCAAATTCTACGATTATTATAAACTCTGATTAGCCAGTCTGTCCTAAGTGACAGCAGCTTGTCCTCTTGAAACGAATCAGTGAAGACTGATTTTTGTTGAGAACCTTAAAATGTCTTTAAGGATCGAAATATAGTTTCTCAAATATTTTTACATTTTGTTTTGCAGGTTTCGATGCATATAAACACTGATGTCCATCCAAGGACAGTTTCAGTCCTTTGGCAGATTCCACAGTACTTGCTAATCTCAATGTCTGAGATCCTGTTTGCAGTACCCGGCCTGCATTTGGCCTACACACAGGTAATGTCTTGAATGGGTGCATTTCATTGTATAGACATTACAAGACTTTGGGAAGCCTCAGTTAGCTGGGGTAGTTGGGGGGGTACAGAATGCTCATTACTAAGCATCTACAAATGATCTCTCACCACTTTGTGGTGTCTTGCATTGGGGTGTGGCCAATACGTGCAGTGTTTATTGAATAAGAATATTCTCAATGATGATCAAGACAATTTTCTATCAGTTTGTTACGGTTCATTGATTATTATTTATTATTACAGGCTCCCTCTTCTATGAGATCTGTTGTGATGGCAGCCTGGATACTCACTAATGGATTAGGCAATCTCATTGTAGTTCTTGTGGCTGAGTTAACACCAATAAATAATCAGGTATGTAATCTAGACCAGTCTGCCCCTGTGCTACAAGCATTCTGAGATGAGGCAGAGCTGAGATTTGATTCAGAGTAAAGCTCCTTCCTTCTATTCTGTCACAATATTCTCCTATCCTGTGATGCGTGTTTTTCCACAGCAAGTGAGTTTGACATTTCATGTAGAGAAATGTCAGCTCTGTTTTGCTGCATTTTGCAGGGCAGAACTATATGGTGGTAGGACTGTGATTAGTTGTGTGGTGCTGAAGGGAGCAGGGTTGTATCAGTCATTTGAACAGAAGAAAGCCATTCAGCTCATTGAGCCAGTTCTGCTATTTATTAGAATTTGGCAGATCTTTTCTCGATATCCTTTAATCTTGTAATTTATCCTTTGACCTCTTTCCTTCCCATCTATGTAATCTATCTAGCATCACAGTGTGAGGTACCCAGTGTTGAAGGCATTGTCTGTGAGCCTGGCCCACAGTATAAGGAGTATTTGTGCATGTTCAGGTAGCTTTGTGTTGAGGGCTGACATTCTGTTCCAATTGCTTCATTATTTGATCTTTCCCCCATTTCTGGTGACAGGCAGTAGAGTTTTTTCTGTTTGCTGCACTTTTGGGACTATTTACATTCATCTTCAGTGCAACTGGAACATTTTATAAATACCAGCCCGTAGATGCTGCTCCTCTCACCAGCAACAGGAAAGAAAGTGAAGCTGATGGACTGAAATCAGGGATGAAAATGTCTCCGTCCTACACAAGTGAAGACCAGATAAACCAACGAGTAGATCAATAACCTCAGCAGACCGTCCATCTCCTGATTCCCCCCAACTAATTATTATTATTATTACACTATTTATGTGGACAATAAAAAAATCATCTAAACTTCTTAATGTCTTATTCTCTTCAGCTGAGAAACCACTTTCATCAGAAGCAAATGATGTGTCGTTTCTCTGCTGAAGAGGAGCTGCCACAGACACCACCATCACATTCCATCCCCCCACCTGCCCCATCACCATCACACCCCACTCCCCCATCACCATCACCCCACTCACCCCCCACCCATCCCATCACCATCACCCCACCCAACCCCCATCCCATCACCATCACCCCAGCCACCCCCCAGCCATCCCATCACCATCACTTCAACCACCCCACCACCCGCCCCATCGCCCACCACAACAACCTGCACCATCACCATCACCACCAGCATCACTAGTGGTTCCGGCTTCAGGAATATTGTGCAGTTCTCCGCAGAATTTCACAACTACACACACCTGATGCTCTGTCAGTAATTTTATCCCAATCAAAACCTGATGAAAGAGAAACAATGATATTCACATTTTAGCCACATCACATGACAAACTGGTGAATAAAGTCTCCAGACACAGAGCATCTATATGTTGTGCATGCATTTTATTCCACCTTCATAGCCATATGCTCATTTAACAGATTGATCTCTTGAACATTTCCTATGTGAATCGTCAGATAACATGGAGTGTGTCTATAACAAGATATGCAGTGGTTCTGCAGCAAACTCTTGTGTTTTTCTTTATCAAGGATGTGGAATGGATATTGTATAAACATATGACCAAAACAATGTGATCTGATCTAGATTTCTGTAGTTTGAAGTAGCATTCTGTTCAGAACTATTTTTAATTTGGTGTGATGATTACTGAAATAACATATTTAAAATTTTCTCATAAAAATACAATAAGATTCTAGAAAACAAATGCAGAGGCTTAGCAGAGATCATCTTACAGTCTGGCAAGTGCTTTAAAGCACTGAAGGTTTACCTGTTTTATGCAAAAGAATAGTTTCCTATTTGTTTTTTGAGGTACAGTGAATGTGATCTGTAAGAGCTTGGGAGACAATTGTTTCCAGATATGATAGCAGCAGCAGCAGGAAATGCGCCATTAAAGTTCTTTAGGAACCAGGAATTCTACACTTTTACATTTTCTGTGCCAAAGTAGTGTCACCAATGCACTGATGGCAACACATCATCGTCAGTGCAGACCGAGGAATGTAGTGTCCATTTATGAGGTAACCACACTTGCTGAGATGTATCTCTCACACTGTAGCTGACAAGTTAACTAAAGGATCCCAGTGGCTCAGAAACCATTGCGTCCATGGAGTATTTGTTCATCTCAGTCTGCACCTATCCCTTTATCTTCCATACCTGTACTCAAGCAGATATTTTCCAGTTTTTTGGAAAGGACTTAATCAATGCACATAAACACACAGACCATAAGCATTATTCTATACAGCAACTTATTCTCATGGAGTCTCAGTAACATAATGATCACATGTTCATATTTAACAATTGCATTATGTCTTTAAGACAAGCTGTTTGTAAAAGTTTTCAATATTCTATACCAGATACATTTTATGAAATTTTTGTAATAAAGCATATATCCACCCAAATTACTAATTAAACATTTTAAATCATATGTACAACATAGATGGTGCTGTTATTTTTGCATAGTCAATGAGTTTGAACCTGATATTAAAATGTTATTTTAGTTCGAGTTCAGATGTTGACTTTTTTGGGCTTCTTTTGTTTGAAAGAAATTTCATTACCACAAACAAAACTAAAAAGACTAGGGCAATACCGACTGAAAGCAGAATCCACTGTCCTGCTTTTGCCTGCTGGGGATCCAATGTTAATCCCAGAAAATCCACCTTATCTTTCGCCTCTTCTGGTGTTGAAGTTGGAATTGGCAGATTGTCTGAGCCTAGAGCTGGAAAGAAATGTGTAAAAGTCAATCTTCTAATGACAAGGAAAATGAGAATGGAAAATACTAAGCGACTCATCAAGTCCTCTTTCCTCTACAAGCCATACAAAGCTGCGTAAACCTGGCCATCATACTATCACCCCATGCACTCATCTCCTTGGGAATAATGCACAGCACTAAAAGAATAATCAAGGTGGAGATTCTAAGAGATGATGGTGCCAAACGTGTAAACAGAGAGTGCAAGTATTTTGTTTCAGTTTTCACACAAGATGTGAATATTTGGGATGGATACCTCTTATATCTTCCAATAGATACCTTCAGGTTCCTTCTTGAGCCATGCAAAGATCAGTTATTTTTATTTGTTGATAAATTACTAAAGTATAATAGAAGATGACATTTTTATGAATATGGAAAAATATGAGCTAATCAGGTTTAGTCAGCACCAATCAACTTGCTGAGTTAGCAACACTCTCATCCCTGGGTCAGAAGGTTGTGGGTTCAAGCCAACAGTCCTTCAGGTAAATTAATTTGTTGTGGCTGTTTGTTGGCCCTTGTCGTGTGAAAAATGAACTATATATAATAATCCTTGCAATGGACAGAAAATGACTTTCCTGCTTTTTTTTACATTTATTAATACAATCCACAAATCCTGGGATTTTTTTTATATATCCCGGGATTTTGGGAGCACCATTATCATACGGCATCCCGGGATCGGGATTTCCGGGATTGCAACACCTAGTTATAACCACGTTGCCCAGTAACAGCTTGAACACTTTTGCAAACCTGGAGTCCAATTGTATTCAGGCCATCCCAGGGTCTCTCCATTCTTGATGTTCTTCTCAATAAGCCAGTCTGTCAGTGGCTTGAAGTACTTCAGTAGAGGCTCAGCAGACATATCTGGCTTCCCTGTTATTAACTTCATGGCTTCAGACCAGGGCTTGCTGCTACCAAGCTTCATGACATCCCTGAGAAAAAAATAAAAATAATCTTTGCGTTTGATAATAATACTTTTTGTGTACGCATACGCAGTGTGGATTGAATTCAGATTTTTTTTCATACTTTACATAAGTCATATTAAATGTTATGGCTACCATTGATCTGACTCATGTAGGTATTGCTGTGTTCACTGAAAGGTAAGGGAGTTGCCTGGCTCCAGAAGAAATGCAGAGAGTAGAACAGAAAGGGTGTGACCTATAAAGAATGAATGCCTGGATGTTTGTCGGATGTTGTTTGATAATAATTACTTGAGAAACACTTGATGTTTTGATGTGACAAGGTATTAAAAGATACATGTTCTTCTACATACCAAGGCATTATTGATTGAAGATGATCTCAAATACTGTTTATATTTGCACCTATTTTTAATTGAGAATGAATGGTCAAATTGAAGATTTGTATTGTAATGCCCTGGACACTAAATCTAGATATTTCTCTTGAAGGTATTGGGTTAAGGTCTTCCTAAATATGAAGGACTGAAACTTGTACTCACGCAATTAATTTTCCAGCTTCCTTGGACTTATAGATGTCACACTTAAACAGGGAACCTGTTTGGTTTGCTACTTCACAAAGGCGTTCATGGAACTGGAACTGGATGATGAAGCTCACAAAATACCTTAGAAAGAATAAGACACAGAATCAAGGCCCAATAATACTGACCCAAAATCACATCATATGATCTTTCAAATATCCCAAATCAGTGGGAGAATGTGGTCTCTCTTAAGCCAAATTTACTGAGGTGCTTGTCTGAAAATGTTGGCAACCACAACAACATAAAATGATATGCCACAGAAACGAGTTGTTTGGCTCAACTCTTCCTTACTGGTGTTTATATTATCCTACGATTTATAGTGATCATAAAGGAGTTTGATTTTGATCTGGAGTTTGGGAAACACCAGTGCTACCACTATTACTGGACCAGGCCATATGCTTCACTTTGTCTGTAAACATTTTGTAAAATTTGAGCCAACATCTATTTTGTTTGCAATATGCTTTAGATGAAATATTATTTACATTTTAACAGAGAAACATATTAGCAGTCATTGTTGGGTTAAAGTATAACTCTCAAAATAAGTATATTTCCAGAATGCACTGGTTCACATGCAAACAAAGCAGACTAAAAATATGCGCAAAACACATACCTGACATAGGGAACGTTTGAAGGAATATGGAATTTTGCCCCGGGATCGAAATCTTGCTCTGAACGAGGAACAGGAGGACACAATCCCTGATAATTTAACCTGTGGAAGGGAAGCGTACAGGGTTAGCAAACTTTGCAAACTGTCTTCTGTCTCCTTTCTGCATTAATCTGCCATATGCATGACATTTCAATGTGTAGTATTGTATTAAACTCTACGAGGCATTGGGAACATAGAGACAGCATTGCCATTACCTTGTGGCAAGTGTGATACTTCCCTCTCTTACATGCATAGAAGCACACACACTATATAACTTACATATGCTGATTGTATAAGTCAGTAAATAATGTTGAAGGATAGAAACTCATCAGCAGAATTAACTTATTTCCCTCATGTTTTTGCCCTTGACAAGTGCCATACGATAGTACAGGTGCCTCCTTCTATAACTTCTGATAGCCCATACTATGCATTTAGCTATATTCAACATTATTTACTAGTGATCAGCTCATCTCCTCGCTGGGATTACTTCAGTCCCTGCCTCTTACCTGAGGTTCCACCACTCTCGGTTGTAGTCATTTTCACTAATCTGTCCATCAAAAACCTTCCATCGCCACTTATCCATCAGATATCCAAATGGAATGAAAGCAATTTTTTCCAGAGCAATGCTCAACAGGTAGTTGATATCCATTTCTAAATATGAGAAATGTTCAGATTAATTATTGGAATCTAGTTGGTAGAAATTGCGATAATCCTAAATATATCCCATTTTTAAAATTATTGCCAGCAATCACAACAATTGAGGAAAAGTACAGAAAATGCACAGAGCTGGTGACAAGCCTTGCTTAGGCTGGATTCATTGATCTCAAAGAAAGCAAGTTACATAATTCACTCACAAACTCAACTCACATCTCCAGCTCGGGTGCCCATACACCATTGTTAAGAGCTTTGGGACATCCTCACCACATAAAAGACAATATATAAATGTAAATTGTATTCTATTTATTCTGCCAATATACCATCTGCCACAATGTAAATATATATTTCAGGTTTACACATCTATAGGTGGCAATTACCAACATAAGATTTTGCTACGCGAAAGAAAACTAAAGTCCATCTAGTTCACCTTCCACCATCCTGGCAGTCGCTTGACATGTCGTGTCCCAAACTATACACTATCCTGAGATATTATTTTCTAGCAGAAATCTATCTCATTTGTTCTTGAAACGAATGACATTTTCTGCTTCCACTGTCTCCCTAGATTACTACTCTCTCACGGAAGTAGTGTTTCCGCAGATTTGTTCTGAATTTACTCCCCTTCAGTTGCAGGCCTTGTTCATAACAACAACTACAACAAAATTACATTTGTACAGCACCTTTCATGTCGGGAGGACATGTTTGTATCCAAAGAAATCCTTGCACTTACCGATATTGTCCTCTACTTCACTGAGTAGGCCGATGGTGTGCAGATGTTTTGGAGTGGAAACGGAAAGAGCCATAACATCGCCAATTGCCTCGTGGAATCCTGGGTTTGCTCCATCTCGGAATGAGACCGGCTGATCTTTGTACTGAAGGAAGTACTGAACGTGGCCCATTTCATGGTGGACAGTGACCAGATCTTCCATGTTGACCACAGTACATTGCTTAATCCTGAGATTGGTTATAAATAGTTAAACAGTCTGCAAATCTGTTTTATCTCAGTCTGAATCCTATACATGTGTTTTGAATGGACGATTTACAATGGAATGGATTCAGACCAGCCTCACATGCGCTCTTTATGCTTATCTAAAAATTACTTTCTGAAGTGTATTTAATAGATGATATTTTTAACTGTGATTGAGATTAGTTAAATTGGCATATTTCTGTTATACTAATGAGGACACGGGTTATCAGATTAATCTACAGCAGACAAACAGACATTAATCTGACAGCTGTGCAGGTGTTGACATGTTGTGGTATCATGTGGTGGCAATAAATGTCCAGAATGTGATCATGTTACAAAACAGCTTTCCAAGATCAGATGTAAAAATTGAACAATGCAAATCTGACGAGTTTGACCAGCTTTTTCTGTAGGTAAACAAGACAACTCCAAACCCTTACCTAAAATCTTTCCTGTTATAAAAGTCCCAGGCAGAAGCATGACAGACAACCTCCCTGCCTTCAGGTTTCATCAACATCGACTTATCCCAGAATTCCTTCGGCATTTGGATAAGCCCGAGAGATGTAAAAAACTTATCTGATTCTTCAAACATCTTTTTGGGAGTCCAACCCTGAGTGAAATAGCAAGTTAGGATATTAGTACTGACGTACTAGAGTAACCTACAATCTACTGTTTCCCTTTCCAGAGACCACCATATCTGTGTGTGTATTTGTGTCTGTTGATAAACACTTCAAATATTGCTTTAGTAATAATAATACTTACATTTGGCCAGACTGACACAAAGTCTCCCTGTCTCACACCAACTGACCCAGGCTGACATACAGTTTTCCAGTACATCCACCAGGAGGCATGTGGACGAAGGGCTGAGTGTTGTCGTTAGGGACTGACGATATGCAGGAAGGCTTTGCTGCATTGTCATTTTACCCTCTGCTCCCCTTCCCCCACCATGAGTTTCTCCACTCACAACTGCCATGTATTTACATTAGAAATGACATATCCACCAGGCTTTCTGATAAGACTCTCATGGCTTTCAATTTCCAATTTCCTTTTTCTGCTTCTATCTCTCCATTGCTGATTACTGGCTGATACTACAACTACCTCCTGTTTCTCCCTTGAAGCTAAATCTTTTCAATATTTGAAAATGTAAATTATTGTAATGTTACTTTAATTCCTTGCACTCGCCTTTCTGCTGCTGAATTATCTTCCCAAAAAGACTAACCTGAGCAATCATTGCTGGAGTAGCATCGACATGAGAGACGTTAGGATAAGGTGTTAACAGATCATAGATATTATTCCACGACTGGGCCCACATGTTTCCTGTCAATGTAGAAGGTGAAATTTACTGTAGTTGCTGGAGACCAGACGAAAAAACGAAAATCTCAGCACTAAGATAATGAAAGCTGTCACACCATCAGCTGATGGAAAGGCACTAAGTAGTTTACGAAGCATTTCCAGGTTAGATACATCACTGGGATGGATAGAATAAAGCTTTTTTTATATTGTCACATAGAACACTCCCAGGTCAAGTTTCATAGTTGTGTATATTCCTAAACCTGATTTACTTATGTATTTGATTCAGTCTCTACACCTTGTTCTGAGTCTCATTTGGATCATCAATTGTAGTGTTTTATTAATTTTGTCCAGGACAAGGTACTGAACCCAATTTAGATTATGATGTTCAGTGAGACTCGGGAACAGAGGGAGTCAGAGGCAAAACAAACCAAGTTTTAATCTTTATTACTTCTATATACATTTCTTAAGCGTGCATGCACATTAACTGTTAGCTTCTTTGCAAAACTTCTTAAATATACAACATATTACGACCTGTCTCTTCTCTTCCTGGGACAGTGGTGGGATGGCGGGCCACAGTTTAACTGATTAGCACCAAAGGAGGGACAGTGGGTTGGGCCTGATCATCTGGCACTCAGTTGCCTTTTTCTTGCTTACTTTTTCTATCTGTACTGTTTGCTGCCAGAATGTCCTTGGGTTTATAACTCAATACTTCAGTCGATAATCTTTAACACACACAAAAAGGCTGAGCATAAGCTATTCTATTCTTAGTATCGAAAGTTACTGTTTTGCTGCCTGGTATGACTTCAAGGTTTCATTATTGTCACATGGTTTTGACTCCGCACTTCATTAGACCAAAATTTATTTTACACACAACACTAAATTCAACAATAGCATTTGCAATTCTCATAACAACTGAAAGTCTCATCCTCACCTTTGTTACTCTCCACTTGATATCACAAATGCATTCCTCTCTAGTCTCTCCAGTTCTTCCTGTAATGAGGTGCCCAAGATTGCACATCATGCTCCCAAGTGCAGCCTCATCAGTGTCCTGTGCGACCTTAACAGTACTTTGCTTATACACTGTATACCTCAAGGTATGAGGTATAGCTAGGAGCTGAAACATACCTAATAAGTGAGCTGGTATTGGGCCCTTAAGGTTGATGTATTTATCTCCGTACTTCTGATACAATCCACGTCGGACATAAGCATGCAGATTCAAGTATAGAGGCTGGAGCTGGTTGTAAATCCTCTCCAAATCTGCCTCAAATGTTTCAGAATCATACAGCGACCTCCAGAAAGCTCCAGCATCTGCGTGATCTGTACCAAGAGAAATAGTCCAGTTAGTGACTTTAGGTGGAGAACCATCTTTCTTGCATTAGAAGTTAAGGGACACCGTGGATCTGCCGTATTAACTAAAAATGGAACCTGGAGAATCAGTTTGATAATTCCAATGGATATAAATAATCCAATGACATTATTCAGAGATTGTTCTCCTGTTTCGTGCTAATATTTTTTCCATTGTTTATATTCAACAAAAACATATTAAATTTTGTTATTAATCTCCGTGCTGTGTATGGGATGCCTCGGCATAAGATAGCTGCCACATTGGCCTATGCAGCAGTCACTACATTTCAAAGTAACTCATTTTATATACTGCTTTGAAATATTTGAAGAATGATAAAGCACTGGATCAAATGCAAGTACTGATGTAACACAATTCAGAACTTTTTGATTTTACTGCCTTGCTGATGTCAGGCATTATTTTTTGATCTGCACCAATTAGAAATACAGTATATAGCTCCAGAGGCGTGTTTACTCACAGTTGGAAACAAAAACAAGCCATCAATGCATCCATGGTCACTTTGCTAATTAATGCAGAGGAGAAGCCATAGACTGAGGGACAGCAGTGGGCTCTTGTAGGGGCCATGGATGTTGGAATCATGGAGAAAGAGACATATCGACCTACACACATGTACCTACTATTTAATCGTGCCGCCTTGTTGCTGAGTTCCACGTATCTCTTGAAGTTGTTCCTCATTTTCTTCCCAGAAACATTTCTCCACCCATTCCAGGCAAACAGCAGTTCACTGTAGTTAGATGAGGATGCCATTATTTCCGTCAGATCTGTGATTGATTGACAGTTCAGAAAATGACTCAAAACAGCAATCTGTGATTACCAGAATGTCTTCTTCCCTTGGGCTCAAAACTTCATTGATTTGTTATAATTTTTTCTCAATTGGTAGCATTATAGCGAATGTACACTGCATGTTTTGAATTGCTTTATAGCTTTTCCACATTGAAAGACCAAAACTGTGGAAAATACTAGAACTGTATCCTATCTAAGACTTGAAAAGTTCAACATTATCTCCTTTTAGTATTCTGTACTTCTACATATAAAACCTAAGAATTCATTTGCCATTTTTATGGCTTTATCTATCTGTGTTGCTACATTTAAAGACTATATCTGAAAGCAAAGGTACTATGTTCTTTGATTTCATTTAAAATCTTTTTAAGGCACCTTTCCTTTCTCTAACCTTACTTCTAAAAATGTGCTACTTCATTCATAGACTTCTATATTGAACTGCATAAGTCACCTAACTACCAATCCTATCTGCTTGCCTATCTTTGACCTGAGGTGAACGTGTACTTACACAAGGTAATATGCTTTCTGCAAGAGTTTGTGACTGCAGTCGATGATGGCTTAGATTACATTGTACCAAGAGAGGGATGAACTCAGTAATTTTGTTGAGAAATGGATGGTTTTAGGCACACTGTGCAGAAAGAAGGATGGCTCCAGCAACACTGTAACTAGAGGAATGATCTGAGGAATGGTCTTCAACAACAACAACTTGGATTTATATAGAGCCCTCCACGCCGGACGGCGTCTCAGAGCACTTTACAGTAACGGATCCCGGGGCCGAGCGAGGGGGGGAAGGTGACCAAAGGCGCGGTCGAAAAGAAAGGTCTTCAGCAGAGACCTGAAAATGGGAAGAGAGGGAGCGAGATGAAGGGAGTGATGAATGCAGTTCCAGAGCCTCGGGACATAGTGACTGAAGGCACGGCCGCCGAGGGTGGAGTGGAGGACTCGGGGGACGAGGACAAGGCCAGACCCGGAGGAATGAAGGCAATGGTACTGTTTTGAGGAGAGAGGAGGTCAGAGAGGTCGGGGGGTGCAGAGGAGTGGAGGGATTTGAATACAAGGGTGAGGATCTTGAAATCGATCTTCTCTGGGATAGGCAATCAGTGCAGTCTGGCCAGGACTGGGGAGATCGAGGAGTGGAGTTTCGTGCGGGTGAGAATGCGGGCGGCAGAGTTCTGAATGAGTTGGATTTTATGGATGGTAGTGGATGGGAGACCGGCGAGGAGGGCATTGGAGTAGTCCAGCCGAGAGGTCACAAAGGCATGAACCAGGCTTTCAGCAGCTTTTGGGGAGAGGTATTGGTGGAGACGGGCGATGCGTTGGAGGTGGAAGAAAGCGGTGCTGGTGAGGGACCAGATATGTGGAAGGAAGGATAATTGGGGGTCGAACCTGGGGGTTGAGTACGGGTTCAGAGAGTTTTAGGGGGAAGTCGGATACGTGGAGGAGGTGAGAGCTGTGAGATTTTAGATGTTGACGAGAGCCAAAGAGTATGGCTTCCGTCTTGTCAATGTTCAGCTGAAGGAAATTTGCGCTCATCCAGTCCCTGAGGTCTGACAGGCAGCTGACAGAACATCAGGGGACTGGGGGTCGCAAAGAGAGGTGGAAAAATAGAGATGGGTGCCGTCTGCATACATGTGGAAGTGTACCCCATGTCTGCGGATGACATCCCCAAGAGGGAGCATGTAGATCAGAAAGAGGAGGGGGCCAAGGATGGAACCTTGGGGTACCCGCAGGTGACCGGGTGAGAGCAGGAGGAGAAGCCGTTTGTGCAGATGTACTGCTGGCAGTTTGTGCGGTAGGATTCAAACCAGGCGAGTGTGGTCCCATTGAGGTGGATGACGGAGGAAAGGCGGTGGAGGAGGAAGGCGTGATCGACTGTGTTGAACCGGCGGAGAGGTCCAGGAGGACAAGGAGGCAGAGGGAGCCCTGGTCACAGATAGAGAGGATGTTGGTTGTGACTTTCACAAGCGCAGTCTCTGCACTGTGGGCGGAAACCGGACTGGAGGGGCTCGAAGAGGGAGTGGGAGGAGAGGTGTGCGCAGAGTTGGTTTGCAACAACACGTTCTAGAACTTTTGAGAGGAAGGGCAGGTTAGAAAAAGGGCGGTAATGGCTGGGGTTTGAGGGATCTAGAGAGGGTTTTTTCAGGAGGGGGGTGATCACAGCAGTTTTGAGGGAGGCAGGACTGCTCCGGAGGAGAGGGACTGGTTGATGACGTCAGCCAGTAGTGGGCAGCGGAGGGGGAGCTGGGTGACCAGTAAGTTGGTGGGGAGGGGGTCGAGGCAGCAGATGGTGGGTTTCATGGAGGTGATGGTGGGTGAGGGAGGAGGGAAGGATGGGGAGGAAGGAATGTAGAATGGGGGTGGTGGTAGGAGCAGATGATGAGGAAGGTGAGGGGGACGGAGAGGGCGTGGTGGTGGGTGACAAAGGGTAGGGGTAGGTGGATGAGGCTGCCTGGCGAATGTTAAGTATTTTAGATGAAAAGAAGTCCATGACCTCCTAGCACTTGGCATTTGATACGAAGATTGAGGAGGCCTGAGGGGGGGCACGGAGGAGGTAGTGGGTGGTGGAAAAAAGGATTTTAGAGATGAGTTTAGCCTCCAAGATGATGTTGGAGTAGAAGCTGTTTTTGCGTGTGTCAAAGAACGACGATAGCTGTGGAGATGCTCGAGCCACAGTTGGCGGTGAACTGTCAGGCCAGTTTTCCGCCATCTGCGCTCGAGCAGATGGGTTTGGGTTTTTTGACGGCGGAGAAGGTTGTTGTACCAGGGGTATCAGGTGGGTTTGGAGATGGTCCTCGATTTTAAGGGCACTGATGACAAAGAGACAGATGGTTATCAGATGCTGTGCTGTGCTTACCAGGGTCCAGAGGGTGACATGTCCCATTGGCTCGACACACTTTGGCAACACTGTAGGTGGTTTCCATGTCAGATAGAATATTGTTATACTGGAAATGGAAAGCAAATCTGTTAAAAAAATTTAAACCTAACTTCAGATTGTACTTAATACCACTAAAACAGTGTCACACACAAAGCTATTTCAACTGTAATGATTATTATTATAATCATAATCTTCACAGAGTTTAGTTATAACAGGCACCGCTGGGGCAGGGGAAGGTAATTGTTTGAAAAGAGAAGAGAATTTCTCCCAGCGGCCAATAATCCCCATATAAAATTGGTCATTCTCCATGGCTGTTTGTGGGACATTGCTGTGTGCAAAATTGGCTGCCACGTTCGCCCATACAAAACAGTCACTCCACTTTATAGTATAACCCATGAAGTGCTTTGGAACATCGTGACGTGAAAGGCGCTATACCAAACGCAAGGAATTTTATTATTATTAATTGTTCTAATTCTTATTTCCTGCTCTTTTTCCCTCTACACTTTTATATTGTACTTCTTCAAATGATTATCTATTTGAATGTTAAGGCCTGTGTGATATCCTCTGATCTCCCAGAGTAGCGTCTGACCTCCCACTTCCTCGGTGTACAGTGTGATGGACGAGCCTATTACCTCTATCAATTCTGGTTCTGGAAGAGCTGCCTGCTGAATGTCGCTCAGCTTGTTCAGGATCCGTTTAGTTGCTTCATTCTGGAAATTTGTGGAGTCAAACTGGCGAGCTTGCAGGCCGTACTCCACTGAGTGATTAGCCATTTTCAGATTTTTGTCCATCTTACAACAGAACAGTTTGATTAGAGACCCTGCATAGGGTGAGCGGCAACATGCAGTCACACTGCCAAGCCTCTTTCACGCAAATTGCTTACGAGAATCTTATACACAATGTGTGTGTGTGTGTGTATATTAGTTGGGGCTTCTTTCACACTTTTGGGAATGAATCTCAATGTGTGTGTGGGGGAGGGGATCCCACATATAAACACACTGCTAGAGAGAATCTCTCTTCTGCACACACTCGCGGGGGTATTAGTAAAGAATTGTACACATGTTACGTACATACCATGACCTGTTTGTTGTGCTCAGTGATGTTGGTGTTGTAGGCCCACGATGCCACTGTATAATCGTTCCACACCTTCTCCGCCGTCATGTTGTATTTCTTTATAAAATCTTCTGCCTCAGTTTCATCCGTGTTCTTCTCTGGAAGAAAATACCACTACACGACAATGCGGGACAATAGCCATTTATCTCCTGTTGCTCAGATCCTTTACAATGAATTAGTACAGCTTTTGACTGTGAATCCAACTGCTAGTAATTATTTTGGATTGGCTGCTCATAACAAGTTGGCAGTTTAGTTTGGTTGGTGATACTTTTGCCCCTGGGTCAGAAGTTTGTGGGTTCAAACACAATGTCAGGTATTGTAAGTGCAACCTGGGACTTTTCTGGAAATGAGGGGTATCGTCCCCTGTTTTTCATTACAATTCCAATACCAGAACCCCCCCCTTCCCCATTTATTTGGAACTTACCAATGCCATTTGGATACCCATCAGGGACTTGTGGGCGCCAATCGAAATCAGGCCACCCAAGCACGTCATTATTTAACACATTCTGTTTTTCAAGCCATGTAGTGACTGGCTGAAAATATTCAAGTAGAGCAGAGGCATCCATCTTCCCATCACCTGTCACTTCCTTAAGAATCTCCTCCCAAGATCTGGAAGAGCCAGCCCTCAGTGCTTGTCTGAAAAAAAGCCAGTGTTGAGATCTTAAATTGCGGAGACTGTACAGTACATATAGGACCCTTGAGACTGCTTTATCCATGTCTTCTATTAGTATTCTGAGACAGTACCTGGGTTCTCCAAGCAGAACCCATTTCTGAGCACAAATCTGCCCTCATAGTAATCAGAAAACCATAAAATTTACAGCACAGAAGGAGACCATTTGGCTCATTGAGTCTGCACTGGCAATAATATTCAGTGACAGAATGCTTGGGTTATCATGTGATGCACTGCATCCCTTCGGTGCCTGTTACTAGAGCCAGACCCTACCTGAGCTTCTCACCAGCGACCGTGGATTTATAGATATCACATGTATGTAGAGCTCCAGTATGGTTTGAAGCATTGCACAGAGCTTTATGAAACTGGAATTGCAGAATACAACTCACAAAATATCTGAAAAAGAAAGGACAGAAATTTGAGAGTTTACGAAAGAGATTCTGGAAATAACTAGCTCTGTACAAGAGACATCTGAGTGTTCAACTATTCTCAATTCCTCTGAAGGTCTTTTTCTTCTACCTGATGTAAGGTGTGTTTCCTGGGACGTGATACTTGGCACCAGCATCAAAATGTGTTTCATTCCTAGAAATTGGTGGGCATATTCCTTGGTATTTTGTCCTAAAAAATAATCAACAATGATACATTAGAACATACCCTATCACATCTGGCTACCATTACACAATTTCTGCTATCCTGTTTTAGCTTTACCTCAGGTACCACCATTCGTAGTTGTAATGCAATGGAGAGATGCGTCCACTGAACACTCCCCACCTCCACTGGTCTATCAAATAGCCAAAGGGAAGGAAGGCAATTTTTTCTAGAGCCATCTTCAGAAGATAATTGATTTCAGCCTCTGTCAGAAAACACATTGATTTTTTTGATACAAACGAAAGCTGAGAGTTTCCCTTCTAACATCTGTGTTTCTAATATCATTACCGCTGAAAATGATAATTAAAGACTTTCAAAACTCTGATACCACCCTCAAAGATCTCTAATAAATTATCAGAAGCATTGTTCGCAATTTGTGTCCACAACCCTCACACAGCTTAAGTATATCTAAGATTCCAAGCCCATGTGAGACAGTGAGTTAACAGACTAGGCTGATATTACAATATAGTGCTTGGGAAGCAGCAATTTAACATTTTAAACCAAAGTACTGTTGGCTGCTCAAGTGTAGCATGACTGGAGGCTTGAAAGTCCAGCCTCTCAGTTGGTTACAACAACAAGAAATTACATTTGTAAAGCGCCTTTCATGTCTGGAGGACATCCCAAGTCGCTGGACAGTCAGGGATTTAGCTTCAGGACAATGCTAGGAGGTGTTTTGTTGCCAGAGGTGCCGTCCTTTGGATGAGACTCGGATATTAAAGACCCCACAACATTATTCAAAAAGCGGTGTTGCTGGTTAACACTCCTGCAGAAGAATTGCAGAATAACTTGTACTGGGGTAGTACTGCAGCATTTCATACAACATTTCGAAAACAGCCCAAAATGTAATTTAAATGTGTTTGTTTCAAGATCTTACCGTGTCCGTCTGAGACTGTTTGCAGCAGCCCAATCTTCTCCAGGTGCTTTGGTGTTGACACTGAGAGTGACATTACATCCCCAATTGCTTCATGGAAACCTGGATTGGCTCCAGCTCTAAATGTGACGGGCTGGTCTTTGTACTGCAGATAGTACTGGATGTGACCCATCTCGTGATGAACGGTGAAGAGTTGCTCCATTGTGACTGTTGTACATTGTTTGATTCTGAAAAGAGAATAAAACAGTTGAGCAACTCATTTTATTAGTTTCTCAGCTTAACCTTCGTGTCTCACAACCCACTCTGTGGTCGGTCCCAGCAGAAACCAGTGAATGCTAACAAATATTTGTGACCAATGGTCTGGATTTCTGAGTACAGTAGCATTACACAATGTCACAGCAATCTAAGTTTGTTTGAGGCCTGCCCTATAGTAATGCCCTTGAAGGACCTCTTACATTGCACACTATAAAAACTGTGGAATTAGGTTGTTCTTCAAATTGAGGCAAGTGCACTGACCTGAAAGCCTTGCGGTTCAGAAAATCCCAGGCTGAAGCGTGGCACACCACCTCGCGGCCATCATTTGGCTTTTCCAGCATTGATTCATCCCAGAACTCCTTGGGCATCTCAGTAAGATTCAATGATTTGAAGAAATCCTCAGCAACTCTGAACATACGGGTGGCGTTCCAATTCTGCAAGTAATTTCGGGCGAATTTAGATATACATATACAGCTGGGCATAATGATTATTAGAGAGAAAAAGCCTCTCCAGTAACCTGGCTAACAACTGACAAACCGTGTACAGACCAGTTTATAACCAAGTAAGAATTGAGGCCACTTTAACAGACAGGTAACCTGGAAGATACTATCTTATCAAATTATATATTTTAAAAGTCAAGCAGATGTGGTCATGATTGATCATCTCAACAGAAGGGTGACTAGTCCAATGGCTCTGCACTGGTGAGGCAACCTAGACTACTTCACTCACATCTGTCTCACTCACTGGTGAAAATGCTGCCAACAGTGCAAACTGCCTCCTGAATAACACTGCTATTGGCTGTGCAGGAGCATCGCTTGTGTATGAAACCAACCAAGACAAACCACTTACTTGCTGAACCATTGCATCAGTAACATCAATGTTGTCTTTGTCTGGGAATGGGATCATCATTTCATAGATATTATTCCACTGCTGTGCCCACATATTACCTGAATATGGGACAGATCAGTTTGCAGTTTATTGACAACAGTAAGAAGATAACACACTTCTAAACACAATCCACTACAGATCAATAAATTAATTGGAACTCCAGGTTATAAACTAATTATATTTAACTGGCAGACACTGCTCATATCTGTAGCCTATGTACCAACTAATGTTCATTATTTCACCTGAAAAGGATCAGTCTTCAGATTACAGTAATATATTGTCAATCTTTACCCAGGAGATGTGCAGGAATAGGTCCTCTCAGATTGATATATTTGGCTCCATATCTTTGATATAACTTTCTTCTCACATAAGCATGGAGGTTGAGGTAGAGAGGTTTCAACTGGTGGTAGATGAATTCAAGATCTTCCTCAAATGTTGGCGATTCATACCATGATCTCCAGTACTCTCCAGTATCCTCAAACCCTGTCAACAAATAAGATTTACTATGTAATAATAATAATCCTTGCATTTGATATAGCGCTTTTCACGTCTTCTCGACGTCCCAAAGCGCTTCACGGAATATACTGTAAAGTAAATTGACTGTATATTTGTGGGCGAATGCAGCAGCCAATTGCGCACAGCAATGTCCCACAAACAGTCATAGATTGAAAATGACCAATTTATTATTGTTTTTTTTGGAGGGATTATTATGTACTATTTGGTTGAAATATTTTGGTAAATCTGTAAACTCTTGACACAAAGTAATTTGAAGAACCATAAATATAGAATTTGGCAAGTAGCCAAATGTGTCCCGTGCAGATTCTGTTAAAGCTGTTTTGGTGGCAATACTGAGGGCAGACCCTGAATCTGTAATCTGTTATGAAAAGATAGTTCCACCCGATAGATTGGACAGGGAGCTGACAAATTGCTTCAGGCCTGATTCTCTCATACAATACAAAATTACATTTGTATAGCTCCTTTCACGTCGGGAGAACATCCCAAGGTGCTGCCCATTATGAAATATTTCAGATTGCGTAGAAGGAAGTGATAAGTCTTGGAACTATATTAGCTGAAAAAGATTGCTCTTTACAGTAAATGTTTACTTTACAGTAATTGATCCTATTGCTCTACAACTTTCAAGGTTCATTTTCGACATCGGCCAAATTCTAGGCACGAATCAGACTAGGTTGTTCACCTCCTCCCTTTATGCATTTTGATATTGATAACGTCCTTACCATCCAAACGAGTGGCTTCATTGCTCATGTCAACAAACTCTGTGTACTTCTCTCTCTGAGGTATTCCTGCGGAGTTGTGCCAGCCTTCCCAGGCATACAGCAGCTTCTGGTAGCTTTTGGATTTTGCCAAAAGTTGCACGAGATCTGAAACCATAAAGAGGCCATCAGGTGTCTGCTCAAGGCCATTCCTTGTACTTATTCAGTTTGTGGTTGTGTGCTGTGGTGGGTTCAGTCAGGCTTAGATGAGAGAGAAGGGAATGGAGGGGCATGGGCAGAGTTTAGAAATGGTGGGGGTATTAGGATGAATGGAGGTGCATCTGGAGTATAAATTGAATTGCAGCACAGACTAGTTTTGGTTCTGTAGGTCCTATGTATGTGTAGTGATAACATGTGTTTCTATATGCAATGTAATGGAGTCATGTTGTGGCAAGTTCAGTGTGGAGTAGGGTGCTGTCGTAGCTTAGAGTCAGCTTCTTGCTAACAAACACAACAACAACAACTTGTATTTATATACGCAAGGTAACGTCCCAGAGCCATGTCAACAATCATCAATACTAAAGCATCTAGATTGAAACCTCCACACAATTTGGGGATTTGTCGTTTGCTGATTACTAAAATTAGAGATAATTTTCTATGTTTTTATAATGGATACTTTAGTAATCAGTGTAACATAGGGTGGAGAACGGGGGGGATGTGGGGTGATCGAAAGCATGATCAAAGAGAAGGGTCTTGAGACGGGTCTTGAAGGAGGCGAGGGAGTGGGCGAGGAGGAGGGACTGCGGGATGGAATTCCAGAGGGTGGGTCAGAATGGCAGAAGACCTGCCTACCAATGGTGGGGCGAGCGAAGTGGGGGACATGAAGCAGACCGGAGCCCGCTGAGCGGAGGGAGCGAGCAGGATGGTAGGGGGTTAGGAGTAAACATGTATTAGCATATTTAACAGCAACATACCCGGTTCAAGCGACCAGCACTTAGTGATATTCTCTTGGCTTGGGGGACACACCTTCGCTGTGGAATAGATATTATCCATTTCAGTCAGGATGGTGTTGTACTGAAATGGACAATAGGTTAGTGGCGTTCTTCACATATCTGATAGGAAGATTCTGTCAGTAACTTTGGATTCCTCTATCAAAGGGATGTCATCCATTAACTAGTTTGTCAATTCTCTTCTCAATTCTATTTTATAACAATATCTCAGTCAGACAACCTTTTATGCAAGGATTATTATTATTTTAAAATTCTCAGCTCTAAGGAGTATAACTGAAATCTATCCGAACTCTGATACAGAACAAGCCCTTATTGGCAGGAAGCTAACTATGAGAACCAGGCTTTATGGCAGCACAAATTGTGGATGTCATATGAGGAACCAGGACACGGCTGTCGTAGGTGTGTGCAGTGGAGAGGCCATGCTGTAGGCTGTAGGCATAGCACTGTACTGCTGTCTTAAGATGGATAGTGCTATAGGTGGGGACGTACCATAGGAGGAATAATAATAATAATCCTTGAATTTGATGTAGCCCCTTTCACATCACTGAGATATATCTCAGAGCTTCACAATGTAAAGAGGTGCTACTGTATGATGGAGCCAGACCGACACCAGTAGGAGCAGGAGGGACTGTGTGGTCGGAGGGACTTTGCAATAAGACTCATGTTAGAAATGTAATTTCTGTCAACCCTATTCTAATAAACCTGTTGCAAATAATAGTTTTAAACTGAACTCGCTTTCACTTTCATAGAATCATAGAATCGTACAGCACAAAAAGAGGCCATTCGACCCATCGAGTTTGTGCCGACTCTTTGAAAAGAGCAATATAATGTCAATCCCACTCCCCAGTCCTTTCCCCATAACCCGCAAACTCATCCTCCTCAAATACCCATCCATCGTGTTTTTGAAAGTTGTTATCAAATCAGCCTCGACCACTCTTTCACAATGCATTCCAGATTCGAACAACTCACTGCATGAAAAACTTTCTTCTCACCTCCCCTCTGCTTCTTTTAGATACTATTTTGAATCTGTGGCTTCGAGTCACCGACACACCCACCAGTGGAAACAGTTTTTCCCTTTCTAACTATCAAATCCCCTCAAGATTTTGAAGACCTCTATCAGGTCTCCTCGAAACCTTCTCTGCTCCAATGAGAATAATCCCGGCCTCTCCAGCCTTTCCTCATCATCACGGTCCCTCATTCCTGGTACCATTCTTGTAAATCTCCTCTGCACCCTTTCCAATGCCTTAACATCCTTCCTATAGTGTGGTGCCCAGAACTGGGCACAGTATTCTAACTGAGGCCTAACCAGTGTTTTATATAGGTCAATCATAACCTCCTGACTCTTATACTCTATGGCCCTATTATAAAGCCCAGTATCCCATATGCCCTTTTTACAGCCTTATCTACCTGTCCTGACACCTTCAAGGATTCATGTACCTGAACCCCCAGGTCTCTCTGTTCTTTCACCCCCCTTAAGATTGTATTACCGCCTATATTGCCTCCCCTCATTCTTTCTACCAAAATCCATTACCTTGCATTTCTCCACATTGAAACTCATCTGCTATGTGTCGCCCATTTTACCATCTGTCTATGTCTTCCTGCAATTGGCTCCTATCCTTCTCACTGTTTACCCCCTCCCTAACTTTGTGTCGTCCGCCAACTTGGAAATGGTGCTTACTGTACCCAAGTTCAGATCATTTATGTATATTAAGAAGAGCAGTGGTCCTATTACCGATCCCTGGGGGACACCACTGTACACTTCCCTCCAGTCAGAAAAGCAGCCATTCACCACAACTCTCTGCTTTCTGTCTCCCGAACCGTTCTGGATCCACTGCCACTGTCCCTTTTATACCATGGGCTTCTATCTTTCTTACAAGTCTTTCATGTGGCACTTTGTCAAATGCCTTTTGAAAGTCCATATAAACAACATCAACTGCACTACCTTTATGCACCCTCTACGTTACCGAAAAATTCTATTTAATTTAATTGGAACATTTCCCATCCTTTGTTGCCATCTGTTCCTTCCTAGTTCTATTTCCCTGAAATTTTGCTTCAAACGTAAATACAATGTAATAACTGATGATTAAGCTCCCAGTATCCTTATCTATTTACTGTGCCAGTCTGGTGCAGTAGTACGGCTCTCGCCTCTGAATCAGAAAGTTTTGGATTCAAGCCCCACGTTGGGTCTTGGAATCAGAGACCAAGATGACACTCCAATGCAGTGCTGAGGAAGTGTTGAAACCAGGAGCAGTTTGCAGTGCTGGTAAAAGGATGTACCTTCTCTCTCTTTTGTGGGTCAAGATTTGCAGGGCCTAGGATTCGAATCTCTCTCAGTATTTTCTTCAGCTCTGTATCATTGAAGTTCTTACTTATGTCGTCAAACAATTCCTTGGCTTTCTTGGCCCAGGCTTCCGTAAACTCTTGCTCAACTAGCGAGGCATTGATCTAGGAGTAAGAAAACAAAAGATGAGTCTCTGCTGACGATTGGCTTTGTCTACTTCACTCTACTCAATCATCAACTCCAATCTAATTTGCTATATTACAATTACATATCTGAAAACATTCATCTGCTGTAGTTAGACAAAGGAACGTACTGTGTGATGAATGAAATGTTGAGTACTCAAAGGCCTATGTGTGTTTTTTCAATATAATATATCCAGGATGTACAGTTCGCTGTGATATGTACATGGTGATTTGATCGCAGGCATCTGATGTTCATCAATTCAACCATGTTGTCTGCTTGTTCAAATCTGACCCGAAGCTGCCTTAACCAGGAGAGGGTGCATTTAAAAGTGTTACTGCTCTCGTCAAGAATCATAGAGGTTTCTTAATAGTTTCAACCGTTGATTCACTCACTGTTTAATTAAGTGCATGAATGCTGACTGGAGCCATTTGAAAGGAATGAGCATTCGCATACAAATCAGCTCAACCTTCATGGACCTGCCCTTGCCTGGTTCAAATCCTAGCTTTCCCACCATCTCCACTTTGTCTCAACTAATGGCTTTTCCTCCAGCCCCTGCACCGCCATGTGTGGCGTCCCTCAGGGCTCTGTCCTTGTTCCCCTCCTTTTCAACATTTACATGCTCCCTCTTGGTGACACGATCCATAGACATGGGATCAATTTCCACATGTATGTAGATGATACACAGCTCTACCTCACCATTTCCAATCTCGATTCCAGGACCACTTTGAGGACAGACTGCCTGTCAGACATCAAGTCCTGGATGAGAACAAACTTCCTCCAGTTGAATGTCAACAAGACCGAGGCCCTCCTGCTTGTCTCCTATGTGTGCCTCCATACCTCGGGCACTGACAGCATCACCCTTCATGGATGCACTCTACACCTCACGGAGACAATACAGAACCTCGGGGTCCTGTTTGACCTTCAACTATCCTTCATTCCCTACATCCGTGCCATGACCCGCTCCACCTTTCCCTACCTCCACAATATTGCCCGGTTCTGCTACTGTTTCTCATTCCAGGCTGCCAAGATTCAAATCAATGCATTCATCACATCTAGGCTTGACTATACAAACTCTCTGCTTGTCGGCCTCCCCAACTTCTCCCTCCACAGACTGCAGATCATCCAGAACTCTGCAGCTTGTGTCATCTCTCGCACCAGGCTCTGCAACCCTATCACTCCCAACCTCACCCGCCTCTACTCAGGATACAATTCAAGATCCTGGTCAAGATCCAAAGCCCTCCTCTGTGAACTCCTACCCCCCCCAACCTGTCCGCTCCCTCTGCTAAGCAGGCTCTGGCCTGCTTCATGTCCCCACCTTACCTGCCCCACCATTGGTGGGTGGGCCTTCAGCCATCCCACAGTCCCTCCGCCTCGTGCCCTCTCTTGACTCCTTCAAGACCCAGCTCAAGACCGTGCCTTCAGTCATCCTTCTAACCTTACCCTCCCCACCCTCCAACCCTGCTGATCCCAACCACCAGCTCAGGTGTTGATCCCTGACTGTGATGTGAAAGGTGCTGTGTAAATACAATTTGTTGCAGTTGATCAGATGTCATAGCAGCTTCTCATCTCAACAGTTTATGTTTGTAATATCCCTCGTCTCCGGGTTTTTAACAAATGGTGTCGAGACAAAGAGAGAGTTTACAATTAGCTTCATGTAAGTGATATATACACTCTAGCTAAATTTGCAGCAGAATCTAGGAAGTTATATTTGTAGCTAGCATTTCTGAACAACCAACTGAATAGCCTGTGCTGTGGATAAGGCAATGACAGAGCCAGGAGCTGAGAATACATCTCCATCTCACTTGTCCTGAGCTGCAGAGGACGCAAAGCATCTCACACAAAACCTTACACAAAAGTACCAGCTTGCAGAGAGCTCTGAATTATATTAATAATATCATATATAACAATGCTTGTACTTGATATAGCACCTTATTACGTCATCGAGGTGTAAGTGGTTTGATTGTACATTTTGTGGATCTTGCCAGAGAAGTCCTTCTGAACAGATTAATCAGTTGTGTGGCTCAATAGCAGTTCAGGACAGAGCTGAGACGTGGTACAGGTGTTTCAAATACCGACCGGCACCTGATCTTAAATCGGTCAGAGTGATGACATGTCTCAGCAGTGGCTTTTGTTCATACTATAATGGTGCTTCACCCTAATAACATTCGCAGATAAACCTGGTCCTGAGCTTTGAAAGTTAATACTCGAGTGACTGGTAATGAAGTAGTTAAATGAATTGTGCACCAGTAACATTGTGCATGAGCCAAACCAAGGGAGTGCTGTCCTGGCTTCCATTGTGCCAGTGAACTGCATGAAGCAGTCTAGATATTGTTCGAAAGCACTGAGTGTTCAGCTTCACTGTTCGCAACTTAACATTTATGTGTAACATCTTAAGTAGATTTCCATCTCTTTGCTTGAGTCTGTTTGTACATATTTGATTCGGCCATTGTAAGGTAATGAGTTACAGCAGTGACCTGACCAATATGACCCTGTGTGTAAATATGCTGGCGTGTTTCAGGAGCACCTGTGTGCTACTGACTAACACTGCTGTCAGATTGCCTGAGTGTGGATCCGCAACCTCAACGTGCAAATACAAAAGAGAAAGCAGGTACCTGTTTCTGCTGGTTATATTTGGTCAGATTGGTGTTGTAATTCCAGCTGGCTGAAACACTCTTGAAATAAATGCTCTCTGCTGTTGTGTTGTAATCAGCCACAAATAACAAAGCACCCGCTTCATCCTTGGTGTAGTTGCCAGGTTTGTATTTGTCCTCCAGGGCACATGCGTTCCCTACAATAAGCAGCAGTGGCAGAAACCAAGGCATTTTGACTTGCATGTTCTGATGTCAGCTCTCTTCTCTGTGTGCGCTCCAGCACCAGCCTCTTTAAATACACTTCTACCTAGACCCAGCCCACATTTACAAGCCTTTCCAGCAGGGCTCTGTTGATAACACATAATCTTCTCGTGCTGACTGCCGATAGGACTGTGCTGAATAATGAAAACTATGCTCGCTGCAAGCTTTATTACATCCCAACATAAAAGCAGTTCCTTTTGCCATCATCTGTGCCATGGAAGCCCATCCCTTTATATTGTCAGGCATTGTTTGCCTGATTCCTCCTTTGCTCCAGGAGAAGTAGCTAAGTCTCACTCTCAGCTCAAACATCACTGCCTCTGGATGTTAGTGCAGTAGTTGTTGGGATTGAATTCTCTCATACTCGCTTGCATCTTGGGGCAAAGTCTCTGAAGCTCTCCCTTTGAACTACCTCCGGCTGTTTGTTACACACCACCAGCGAGCAGCTTATTGTACTCACTAAATAATAACAACAATAATAAAATTACGTGGGTATAGCGCTTTTCACGTCGGGAGGACATCCCAAGGCGCTGGACAGTCAGAGTTTTGGATCCGAGCTGGGGGTCGGGATTGGGGAGGGTGGAGGGCAGGGTGGGAGAGTGGAGGGGCAGGTGGGGGGTGAAGCGGGGTGATCGAAAGCACAGTTGAAGAGGAGGGTCTTGAGATGGGTCTTGAAGGAGGCAAGGGAGTGGGTGAGGCAGAGAGACTGTGGGATAGAGTTCCAAAGGATGGGGGCAGAAGGCCTGCCCGCCAATGGTGGGGCGGGGGAGACTGGGGATGTGAAGAGCTGATAAGGCACTATATTAACTGCAAGGATTATTATTAAGACACAGGATGGGAGGAGGAATTTACCAGCTATTTACTTTGTATGGAACCCGTCCTGTTCCTGACCTGGGAGCACCAGAGTCTGCCGCATGGTGTTTGTTTTGCCATTTTCAAACAATATCTTATTTCTTATGACATTTCACCCAATTTTTCCCCTAAAACAGAATACAAATGGAAACAAAGTAAAAGAAAGGATTTATAAAAGTATCAATGGAAAAATAAAGGAAACAATTTTTGGAATAAAATGAGGAAGTCACATAAAAAAATAGCTCAAGACATACTGAGATATGAATAGAGGATAAAATACAAGCAGATGGAACTAAGAGACAATGAAAGAAAATAAGGATGAAAAGGAGAAAACACACAGGATCCCGACCCCCCAGTTCGGGTCCAAATCCCTGACTGTCCAGCGCATTGGGTTGTCCTCACAATGTAACGATGCTATAAAAAAATTATTTTGTATTACTGGCTCAGCTGTGAAGCTTGGAATAACCTAAAGAGACTGAAGTCCCCGGAAACTGTTGGCAGAGTTGCCAAGGGAGTGATTAGTTTTCGTGATTGACTCACATGAGGTTCCTTTAAGTGATAAAACTATCAACCTTATCGGTTGTTAGCATGATGCTTTCAATAAATTGCTTTCTTATGTCAGCAAAACTCAGCAGTTGCTTGTAAACCTAATTTTAGAAAAGGTTTGGGTTTCAGAATCAATTCAAGGGATTGAAGACGAGAATGAACAGTAGGTAGCAAACATATTAAATAACTACTTCTTAGAACCTCTCTTTTTACACAGGAGAATCTTAAAAACCTGGCCTCCAAATTGCAGCAAACAATGAGCTTCAGGATTTTAACATAAAGTGAGGCTGCAATTCTGGATAGGCTCAAGGGACGTAAGCCCAACAAATCCACTGGTACAGATTAACTTCCCCAATATATTCAGGGAACCAAGACAACAACAAATTACACTTGTAATAGCGCCCTTCACGTCGGAAAGATAGGGGATGTGGGCAGCACTGACAGACATTATGAGGGAATCAATCAGGACTTGGGAGGTTTCAACAAACTGGAAGCAAAGCAGATGTTCCCTTATTCAAGGTAATGTGATGGAATGTAGTCTGCCCTCAATAATTGGAAAAATAATGGAGCCAATCGTGAGAAAAGAAGTAGAAGTGGGAGATTGCCAAGAAGGGTGACTGGTTTGGATGTTGTGGTTGTGTCAGTTCCAGTGCCAAGCTTCAGGATGTCTGACATGTCACACAAGCAAAAGCAAGTGTTATTATTGGAAAGAAACCTGTTAGAAAATAACCTGCTTAAATATGGCAAAACACAACAGACAGCTAAGGGCCATGTGACCCTTTGTCAAGGAAGTTTAAACACAAGAGCAAAGTGCAGTGAAATCAATTCGCTTTATCAGTAATTGAACTTGCATTAATTTCAGTTGCTCTAAAATTTATACCATTTATTTCAAGGAAAAATAAGAAACATAACCTAATGCAGCACATTGAATGGGACATTTTCCAGTGTTGTTTACTGCAAATTTTCTCCCAGAATATGTGAACAACTGGGTATCTCATAGGGGAAGAATAAGGATATTTAGAAGGTACAGATTTCTCTCATTCACTGGTGTAGTGAGGAAAAATTACACAATAATTCTCCTTTGCGCCAAAATCAAATATATTTGTAAAATATCTTTTTCAGAGGATCTTGGAAATAACACCCCACTTTCCCACCTTCACAAAATGTACCACGTTGTGAAGATACATGCAGCTCAGAGCTGTCAGGAGGCTTAAATAATACATCGCCAGGGTATGATACGAATTATGTTGGTGATTCCAAAGCCGAACTAAGTGGACTGAATGCCTAAAATATATCTAGGATTGGATGCCTGTATCAATGTCTGATATTGCTATTGCTTCATGGATGTTTCTAAAGTTGTTTTCATGCTTTAGGCAATACATTAATCAGATACTTTTCATGAAGTTCAAGGTTTCCAGTTAAATATCAGTTACACAACCTGAACAGTCAGCACATTAACTGGGAAATCAAATGTTAATGAAACTACACCATAAAGACCGACAGATAGATTTTATTGCTGCATTTGTTCACTCTCTGGTGGTGTCTGCATCCTCAGTATATTCCAGAGCTACAGATAATTAAACTCCTCATAAGCAATTCTCAATACTATAATGGAATATGCTGTCAGACACAACTGACTGATGATTTTGTGCTACATCTTTATCATGTTGGTAATTTGTTGGATGTTGAGTTCAAAGAACAATGAAGTAGAGACTGTGTGAACTCAATTCTTTGAGGTTTCATGGGATTTACTTTGATACCCACCTCCAGGGATTTTACATTGTCAGTAAACTAATCTTTCCAATTGATACAATACTTTATCATATAGAAGAATTGCAAAGAGTTTTCTGTAAAGTGTAGAGACTGTGTATTTTCAGCCTTAACACAGCAGTCAATTTGCACATAACAATTTCCCACAAACACCCACAAAGTGAATAACCTTTTTTTTAATCTGGAGGATGTTTGGTCAGGATATCAGGAGAAATTTCCTTTTCTTTTTGGATAGTGTGGTGTCCACCTGAACAGGCAGATGGGACCTTGGTTTAACATCTCATCTGAAGGATAGCACCACTGACAATGTTGTTTGCCCTGCTTTGGAGTGCCAGCTGACACTGAGGTCAATTTCTTGATGTGGAGCTTGAAACTCCAACCTGTTGACTCAGTGGTGAGTATCAGTCAGGCTTTAATTGCTTGTTGGAGGAAAATATAATTTTGATTTGGTCAGTTGGGTAATTGAGACATGCAGAAACCCAATTTAACTAACATGCCATTGAAGCACTGTCTGGCAAGCTTTCTCACAGCTTGTCCAGGTAAGGCCATCCCCTCTGCCCCAGGAGAGTAATACAACACAATTTACATTCATGTAGCGCCTTTCATGTCAGGACTATGTTTCAAACACTAATGGGATCCAAACCTGGGTGTGATTTAATACTAGATGTGTCCACCTCTGTGAAAACTGAGATAAAATATTTATTTAGTATCTCTGTCATTCCTTGCTCACCTGGTGGTTGTGAATATGTTTTGGGATGAAAGACCTGATATAAATGTAAATTTTATTCCCTCAAGTAACTTTCCATTCCCTTTCAAAAGTTTCCCTAATCAGTGCCCGAACATCCTTCATCCGCTTCATCTGCAAGAAGGAACTCTGGCCCTACACGGACATTTTGCCACATCTCTAATCGATAACCTAACTGATAGATAGATACCAGTTGTAAATTGTTTAGGGTGTGTTGTAATACAGAGCAGAAACCAAATGTTCAGCACATTCCAATGAATCTGACTTGTGGAACCTGAATCGGTTCCACTGATCTCCTACTCCATGGGATTATCCCCTAATGCTATCTTTGCTTTGGACTTGATCATATGATCTGCACTTCAGTCCAGGTTGATAGTGGAGAATGACACAGAATGAAAGAATGAATATCAGAATCACCAACAATCTTAGGATAATGAGGATGATGAGCAATAATCGCCTGGGAGAAAATAAATGTGAATATAGTTCAGACAACTCAGTTATATGGATGTCTATACATTTGCACGTGTGTATGTGTATGCATTGTGCATGTTCATGTCCACTCAATGTGTGATTGCTATAAGTCCAAATTCCAATGTGAATTGCATTGGAGAACTGCAGGAGCACATTGAGTCTCTCAATGATCCCTTATTGTTGACCTTAGAATCACACCGAAAGGGTTCAAAGTCCTGTAGCTCAGTGGTTAGAGCACACGCCTTGCAAGCGAGACACCTGGGTTCAATTCCAGGCAGGGCAAAACCTTGGGCAAGTTTCCTTACGCCACACGCCTAATAATAATCCCTCCAAAACAAAACAATAATAAATTGGTCATTTTCAATCCACGACTGTTTGTGGGGACGCTGCTGTGCGCAATTGGCTGTCGCGTTTTACCCACAAATATATGGTCAATTCGCTTTACAATCTATTCTGTGAAGCGCTTTGAGACGTCGAGAGTACATGAAAAGCGCTATATCAAATGCAAGGATTATTATTACAAAGATCTTTTTTAATTCATAAAATTGTACACAAAATAAAACAGAGTTCAATCCCCTGAAAGACAACAGCGTAATCTTTAACTTGGATGGGCTCTGTTAGCTCTGGCTCAGCACATTATTTGTTTCACAAACTATGGATCTACAGCACCACTGCTCAGGTCAGAACATCATGTTCACAAATTAACACAATTAAGTTGGCAGGAACAGAAAGATCTAAGATTTCAATTACTTTGAGAAAATCTTTGAGTTGGTCATTTTATGAACATGAACGTGCTCAGACTTTGACTTTTGGCTATTTACTACAATCGTTACAATCATGTATTTATGCTCACAGCTAAATATTTATTTCACATTCATACAAGATGATAGGGGAGTCCTGTAGCTCAGTGGTTAGAGCACTCGCTTTGCAAGCGAGAGACCTGAGTTCAATTCCAGGCAGAGGGCGAAACCTTGGGCAAGTTTCCTTACTCCACACAGAGCCTAATAATAATCCCTCCAAAAAAAACAAAGCAATAATAAAATTGGTCCTTTTCAATCTACGACTGTTTGTGGGACATTGCTGTGCGCAATTGGCTGCCGCTTTTCGCCCACAAATATACAGTCAATTCACTTTACAGTATGTTCTGTGAAGCGCTTTGGGACGTCCTCCCGACGTGAAAAGCGCTATATCAAATGCAAGGATTATTAGTATTATTATATTAGCAGGTGCTCAGTGTATTGTGAATAAATGGCTTCTAGATTCCAAATTGTCACTGCGTGCTCCAGGAGATCTTGTGTCAGGAACAGGAAGTATATACGTCTTCTCTTGTTCTTTCTTGAAGACACTGATTCATGTTTGTGCTGTTCTTAGGCATCTCTGGTACTTTCCTTTCCCAACCTAAGGAAATCACTCCCCCACCTCCCACTGAATGTCTCCTTGCGAGTAACACTGTCACATAGGAGAGTCTAAGAGTATGTTGGTGGTGGAGCCATGGAGCAAATTAATGGAAAAGTCTAGTTATAGGATCTGGGAGCAAGCTGCTGATTTGAGGCAGCATGATATAGTTATCAAGACTTGTTTTGTTGAACTGATAGAATCTGAATGTTGTTCAGCAGAAAAACTGAGTTTGACATGTATCACTGGGGCTGCTGCAAATCTCAAGGTTCTTGTTGCCCTCTTGTGGTAGATAAAATGCTGCCATAGCTTCCTCGCTCTGAGGGTGTGGTGAGTGTTTGGTTGCAATGGAGATAGTTCACAAGAGGTTTTAATGAAGCAACCCCTTTAGCCCATCTGATTTCCCTTCCTTACAGAACACCCACCCTATTGACTTCACAGCATCAAGGGCCCTGGTCTCAACTAGCCTTCCTGGTAACCTGTTCCAGTCTTTATTTGCCCTCTGGGTAAAGAAATATTTTCTGATATCGGTCTTAAAATTGCAGTTTGCCACCCTTGATCTGTGTCCTCTTATTCTGCTATGTTGGTGCATTTCAAAGTATTGTTCTGGGTTTACTTTTCATCAACCTATTTTGGCATTACAGCAGAACCCTATTCTGTCCTTAATCAATTGTCCACTCAGATACGTAAGTACATATTCTTTCCAGCAGTAAAAATTAGATAGTAATCGTTGGTAACCAAATCCTATTCAGTTTTCACCCTCCTCACCCCATGGCACTTTTAAAAAAAGAAAAGAGGTTTCTTCTGGTATCTGGCCAACAATTCCCTAAATAAAATGTTACACAATTCATGGCTTATGAAACATTGTTGGATGCAAAGTGACTGGTTTGTTTGCATATACAGAGTCATTACTTTTCATAGTAAAATCCTGTGAAACGTCAATTCATCTTGATGATGTGATAAGGCACTATAACAAATATCTTCCCTAATCCATATGGCCTGTAAGATCCAACAGTGTAGTTACTGAGCCATACAGATCAGTGCTATCTAACCCAATAAAGAGTTGCAGAGCACGAAGCTTTAAAGAGAATGTTTATGTTACAGAGATCTGGGGTCAACAAACAGAAATCTTTAAAGGTGGGAAGGCAGGTGGATAAAGTTGTGAAGATAAGTAGGTTTTATAAACACAGGCATAGAATAAAAACCTAAGGGGTGAAGATTGACCTCTGTATAACATTGTTCACCCACATTAAGGATGGCAGGGCCGAGGCTGCAGAGGACATTTACCAGGGGATACTTTTTCAATCCCATTTAAAATTGTAAACACCTCTATGAGGTCGTCTTCTCCCAAGACTGAAGAGTCCTAGCTCGTCTCTGGTTACAGCAACCTGACAACCCAGAAATAGCCCATTTTTTTACAGTTGGCTTATATTGAGGCCACCAAGATATTAATAATAATCCTTGCATTTGATATTATGGACTAATAGGGTTGCCTTGTAGTTTCTTGTTCCATCATCTGTGCTGGTAGTTTGTTCCACATACTATCATTCTTTCACTAAAATAAATTGTCTAGCACATCCCATTCTTCTTCAAATCTAGCGTTATCACCAGCAAACAGGCACATGCTGCATATCCTCAGAACTAGGGAATGGTGAAGGTGCAAAGGTCAACACCACAGTGTCATTTGGCCCAATTGATCTGCTTCTATGTGGGTGCCAGGTTTGAATATTAGTTATTACTATGTTATATTATGGTGCTTTCATCGTGTATGTTATGTGATGATGGATTCAAACACATTTCAGTTAAACGTAGCACAGGCAGGTGGGGTATCTTTTCAATTGGTCAGCCGGGTGTCTGACACATGAGGAAACCCATCACCATACTTAAAAGTATCCAAACCAGACAGAATTCTACATATGTATGTCACTTACACATGGAAATTTCTGTATCTAGAAACGAATACACATTCTCCAACAACAACTTACATTTATATCATGCCCTTCATGTGGGGTAATGTGCTGGAGAGCTTGGCAAGTTTCAAGAAATTGTATTCTATTCTAGCTATGGCACTGGCTGTCAAGCTTCACTCTGCTTCTCCCAATGAGGACCATTTGTTAGTGCTTCAGTTTGCAGAGGAGTGGGCAGAATTCCTGTCCCCAGTGACTGGTCTGTCCCTTCAAGTCTTGATGAGCCAGGCTGGCTGGTCTGTCATAAGCAGTGCCGTGAGGTACTGTAGACCTGTCTGCCTCAGCATTTGGATGGCCAAGATTACCACAACGGGATGACTTGATTCTGATTTTCTGTTACTGAATAATAATAATAATAATCCTTGCATTTAAAAAACGGCTTTTCTCGTCTTCAAGATGTCTCAAAGCCTTCACAGAATATACTGTAAAGTGAATTGACTGTATATTTTGTAGCTAAAAATGCAGCAGCCAATTGCACACAGCAGTATCCCACAAACAGTCGTGGATTGAGTGACCAAATTATTATTGGTTTTTTTTGAGGGATTATTCTCAGACGTGTGGAGTAAGGAAACTTGCCCAAGGTTTTGCCCTGCCAGGAATTGAACCCAGGTCTCTCGCTTGCGAGGCAAGTGCTCTAGTCACTGAGCTACAGGACTTCACTGTCCTGTATTGAATACATCAATACATCACACAGTTTCTCCTTGGAGCTAAGATGACTGAGTTAGTTACTGCACCCGTTCTCAGAACCGGTGAAGGTGAATAATTTGCCTCTGAATTGCAAATGTGACTCAGGAGTGGCCGCATCTGACTCCCTTTTATTTGCAAAGCATCAAAACCAAATAGCATTAGCAGTCAGCTACTTGCATCACCATAGTAACAAGATAAACCCGGTGGCTGTGTCTGGTCGGCTCATTTGGTTCCTTATACGTCAGTCAGAACAAGTTAACAGCTGTTCTTCCTGTTTGGAAAAGGTGCGAGTATTTTGGTCACAAAGCCATTCACAGTCAGACTAAGTTCCTGGCCCTCACAGCAGCAGGAATTCATGGGCAGATTTGGTGACAAAGGAAAGGTGCGCACCTGTAGGAGCAGGCCTTTGTGAAATCTGATCTCTAAATTAGGTAAGTCTTTTTTGAAGTGTTAGCACTGTCCTTTGTTATAATTTGAAAACAGATTTGTATGTTGCTGTCAGATTCGTGCTTTCCTCAGAATTGGATTCTTGCTTGTGTGAGTGGGAGGCGTAAGACAACAAGTTTTTCTTTAAAGCTGAACTAAATATGTTTGAGGAGGTGTTTATCGGTGTGGCCCTGTCAGGCAGACACTCCGTCAGTGGTTGTCACACACTAGGAATGTTTAACAAGGCCTTTCTGGAACAGATGATCTGGAGGCATAAAGGAACCTGGCTGTGGTGTTGTATGTATTGTCTTTTATCTCTAATATTTTATTATGTTGCTGAAATTCAAATCTTTACAGAATACCTGCACTTCCACCTTCTCATGCTAGAGAATATCTATATTATATAAGACTGACATTTACAAAATTTCATAATAGATTCAATATGACCACATTTACCCCAATAACATAATGCCTTCAGATCGTACCTGAAAATCTTGTTTTTACTGTGTCCATTGTCAGTTCCACACTCTCTCCGTCTCAGCGTCAAGCTCCTCCACTGTTAAGCACTCCGAGACATCACCCTGCCTGAATGGCTCTATGTAATTGCAAGTTGCTGTATATATTTGATAAAACAATCAGGCTCAGTTTAATACTCCAGCATACTTTATAACATGTTATTTCCCCATGAATGTCATATATGCTTGGCTGAGTTACAAGTGGTTTATTTACTGCATAACCTTTTCCTGTTGCCTGTTCTGTATAATGTTAGCAAACACTCTGTCAGTGCCTGCCTTGCAGGGATACTCTGCTTATTGTGAGTGTAGTGAAACTGAACAAAACCAGAACAGCAGATATCGGATATGTCTCGGGGAGTTGTAGATCAGTGGGATGTTGCGCAGTTCAGTGCATCACTTCCCAAAGATGCACTGCAGGGCCTGAGTTTCTTATTTCTACATTTTAATATTACTTACAAAATACAATTTGATCATTACAGTAAATCTTGTTATATTGCGTTTTGAAACATCCTCCTGACAAAGGCATACAGCAATGATAAGGATTATTCTTATATTCAAAACAGCAAATTTGGGTTCAAGCCCTGCATTGGAACATTAAACTCCCAGTGAGGGCTGAATGGGAGTAGAGATCCAGTGGGGAGTCAGCACCAGTACAGACAATGGGGAAAGAGGAGGGCAATATAATTAATAGATGGCTCCTTTGGTGGTGCTAGCATCAGCACAGGCATGATGGGGATGTGTAATTAGGATTAGAGTGGATACCAGCAGATTACTAGAATTCCCACTTAACCAATGAGGAAACAGTGGAGAGCTCTATTGGAGTATTAGTGCTGTATATGCTTGATGGGCTGAGTGGCCTTTTTGTGTGCTGAAATTGCCATGTGAAGCAGCCCATGATTTCCAAAAAGTAGAGAAAACATTAGCTTTTAGTAAAAAAAAGGCTTGAAATTCTATATGGTTTTGGCTTAAAACTATTGCCTTTCAAAACCTTCAATGTTGCTTTAATTTTAAAAGGATCATGGTCTTAAGACTAAGACTATGGGAACTTTCAGGCCTTTGATGCCAAGAGCAAATGGTTTTATAGAAGATTCTGGTCAAGTGTGAGTGAAGAAGTAAAATACTAAGCAACTCTCGGTCCACACTGGGCTCACTGCAAATTCCTGATCTGTAATGTTTGCAGGAACGGTGATCCCAGCTCACAATGGAGAACGGCCTAATGGATCAACCCAGTCGTGCCCAGCTGCCGTGGTTTATTGCCCTCTCCCAGGTCATTGGCCTGTCTGTCGTCGTCATCACTGGTGTGTGGATGGGTCACTATCGGGGGGGCTTTGCCTGGGATGGAAGTTCTCTGGAGTTTAATGTGCATCCACTCTGCATGGTGATTGGAATAGTCTTTCTCTATGGAGATGGTGAGTAGTGACTTTGTTCAGGCTGCGTGGTCATGTGACCTGTTTTGTGTTTACATCAATAATTCCTATAGACCGTTCTCTCCTAACACGACCCAAGTTTATTTCTCTCACCATGTTCCCAATCACATTCTTTAAAAGATGAACGTGTGGCTGACAAATCTATATAAATGGATTAAAGTCAATTTGTTAGTAAAACAGTCTTGTTTTATCTACAAACTGAATCCATTGGCTGATATCTGCTATAAGGTAAGGTACCGCTGGCGAGATGACAGATGGTTTGATGAAACGGATGGCATGTCTGAGACCGGAGGCTCATGACTGGATCAGACACAGGAAGGAAATAATTCATTGGCACAGATCTGCCCCAGGGCTGGTCCTGTGCAATGAGATTTACAGAGCAATTGTGGATACGATGTCCTGGATATATATGCGTCTCAGTCAGTCAGGAAATCCAGATGCTGAGATCGCTGATTGCGATTTGTGGCCTCAGGCTTTACCAGGCGATATTGTTCTGTGATTGAATTTTAAACTGAGCATTGCAAGAGATAATTCAGCAAATTGCATTTCTCATTTATACCCTGAGAACAGAATATTAGCTTAGATTTCATCAGGAAACCGTTCACCGTGACACCGCTTTCTGCCAAAAGGGATGGAAATCTGCCTTCCTCAGAACTAAAAAGCTCAATATTACATCTTTTCATCCGAGATTTGCTCTTAGAACATCCAAATCTGTTCTGGGAAATGGCCCTGGAGCAGATGGCTGTCACCAGCACCAACGATGTTATTGTGGAACAGAGTGATCAATGCTCCTGCCACAAATGAGCTGTTTTTATTTCTTTTTCAGCTATTATGGTCTTCAGAATCTTCCAGAATGAGAGTAAAGCTGCCGTAAAGATTCTGCATGGAATCATTCAACTAATTGGACTAATAGCAACAATAATAGGTAAGGTTGTTCCTGGTGGGGGGAGAGTGACTGATCTCTGTGTACACATGCTGTGTAATTGTTTCGCTGTGCAAAGGTAACAAGAAACGATAAAGAAGGTCATCAGTCCATTTGATCTAATTCTTTCAGCAAACCCACCTCCCATTCCAGCATTGAGCTGAAGGGACCCCAGCAACATCTCTCAAAAACTGGCCTTGCCTTCATTTCTCACTCTGCACTTTATAAACCCATCTTGTTATTATTGTCACTCTCCGGCTTTTCAAATCCCATAATTGACATTATGGCCTCACATTTGCACATGCTCGCATGTACACAGAACCAGGCAGACATAAGTGCAAGCAAGTAACTCCTTGCTTCTTGGTGTTACCGAGCCATTGGTACCATCTAGTGAGATCTGAAAGTATTCCTGTTTACTATAAGAATTACATCATATAAAGGCAGTTGTGCTTCTTGCAGGGGACAGGACAAGACTCATTGCATGTAATAGCACTCCCGACTCTCAGCTCCTAACTCTCATAGTCTGTCTTATGTTGCTTTGTAATGTAATCACAGAGAATGTCCTGGCTCTTACAGCGCACATGACAGAGAGGAAACTTCTGATGGCAGAGCAAAGGCAAGGAGTGGGATGATGATAACTGGGTGTTTCTGGCTTCTCTACCCAGGCTTGGTTGCAGTGTTTGAATTCCACATGGAACAAAAGAACCCAGACATGTACAGTCTTCACTCCTGGTGTGGACTCATCACTGTAATCCTTTTCGGTTTACAGGTTAGTGCCCTCAGCCCTTGCTTACTGCCCCAAACCCCCTACTACCTTGTCCACCATCCCACGAGATTTCCCACCAACCTTAATCTCCCTGTTTGATGCTCTGCTGGTAACTCAGTTTCCTTGGTTGTTTCCAGTGGCTGATGGGATTAGTCTTCTTCCTATTCCCCGGTGCCAGCAATTGGCTACGAGCCAAATACAAGCCACTCCACGTGTTCTTCGGGCTGACTCTCTTCCTTCTTGCCATCGCAACCGCATTGCTGGGAATCACTGAGAAACTGCTCTTCTCCATCAGGTGAGGAATTGAGGTTGTTCTGAGGGATGGGGCTGAGGGTTTATCAATCTGAGATGAGGGGGATGGTGATCTCTTTCCTGTACTAGGGTTGGGGCTTCGAACTGTGATGATGCTGACTTGTTCCTATGCTTTGCAGCGACGGCTACTCGAAGCAGGTGCCTGAGGGTATCCTCGCTAACGTGCTTGGGTTGCTGCTGGTGGGATTTGGACTCACGGTTGGTTATGTAGTGACCCGGAGTGAATGGAAACGCCCACCCAATCCCGAAGATGAGCCCCTCTCCATGCATTTCAAGACCCTGACAGAATGCGATAGCCCCGACTCTCAACAATGAAACACAAGCCAGAGGCCATCTGCATGCGTCAAGTGAACATCAATAATTTAGCAGATTCAGTATGTATGTAGGGAAGTATGTAGGGAGTGTCTGGGGAACATTGAGGTCATGTTCAGCAACACAGTTATCAGACTTGTTAAGGCTTGCCTTCTCCCTCATGCTATCATATGCAAGTGATAAGTAGGAAGTTCCCAGCCACTCGCTGTTTTATGCATTTGTGTCACGGCTGCCAGATTTACGCATGTTCACTTGACTCTGATCAGTTTAATTTAAGACGTCATAGAAATAAATGTTCATTGTTTTTACTGCTACGCCAAACCTGACTGCTTAGCGACGGGGCTGAGTTGGTTTATTGGCCAGTGTCTTACTCCAGCTTCATTCTTTCTCAGATAATTAACAGGGGCAGAAATGATTTAAGTCACCAGGTGATCACTAATTACTTGACCTACGGTGGCTGTTAAGTTACTTGGGAAAGATCAGAGCTGGGAATCTCCTTACCACACCTGTGTCTTTGTTTAGTGACACATTATGTTATTTAATAAATGTTGCAGCAAAATACAGTGTATTCTGTTTCATTCAACTGCCTGCCACAGAAGCAGAATATTTATATAAAAATCAGAAGACAGATTTAATATCAAATTAGAATTAGTTGTTTGAATGATAGCAGCTGTTGAGGAGGGGGACAGAGGAGGGAAGGAGGGAGATTGAGGGGTTTGCAGGTGAGGTGAGACTCCAAGCATCAATGTCAGAACTTAAAATTGCTACATTGAACAGTTTTTTTTCTTCTGAATAATTTGCAGTAAATTCGCTGAGACCCGGTGGGTTTATTAGCTGCCCAACTGGGTTTGGGACTTTGGTACTTGGTTCTGGAGTGGGAGTTGTCTAATGTAAATGTGCCTTGTTGCAGCTCTAGTTCCAATTTAAGCCGGGTTTCTTCGGAGCTGAACTGGTTCCAAGGCGAAATGCCTGGCAACAGATTGCCGGAATCGAGCCAGCCCTGGGTGGTGGTCTCTAGTCCGGTTCCTGAGCCAGGTGTGTCTGTAGTATTCCAGGGCACTGCATGACAGCCCAGCTTGGTTCATCTACAGATACTGTTAAGCAGGGTGATGGGTTTCCGCATGTGTCAGACACCTGGCTGGCCAAAAAAAAGTCCTCCTGTGTTTCTTGTGGGAGTTTGATCTTCACTTTCAGGACATTGATCAGTGTTTTCCAATCTGGTTTTACTTATGTGTTAACAAGGGAATTAACTTGTCTCTATAGCAATACTAAAGGCAGGATCAGTGGCTGATTATTTACTGTCTGACATCCACTCCTATCAGCAATGCCAGTGTGTATCACTGGTGCCTATAGCAACTCATTGTTTGCCTGAATTTAATTTACCAAGAGCTGCATTAGTACATAATCTGGTCTGTCCGCACACAGCATGTACTTTGGAGGGGCTGGTAGGAATGGCGTTTATTCTACTCAGTTATGGAACCCTGAGGCTCCAAGAGTGGAAATTATTCAACAACAGGTAAGCAATTTGTATATGTGCACATACCCACAGCTTGGACGGTTGATGAAGTACGAAAGAATGTGAAAAATGGGAAGATACTGGTTCTCACCTTTAAATCCCTCCCAAGGTCTTGCCCCACCCGACCCCTGCTACCGTCTCAAACCCGATCAACATGGCCGCTCTCTTCAGCAGGTGAGCAGTGGCCTGACCACCCCACCATCCGCAGGCAGCCTTTCTGCCCACACTTTCTGGCACTCCATCCTGGAGTCCCTCGGACTTGCTCCCTCCCTTACAATGCCGGTCTCATCTTTCCCACCCCCTTCAGCTCCCACACCCAGCCCAGATATCCAGACAGTCCTGTTAGGCACTTTGTGACATCCTCATGACATGAAAAAGTTATATAAATGTAAATTTTGTATTGTATAAAATGTATTACCTTCAGATACTTAAAAGATACAGGCTTGCAGAAAGTTCTCTTTAAGATGAAGTATTGCCAGAGACCTGTTGATAAACATTACATACAAATTTGATATAATTTCATCTCAACACACTCACATGAAGAATGGCCACTTGAGCAAAAGCACCAGACTGGCAGCATTGCAACCCATCTCAGAGAAGAGCTTTAAATCAAAGCTGGTTTGGTCCTTTATCTCTACGCATCTCATCCTTCTTGTCCCGCATACCCACTGCACACAATATTCCAACTCCCCATTCCACCTTATTCTGGTTGAGTGTTACTACTACTTTATCTTAAAAACTTCCAATTAAGCCATTTCAAATTCTCTTCCAATGAGAACTGTCCAAACTGTTCACCTCAGCCTTTCCTCGTTAAGATTCCTGAGAGCCTGACCCCACCTCCCAGGTGGAATCTCACAGTTGACCCAGTGATCTTATTTGCTTTAATTTCTACTCAATCTCTACTAATGATGCCCAGCTTTTTCTCACTGCAGCCAAATACTCAGTTTATGATTTCATTATTTTCCTGAATAATGATCATCTCCCTTGTTTCATAAAGGTCCCCCAACAGGCGAGCATTATAATTCAGGAGCTCTCTGGGCTGCAGGCGCCAGTATCACACTTTGCTACAGTCAGGAATGGACATGTGAAGGAAGGTAAAATGTTTGGGTTATTTAGTTTGGGGTCATGGTTGTTCAGTGGTCTCACTCTAGATCATACTGTATTTTCAAACCAGCTGGAACTAGGAGATGAATGTCTCTCCTCCCTGCTAGTTGTAAGGGTTCATGTTGAGATGATTTTTTTTAACATAATCAAATTGTGGGGTAGGGGAGGATGGCCTCAATATTAATATAGTGGAGTACTCTCACTCTATGAATACGGATGGCTGACAAAGAAATATCAGCCTGGATATCAGAAGGTGCTTTCGGACACCAGTTAAGTACACATTATTTCTCCATAAATTCATTTTCCGTTTGATTGTTAATGGTGATACCAACCTTCTTTCTCCCTAACACCATTTACGTGCATCTCACCACATCATCCCTCCAAAAATAATACTAATAATTTGGTCACCGCTGCTTACGGAACACTGCTGTGTGCAATTTGGATGCCACGTTTCGCCCACAATACTTTATAGTGTAACTAAACATTGGAAATTAAGGCATTGAAAAGGGTGCAGAGGAGATTTACGAGGTTGGTATCAGGAATGAGGGGCCTTGATTATGAGGAAAGGCTAGAGAGGCGATTATTCTCATTGGAGCAGAGAAGGTTACGAGGAGACCTAATAGAGGTCTTCAAAATCATGCGGGGATTTGATAGTTGGAAAGGGAAAAACTGTTTCCACTGGTGGGTGTGTCGGTGATTCGAGGTCACAAATTCAAAATAGTCTCTAAAAGAAGCCGAGGGGAAGTGAGAAGAAATGTTTTCACGCAGCGAGTTGTTCTAATCTGGAACGTATTGTCTGAAAGGGCGGTCGAAGCCGATTCGATAACTACTTTTAAAAATGTGGTGGATGGAAATTTGAGGAGGACGGGTTTGCAGGGTTATGGGGAAAGGGCTGGGGACATTCATTGCTCTATTCAAAGAGCCGGCACAATCTCGATGGGCCGAATGGCCTCTTTTTGTGCTGTACGATTCTATGATTAAACATTCTGACCCAGTCTATCAGCTACAGCTTCAGCCACTAGGACCTGAATGTTGGGTCTAAATATTGCAAACAATGGCTGTTAGCACAACTTGATGATGATCTCTGTAGATATTCATAAAATGTTTTACCACTGCCACACACACAGCCACACATACATTGTCACACACACAGACATTGCCACACACACAGCCACAGGTGCTCACACACAGATACTGCCACACACACAGCCACAGGCGCTCACACACACACTGCCACACGGATTATTGTATCTGATGGAGGTACACAGAGGTAACGTCAGTGACACGGTGCTGATGCAGCCTCTCTTCCTTTACAGATCTGGTGGAGCTGATGATGATACAAAACGCACAGATGCACCAAGTAATTATGAACAACATCACCATGACAGCGCTCAGCAGCTTTGGTCACAGTCCACAGTCACAGCCGGCCACTCAGGTCAGAGGTTTGATGACATTTCATGTTTGTGTAGCAGCCTCGTCGACATTTTACTGCATCGTGTACAATCGCAAATTACTGTGGCACTATCGCGCAAAGGACACAAAAGCCAGATATTAATTTAAGTTGTAGCCTCAAGACTCAAAGCTCATAATCTAACTGACGCGTCAATGCAGAATGATTTGAATCCGTTGGTTGAAGCATAAAACCATTTGTCTGATCTAAAGCTTCAGGTGGATGTTATCAAGAGATCTTGGGAGATAGTTTTAAAAAAACAAATTACATTTGTATAGTGCATTTCATGTCGGAAGGATGTCCCAAAGCTTGAAAGAGCAGAGAGTTCTCTGCTAAATTATATTTCTGCTCAGCAAGGCTGGACAGCTGTGAAAAGTGATCTGGCTCTTAACTTCCAAAGCGCAAAAGGACAGTGATTATCAGTAATAACCATTTATAATTTTAATGAAAATAATTTTCAGTTAGTTGCACACGCTAGCACCCCTTTACAGTTAGAGGCAGATGGTATGTTTTAGCACAACCACATTCCGATTAATCCCATGTCAGTGATGCTCAGTGAAACCAAAGTACTAGATCACATTACTGACTAGTGCCACATAGTTTGCGGATGTAATGTTTCTAGCAACAAGGCTGAGCATGGGATCTTCATTGTGTTTAGAACATAGGACCATTAAGAGAGGAAGTGAATGAGCCCGATACTATTTATCATCACCATTACGAAGCCTGGCCTTTCCCAGCATTTCCCTCCTGGCCCAGACTGTCTGCTCAGCCAGAGACCCAGCAACCAGGAATACGACACATCACCTCAGACCCATCGCCAAACGCACAGAAAGACATTCAGGCACCGTTGTGAGTTCTCAATTTATACATAAACTTTGCTCTGGGGAAAGGACAGGTAAATGGGTCTGGAAGCCTGCGCTGAAAAATGCCAACACAGGCATGATGGGCCAAATGGCCTTCTGTGCTATACATTTCTAAACTTCTATGAAACACATTCGGGTAACTGCTCCACTGCATGAAATTAATGTGTCACTGTATGGAGAGACAAAAAAAAGCTACAAATAAGGTATATTTGAGAGAAAACTCTCCATTGGTATAGGATTGAAGCATAACATATGAAATGCTAAGATTCTGAACTTCTCCAAGAACATAGGAACAGGAGGCTATTCAACCCCTCGAGCCTGTTCTATTAGACCACAGCTGACCTGTACCTCAACTCCCAATTGTCTGCCCTTGCTCCATATCCCTTGATACGCTGACCTAACAGAAATCTATCCACCAGATTCTTAAAAATTTGATCGGATCCATCATTCACTGCTTTTTGGGGCAAGAGATCCAGATTTCCACAACCCTACGTGAGAAAAAAAAATGTCTCATTCCACAATGCCTGAGCTGTAATTGTCAAGAGTGTGGAAGGATTTGCTAGATGTGGCTGTTTAAGATGAAGCATAATTTTAACTTGAAAACAAACGAGTTACTTTTTGTTCCTCAATCTTTTTATATAACCGATCGCAATTTGTTTTACTGCAGCAGAGCTGTGCCTCCACCACCCCCACCGAGTGCAACAGGGACTGTGGGGGCTGATGTTCCTCCAGCCTCAGGTACGTAGCACAGACAGCGGAGCATGTAACAAACATGAGCAAAGTGGAGGACGATTTGCCTTGAGAATTGTTTATCTAAAACGATCAGAGTAATTGAGTCCCTATACCTTATGGGCAGGAGAATGCCATGCAGTGGGACAGAGCTATAGGTGAGTGTGACCTGCTTTCCAGTCGATAAACGTCATTGCCTTAATAACGTGTTTTTTTCTTTCTGCAGAATATTACGATGTGGCTTGATGGCTAGCTGAGAAAATTAGCCTTTGTGTAAATGGAAGACGTTTCACTCGAACCTCAAACACTGAAATGTCGTGGTAAACATTCCAAATAAATAAAGCAGACCAACTCCCATCTTGCCCACACCCACCCATGCCTCCTGCTAACCGCATACCCTATCTTTCCTTGTCAGAACAGGAAAAGATCCCTGAATGTTTTGGCAACTATTTGCAGATTTGATGAAATGATATCTGGTTACCTCACTTTTTGAACTTTAAAATCCAAATGCTATAAATCTTTGTTCAGAGCGGTTTCCTGAAAAGAAAATGTCACAAAACACAAATAAAAAAAATATAAATCCAGCCAATTCTCAATTCTTTCCAACATGACATGGACTAAATATTACCAATATTTTACAGCAAAAACATTCAAGTTATAATTAATATAATCCAAACAGGTGAAGTGTTCAACACAAGGACTAAACATTGCTATGTGCAAATTAGCTGCCACATTTTGCCTAAAAAAAACACATAATTATCTGTGAATATCCTGTGAATTGCTTTATGACAGACATTCTCTAGACATGAAATGCTATACAACATGTAAGGATTATTACCTAGCTGGGTAGTATATATTCTAGTTAACTAACTTTTTAAAAAAAACCACAGTGGAACTATTTTATTAGGTTCTTTAATAGATCAAGCTTTCAACACACACAAAGTAGAACTGAGCAGTTGTGATAGGATTTGTTTACATAATAATCCTTGCATTTGATATAGCGCTTCTCGACGTCTCAAGGCGCTTCACAGAATAGACTGTAAAGTGAATTGACTGTATATTTGTGGGTGAAACGCGGCAGCCAATTGCACACAGCAATGTCCCACAAATAGTCGTGGATTGAAAATGACCAATTTATTATTATTTTGTTTTGGAGGAATTACTATCAGGTGTGTGGCGTAAGGAAACTTGCCCAAGGTTTCGCCCGGCCTGGAATTGAACTCGGGTCTCTCACTTGCAAACCGAGTGCTCTAACCACTGAGCTACAGGTCTCCAGATCCATATCCACTATTGCTGAAGCAGGAATAGATGGAATAAGATTATTTTTATAGGAATTTTATACAAAGTGGTGTAGCCAACCTTTAGGAATATGAGACTTCCATTATTTGGAGCGAAAGACCAAAGGTTTTCAGTGCAGTGACAGTTCTCAAATCAATATGTTTTCACTCACAAAATACAGTCAATCTACTGTATATCCCGTGAAGAACTTTTGAGTTGTCTCGATCACTTGAAAGGCCAGAGCTGCCGGGGTCAGGTTGTTGGGAAACCAGAGCTGCCGGGGTCAGGCTGTTGGGAAACCAGAGCTGCTCGGGACAGGCTGTTGGGAGACCAGAGCTGCTGGGGTCAGGCTGTTGGGAGACCAGAGCTGCTGGGGTCAGGCTGTTGTAAGGAATTATGCCATACGCTTAGACACAATGCACCAATTTTACATTTATTGAGTAACTTTCATGTCGGGAGGACGTCTCAAAGCACTTCAGTCAACTGAGGTCTGAGCTGGGGAATGGGAACATTTTTTTAGAGACAGGTTGTAATAGGGTTAAGATCAATTCACAAGGAAGCCCAGTGCATTGCTGGGCTGTGCAAAAACTTTGAGAAAGTAATTAGCTACACATGGGGAAATGTTAACAGTAAATTTGAATGATTCGTAAAAGAGGAGATGGTAAATTATCTAAAACATTGAGTATTTAAATTGAAATGTAATAATTATTGATTCACTAGAGAGAGATTTGGCTTGTTTACATTTTTAGACCCTAAAATAGCAACACCGAGAAGAATTAATAATCCTTCCTCTTGCAGATTTACATTAGACATCCCTGGGAGACAGTTTGCAGTGCAAGTTTCTTATATATTCTACACCCGTGTACTGTGCAGAGACAGAAGTCAGTACAGTAACAGAGGAAAGATATTTATAAACTCAGAAGATTAAAGACGAGTGGTTAAATGGTGTGGTGTGCAGGAGAGCTTTCTCAGCTTTACCTACCACAATGCCACACTTGACCAAGAGCTTCATTATTAAAAGTTATAATCAAATCTATTAGAAAAAAAATCAAGAAGCAATTATGAGTTCAAAAGGCTCCAGAAGAACAAGTGCATTTCATTGGCTGCATAACATGGGAGAGAAGGTACCCGAGCATCACAGAGTACCAAAGGTCTTTTTATGTTTGGAAATTAACAAATTCCAATTCAGGCGAGGTTTCTTCACACATTCTCTCAGTGCCCCATCACAGACATAACCCTGTGGGCAGCAGAACCTGTCCCCACAGCACACAGCCTGGAAAAGAATGGCAAATAGTATTGATTTCAGAACTCCAGGAATTCATTGCCATCGCTAACAATAAGAGGGCATTCCATTATGTAGATGCTTAATGCAGCACACAGCAACATCACACTCTTGCAATTAGTACATTAGAGGCAGGCTGTACCAAATTGGTTTACATTAGCTTGTGACTATGGTTTAGCCCCATCTCACAACCTTTTATTGTGCCAAATGTCTTAGGATTCACAATAACAGATTGTACAACATGCTGCATTTACTCACTGAGCCATTAATGGAATGGGGAGCAAGCTCTAAATTCATTACTTACTTGTTCGTAGGGGCAGCAAGCCCAGCCTGACGCAGACCGACAGCAAGTGGCAGGAGAAGAGCAATGGTGGGTGTCATCACACATCACTATAGGGAGATTGCGGTCACTGGCAGAGAGAGACGCTCTCTGGACTTCCCAGAGTAGAGAGAGGCTTTGCTTCTCACAGGTACCAGCACCAACATTACAAGTGTAACCCTTCGGACAACAATGCTCACGATCCTCACAACACACAGCCTAGTGACACAGACAGAGATACAGGACAAGGCAACCATTAATAACAAAGCTCGTGAAGCAATTCAAGAATTTCTGGGTCATTAAATGTGATTGTTGGTTAATGAGAAACCTATAAAAACAACTTGCATAGTGCTCTTCACGTGGGGTAGTGTCCCAGAGCGCTTGACAGTGGTGGAGTCTGACCCTAAGATGGGGGAGAGGGGCAACTATAAACTTGAAGAAAGGCTAGACTTTGATATTCCTAATTCATGGGAATACTAGACATTTCCCATTAGGTTAACTTTAAATTGGTCTGAAATACTTACTTGAGGCAAAGGACAGCAGCTCCACTCTGCTGAGCTCTGTTTGCAGCAGGTATTCTCTGGTGGACATATTGTCTTCTCATCACATTTGATACCTGGAGCAGAAAGTTTCTCTGTGGCTGGTATCTTAGTAAGCCAAGGAAGTGTTTCTCCATTACCTTCACACTTCATATCACTGCACGTTAACCCTCGAGGACAGCAGTGCACATGGTCCACACAACAGACTGCCTGAAAGCAGGAAATCTATGTCAGGCACAGACTACTTGCTCAGACACAATTTTCCTTTTGTCAGCCGGGTGTTTGGCACATGCAGAAACCCATCACGGGGCTGAAGAGAATCCAAACCAGAGTTTCATGCATCCCACCTACACAAGGAAATTCCATAGGAATATTTATTGGAATGGAATGTACTCTCTCTGCTGAACGGATGAATCCTTGTTACCTAATTCCAAAGAGTATTACAAGAGTACAGATTGGGAAGAGCCAAGACTTGGGGATCCCAGGATGTGCATTGGGGGTCCTGCTGGAGTCTGAATGGATACAACCATATAGCTTGCCATTGAAAGCAGTCTTGGGCAAGCTTTCTCGCTGCTTGTCATAAAACAGAAGTATTGAACCTAATTGATGAACAGGTTAGTAGCCCCTGGCTGGATGGCTTCCGGTAGTCACACTGTCTGGGCATCTGTCTTTGCAGCAGGAACCAGGTTCTGTTCACTGTCAAGAGATTTCAGCACACAGGACAGGGCCTGGTGGTAACCCAGGAGAAAGTTTCTGTTGCCAAGTCCTCAATCACATGTGTCCTGGGCAGCCACATCCATCATATGAGGAGCAGCAGTTAGGCCAAATGAGTAAATGCCGCATTGTTGGAGAGCATTGGGCTCCGCCAATTTTAAGTGCTCCGAGACGCTGTGTGGCGTGAAGGGTGTTATATAAAATCCAAGTTATTGTTGTTTCAGTAGAAACACTGAATTGAACTACAATCAACACCAACAACATTTAGAGCTGAAATTAAGTATTTTTAAATAAAAAAAAATTATTTGAAGCTTATTATCAAGTGTAATAATTACTTACCTCAGGCACAGGGCAGCAGCCCCAATACCCCGAGGGCTTTCTGCAGCAGGTGGTCCCTGAAGGACAACTAGCGGTTTTATCACACATGACATTTAATGCCTTGTTGTCTTTCAGAGTCGCTGGATTCTTGGTGAACCAGGGGATGGGAAAACCGGGCACATCACAGGTTCCTTTCTTAAGATTACAGGTATGGCCAGTAGGACAACAGTGTAAATGATCCTCACAGCAAACTGCCTGCAGGGAGAGATTTCAGGTTTCAGGGCTGGTTTTCAAATACATCTGCTCATTAGATGGGTCAAGTCAACACAATGAAAGGATCAAACCACGTGGTATAACTAATGGTTTTTCCTCCCATTGTGGTCCATGTCAGGCCCTCAGCACAGTGAGCTGGTAATGCGAGCTGGGCCCAGGAATGTTAATGCAGGATTCCCTCACAAGATGGGAGTGTTTTCCCCCACATGTAATTTTTGTTACATTTCTGTCATGTACGTGTTTACACATCAACGGGAATTTGAATGCGCAGATGTGCAAGGCCTGGTAGAGGCGATGAACGTGTCCCATCCCATGTGCTGGTTTTACTCTGCAATGTTCTGAACCAGTAAGTGTCAGGAGAAGGAGCAGGCCTTGTATTTCAGTAATAGTGCAGGCATTAGTGTAAAGCATAGGAGGTAATAAATAAGATTGTTCTTTTGCAGTCACAAGATCACAAGTCCCTTTAATCACTGACTGGTCCTCCCGACGTGAAAGGCGCTATACAAATGTAATCTTGTTGTTGTTACCCAGCAGTGACCATGACAGCAAGACATTTACTGCAAATGTTACACTGACCTGAGGCAGAGGGCAACAGCTCCAACCTCCAGAACTGGCCCTGCAGCAGGTGGCACCCGTGGGACAGGACACAGTGCCATCACACTGCACATCAGCCATCTCGTCTTCAATCCTTCGCACGGTTGCTGGGAACTTTGACACCCAGGGGATAGGAGGGATTTGCTGCTGACAGGTTTCTGTCCGAGTTTCACACGTGTAGCCATTAGGACAGCAGTGAATGTGGTCCTCACAGCAAACCGCCTGGAGGACGAGATCTCAGATTAAAGCAAATTCTCCAAATACATCTGCTTATTGAACAGCAGCAGGTCAGGAAAGGAAGGGTCAACCGAGCCAGTGCAGCACAGGAATTACTCCTCCACTGTTAAAACCAACGATTATCGGTCAGCCCCAGCCTGCTTTTGCGCAAATCAGATTAAATGTTGTGGTCCGAATGATACGACTTATGCGAGTTTTGCTGTACAACCGGAGTCGGTCAGAGCAGCACGGATTTGTAGTAGAAGAACACTGGATCATATCCAGCCGTGCTGTACTAACCTCAGGCATAGGGCAGCAGCCCCAATATCCCGAGGGTTTTCTGCAGCAGGTGGTCCCTGAAGGACAACTAGCGGTTTCATCACACATGACTCTTAACGCCTCGTTGTCTTTCACAGTCGCTGGATTCTTGGTGAACCAGGGGATGGGAAAACCGGGCACATCACAGGTTCCTTTCGTAAGGTTACACGTATGGCCAGTAGGACAACAGTGTATATGATCCTCACAGCAAACTGCCTGTAGGGAGAGATTTCAGGTTTCAGGGCTGGTTTTCAATATGCATCTGCTCATTAGATGGGTCAAGTCAACGCAATGAAAGGATCAAACCACGTGGTATAACTAATGGTTTTTCCTCCCATTGTAACAAAGCGAGTGGTGGTCCATGTCAGGCCCTCAGCACAGTGAGCTGGTAATGCGAGCTGGGCCCAGGAATGTTAATGCAGGATTCCCTCACAAGGTGGGAGTGTTTTCCCCCCCATGTAACTTTTGTTACATTTCTGTCATGTACGTGTTTTACACATTAACGGGAATTTGAATGCGCAGATGTGCAAGGCCTGGTAGAGGCGATGAACGTGTCCCATCCCATGTGCTGGTTTTACTCTGCAATGTTCTGAACCAGTAAGTGTCAGGAGAAGGAGCAGGCCTTGTATTTCAGTAATAGTGCAGGCATTAGTGTAAAGCATAGGAGGTAATAAATAAGATTGTTCTTTTGCAGTCACAAGATCACAAGTCCCTTTAATCACTGACTGGTCCTCCCGACGTGAAAGGCGCTATACAAATGTAATCTTGTTGTTGTTACCCAGCAGTGACCATGACAGCAAGACATTTACTGCAAATGTTACACTGACCTGAGGCAGAGGGCAACAGCTCCAACCTCCAGAACTGGCCCTGCAGCAGGTGGCACCCGTGGGACAGGACACAGTGCCATCACACTGCACATCAGCCATCTCGTCTTCAATCCTTCGCACGGTTGCTGGGAACTTTGACACCCAGGGGATAGGAGGGATTTGCTGCTGACAGGTTTCTGTCCGAGTTTCACACGTGTAGCCATTAGGACAGCAGTGAATGTGGTCCTCACAGCAAACCGCCTGGAGGACGAGATCTCAGATTAAAGCAAATTCTCCAAATACATCTGCTTATTGAACAGCAGCAGGTCAGGAAAGGAAGGGTCAACCGAGCCAGTGCAGCACAGGAATTACTCCTCCACTGTTAAAACCAACGATTATCGGTCAGCCCCAGCCTGCTTTTGCGCAAATCAGATTAAATGTTGTGGTCCGAATGATACGACTTATGCGAGTTTTGCTGTACAACCGGAGTCGGTCAGAGCAGCACGGATTTGTAGTAGAAGAACACTGGATCATATCCAGCCGTGCTGTACTAACCTCAGGCATAGGGCAGCAGCCCCAATATCCCGAGGGTTTTCTGCAGCAGGTGGTCCCTGAAGGACAACTAGCGGTTTCATCACACATGACTCTTAACGCCTCGTTGTCTTTCACAGTCGCTGGATTCTTGGTGAACCAGGGGATGGGAAAACCGGGCACATCACAGGTTCCTTTCGTAAGGTTACACGTATGGCCAGTAGGACAACAGTGTATATGATCCTCACAGCAAACTGCCTGTAGGGAGAGATTTCAGGTTTCAGGGCTGGTTTTCAATATGCATCTGCTCATTAGATGGGTCAAGTCAACGCAATGAAAGGATCAAACCACGTGGTATAACTAATGGTTTTTCCTCCCATTGTAACAAAGCGAGTGGTGGTCCATGTCAGGCCCTCAGCACAGTGAGCTGGTAATGCGAGCTGGGCCCAGGAATGTTAATGCAGGATTCCCTCACAAGGTGGGAGTGTTTTCCCCCCATGTAACTTTTGTTACATTTCTGTCATGTACGTGTTTTACACATTAACGGGAATTTGAATGCGCAGATGTGCAAGGCCTGGTAGAGGCGATGAACGTGTCCCATCCCATGTGCTGGTTTTACTCTGCAATGTTCTGAACCAGTAAGTGTCAGGAGAAGGAGCAGGCCTTGTATTTCAGTAATAGTGCAGGCATTAGTGTAAAGCATAGGAGGTAATAAATAAGATTGTTCTTTTGCAGTCACAAGATCACAAGTCCCTTTAATCACTGACTGGTCCTCCCGACGTGAAAGGCGCTATACAAATGTAATCTTGTTGTTGTTACCCAGCAGTGACCATGACAGCAAGACATTTACTGCAAATGTTACACTGACCTGAGGCAGAGGGCAACAGCTCCAACCTCCAGAACTGGCCCTGCAGCAGGTGGCACCCGTGGGACAGGACACAGTGCCATCACACTGCACATCAGCCATCTCGTCTTCAATCCTTCGCACGGTTGCTGGGAACTTTGACACCCAGGGGATAGGAGGGATTTGCTGCTGACAGGTTTCTGTCCGAGTTTCACACGTGTAGCCATTAGGACAGCAGTGAATGTGGTCCTCACAGCAAACCGCCTGGAGGACGAGATCTCAGATTAAAGCAAATTCTCCAAATACATCTGCTTATTGAACAGCAGCAGGTCAGGAAAGGAAGGGTCAACCGAGCCAGTGCAGCACAGGAATTACTCCTCCACTGTTAAAACCAACGATTATCGGTCAGCCCCAGCCTGCTTTTGCGCAAATCAGATTAAATGTTGTGGTCCGAATGATACGACTTATGCGAGTTTTGCTGTACAACCGGAGTCGGTCAGAGCAGCACGGATTTGTAGTAGAAGAACACTGGATCATATCCAGCCGTGCTGTACTAACCTCAGGCATAGGGCAGCAGCCCCAATATCCCGAGGGTTTTCTGCAACAGGTGGTCCCTGAAGGACAACTAGCGATTTCATCACACATGACGCTTAACGCCTCGTTGTCTTTCACAGTCGCTGGATTCTTGGTGAACCAGGGGATGGGAAAACCGGGCACATCACAGGTTCCTTTCGTAAGGTTACACGTATGGCCAGTAGGACAACAGTGTATATGATCCTCACAGCAAACTGCCTGTAGGGAGAGATTTCAGGTTTCAGGGCTGGTTTTCAATATGCATCTGCTCATTAGATGGGTCAAGTCAACGCAATGAAAGGATCAAACCACGTGGTATAACTAATGGTTTTTCCTCCCATTGTAACAAAGCGAGTGGTGGTCCATGTCAGGCCCTCAGCACAGTGAGCTGGTAATGCGAGCTGGGCCCAGGAATGTTAATGCAGGATTCCCTCACAAGGTGGGAGTGTTTTCCCCCCCATGTAACTTTTGTTACATTTCTGTCATGTACGTGTTTTACACATTAACGGGAATTTGAATGCGCAGATGTGCAAGGCCTGGTAGAGGCGATGAACGTGTCCCATCCCATGTGCTGGTTTTACTCTGCAATGTTCTGAACCAGTAAGTGTCAGGAGAAGGAGCAGGCCTTGTATTTCAGTAATAGTGCAGGCATTAGTGTAAAGCATAGGAGGTAATAAATAAGATTGTTCTTTTGCAGTCACAAGATCACAAGTCCCTTTAATCACTGACTGGTCCTCCCGACGTGAAAGGCGCTATACAAATGTAATCTTGTTGTTGTTACCCAGCAGTGACCATGACAGCAAGACATTTACTGCAAATGTTACACTGACCTGAGGCAGAGGGCAACAGCTCCAACCTCCAGAACTGGCCCTGCAGCAGGTGGCACCCGTGGGACAGGACACAGTGCCATCACACTGGACATCTAACTCCACATTGCCTCTCACAGTGGCCTGGACCTTGGTGAGCCATGGGATGGAAGAACCTTTCATCTGACAGGTTTCTGCCTGAGTGTCACATGTGGAGCCAGTGGGACAGCAATGTCTGTGGTCAGCACAGCAAACTGCCTGGTGAAGAAATAAATTGAAATCATGATAAGGTTTTCCAAAAAATTATGGAAAATAGCATATGCATGTTCTGGACCCATCTTGTGGTGTGTAAAATAATAATAATCCTCACGTTTGATTCACTTGTTTGAGAAGTTAAAACACTTCAGCCTTAAAAAGAGCTCAGCTCCTGACAGCTTAGCTGGGGTACACCTTGCCCAGGGTGAAATACTTTCTGGGAAAGTCACTCTGTTTTGGAGCTGCTCTTTGCTGAATTCGCAGGCGCAGTCCTGACTGATACGACTTATGTGAGTCTAAGTCTACCACAAATGCTGGGGTCAGTAAGAGCAGCACAGAATTTGTAGTAAAATAATAGTTAATCACATCCAGCTGTGTTGTACTTATGGTTGCTGTGCATCATTAATTAGATCCTCTATTGTACTTCCCCGAAGAAAAAGCACTAAAAAGATCAAATTTGCCTGTGTAACTAGACCCAAAATGAGTTCGTGCTTTTGGAAAAGGGCGAACACTGGAGGCATAAATAAATATGAATATTTAGAAGATACCAGGTACTTCTACAGTATTTGTCTAAGAACAGCAATCACCAGTTACGAAGACCACTCACTACTGCTGGCATTTACTTTGATACGTTGTTAAGATTACTACTGAAGCTCTTTGATAAGCAACTTTAAAAAGCTGAAGTTAGCTATGACTGGTTTCTCACTTCTGGTGAGGGACAGCACCCGAACCGGCCCGAGGGGAGCTGGCAGCAGGTGTGGCCAGCAGAGCAACTCGCTGTGGAGCTGCACCGCACATCCTGATCTGCAAAGGAAAAGGCAGAATAATTAATGATCGGCATCGGAGCAGACGATGCTGTAGAGCATCGTAATGTAATTAATAAAGATGGCCTCACACATACCAATAGGTGACCCAGTGTTCAGGATGGTGAGTGCAGCACCAGCAGCACCCATGGCCTGGCCCCTCCCCTCCCCTGGCCCGGCCCCTCCCCTCCCCTGGCCCGGCCCCTCCCCTCCCCTGGCCCGGCCCGGCCCCTCCCCTGGCCGGCCCCTCCCCTGGCCGGCCCCTCCCCTGGCCGGTCCCTCCACTGGGACCTTTCATTACCCGAGTCAACTATTCAGTATGGACTAAAACACAGATGAGAGTCACTATACCTCCAACATTTGTTAAAGAAAATCTCCTGCGAGCTGGAACTTTTTCCCACATGTCCACCAGACCGTACGGAAACAAACACTTGGACATTTTCAAATCGCATTTTGTTTGAAAAGGACAACAGTGCAGTCGGTCATTACAACACACGGCCTACAAAAGGAGGACAAGGTTAAGGTCTGAAACAGCTACTAGAGTTCATTCCATCAGAATACAAGCGACACAGGATTGCTACCGGTGAATGAATAGCCCTTCTCCATTTGTACATCAATTCTATGGCTAAAGCCATGTGGGGTTCACTGAAGCACATTACAGAGAGGACAGATCTCCAACTGCTTATACCAGTTACGTCAAGCAATTGAATCCAGTAGCAGATGGAAACAAATAACATTTTACGGAATAAATATTCCAATCCCTTACCGTTAAATACAACACAAGTGGCATGATACTTATGGACTACACAGCTAAACGCCCACAGACCCAGCCATACCTTTTCCAATGGACAACAACCCCATTGATCATTTGGCAACAAACAGCACGTTGAGCCGTCCGGGCATTCAGATGCCCCGTCTGGGCAAATCACTGCTTTTTCATTTTCACCTGCAAACAAACTACATCTTAGTTCTTTCAACGGTCTTTTATGCCTCAGGTGTCAGACTGGCTCAGCTGATCGCACTCTCGTCTCTGAGACACGAGGTTGTGGGTTCATGGTCCATGTTGAAACTTTGAACTCAGGCAGTCTAGGCTGACAGGGTGGCCTGCATTACTGAAGAACAATGCCGTCCTTCAGCTGGGACGTTTTAATTAGGTCCCATTTGCCTATTCAGGTGGACATTAAAAATCCCATGGCACTATTTGAAAAGAGAAGCACATTTCTCCTGGTCAACTATCCCCAAAATAAAACTGGTCAGTCATTTCATATAATGTAGAAATTAGCTGGCACCATTTGCCCACAAAACATAATTACTACACTTCACTTTTATTTATGTATTGTGAATATTTGGTCACTCAATCCACGACTGTTTGTGGGACGCTGCTGTGCACAATTGACTGCTACATTTTGCCTACAAAATACAGTCAATTCATTTTACAGTGTACAGTGTCTGAATGGCCTAATAAGGTGCTATATCAAATGCACCAATTATTATTATAACAATTAAGATTGTTGATATGTCCTTATGTTTATAATAGTTTGAAAAGGAAAAAAGAGAATTGCTGACCTAGATGATAATGAAACGTTAGACAAGTAAACATGCCTGGGCTTACCACTGATTTTAATGCAGGAATTCCCCCCAGTTTCACACCTGAAGCCTTCAGGACAGCAGTGCTGCTCATCACCACAGCAAACAGCCTGAGAAATAAGGGAACTAACGCTCAGGTCATTTTTCAACAAGTTTGGAAGCAACCATTGTACACAGCTTTGTTGGAACTTGTAAAAGTTGTGAAACTCAGTTCATCAATAACAAATATGTTTCTAACCTCTTTTTAATTAAGTTGGGAATGATCTTAAATTTCTGGCTCATCGACCAGTGTGATCAAACCATTACTATTTACGCGACTGTAACCTTCATAATCTTCAAAATCTCTGTATGGCCACAGATTAAACTTCTCAGTTCCAGTTAAATGCCCTAAAACTTTGCAGTAAGATTCTACAATTGGAGCACGAAAATTTAGAAGCTTGAATAGTTTTAACTGAATCTGAATTACCTTGGTAGTTGCTGGATAGTTTGCTGGCATTTTCTTTACCCAAGACACAAGATTGAAACCTTGAATGCAGGCTGAATGGACCAGATCACAGGTGGTATTAGCGGGGCAACAATGCAATTCATCTGAGCAGCACACCGCCTGGTACAAAATGACATATGATTAAGAAGCGAAAAAATATGCAACAATTATGGCTTAAATAGAAGTGTTCTTAAGTTACAGAAGTCCATCAGGCCTCAACATACCAGAAAGCCTCACTGAAGATAATTCTTGCACTGGAAAAGAATACCTCTATTGGTCTGAGTAATGCAAAAAAAGGTATCAGGAGCACCACATGCAGCATCTTTCCCAGAGACTACAGTTAGTTCACTCATTATCCAATACTTCACTCATTATCCAATACTGTCAATAATATCAATTTAAGAGAATAGAACAGAGAATCTCTGACCAGGACTCTTCCGTATTTAGCTGAAAAAACTAATCAAAGCACAATGTAACTTTCAATCAAATTATAGCTTTCCATTAGATTTTGTAATTCTCTGCAAGATGCATAGACTTTTTATAATTTGAGGTCTAATTTTATGGATTCAACACATCATATTTTACCATGATCAGCCTGAATTTAACAGAAACCTCATGGTCTGACCATCAGGACAAACCACCAAAGAGAATAATCTCTTTAAAAGGCTGATAAACCACCACATATTAACCCACCAATTACAAGAAGCTAATGATCTGCCCAGCGTGCTTGGACACAATTGGGTACAAACTTACATCTGGCATAGGACAGCAAGCATATGTCTCAACACCGGACTTGCAGCAGGTTTCTTCATCCAAGCACTCGGAGCCATCAGGACATGGATGAGCTGCAGCCCAACCAGTGGCCAACCACAAGATCACAACAGCTTGGAACATGCCCTGAAATCAAATAAGTAATGTGCACTGATCTGGATTATGGAATGTGATTCATAAATAATGTTGTAACCAATCAATAATATTGATGAACAAACCACATCTTCTCCATCTCCAAGGCTCTCAGCTTTAACCATCGCATAAGAGTGAATGAGCCACAGAATCCACAGGCCAGGCCCTATTGTGATCTACTTTTACAGATTATTAGTAATTTTATATTTATATGACCCTTTCAATGAAATACATATATTTTATGCTGCCTTATTTTAAAAAATATATGCTTTTCCAGTAACAGTACCAGACAGCAGGTGGGTGGGATAATAATTAAAGTACATTTTTGGTAATTATTTCAATAGCTAATATTTAATAAGAGGCACCTCAAACACGAAAAGAGAAGCTTGAGTGATGCTTCAAGATTTAAAACAGGAATTGACACTTGAAGGCAGAACAAAACTAACAACTTCCCCATTACTTACCTTATGGTTAGGCCACAATCCCCTCCTGACAAATGGTTAAGACAATGCACAATAACACACATTCAATGTAACATAGAACATCAACTACTGAGTGGAAAACCCCGTACTGTTTTGAGTATTGCTTTGAATACCTCAGTCACACGCCAACCAACTTTACTTTGAGAATTCACAAATGAATTCACCGATGCACCCAAAGCTACTGTTTTAAAGAGGCAAGAGACTAATAGCTTCTTTTTATATCTATCTTCACAGTAATACAACATTTGCTTGCCTGGAAACCTGCTCCTGACGGTTATTAACTCCACTTCCTTCCTGCTTGGCATCCTTAAGAGCTGAGAGGAGATTACTCCAAAGTTCCATAACGGCCATTAAAAAGGAGCACCTGAGGTGATCATCATTCTCAAAACAAAATGACTACTTACTGCTTCTCCGAATGGAGTAATCTCAATTGCAGAAGGATGCAGTTCAGCAACTCTCTGAACAAATTCAACACTGCTGTCTCTGAGGCACAGCTCCTAAATGCAGTGGGAGTGATCACAAACCAGTCTTTGGCTCCTCCCTTACTCTAATTTCTGTGAACTCAAAAATACATCTTCTTCCTGTCTCAGTGACGATATTCAAACAGTACTTCTACCTAATTCCAGAGCTCATTGAAAAAACTTTCCATTTGGATTAAATTCCCTACCCTTCCTCCAAACCTCTTTATCAATCAATTAAATTAACTTTAAATTAATTAAAGTCCAATTTCCTTTCAAAAACTATTATGGATTTGCTACAACAACCATAGGAGGCCATTCAGGATTCTAATAACCCTCAGTGAAAAGTGCAAACAATTGTAGTGAGTAGCCAAGCAGCTCCTCAGCAGGTTCCTGGCTTCACTTTAGCAAAGTGATCTGTACTCACTCATTCTGTACAAAGATTACAGTTTGGGGCAGACAAAAAATTTAAATACTTACCACACAACCTCTTCCCCAGAGTGAACCGAAAACACCAACCTCAGCCGTAAAGCAGCAGTTTTTTCTAAAGAGAAAGCTCTCATCTATCCAATCAGATCATGTGCCTGAAATGACATGAGTGAATACTGTAATTGCAGTTGCAACACAAAGAGGAACAGTTTGCCAAATGCTTCTAAAGATTTATGGGTGCAAACCATTAATAGTCCCTGAGAGTTCAAAGGTAGATAAATAAATTCTTACATTTATATGGCGCCAAACATCAAAATATCTCCACACAACTGGTGAAGGTGTATGTGTAGACAAATGCATCAGCCATTTTGCACACAGCACAACCAACCATGAAATGAATGACCAATTAACCCGGATTAGAGACCAAGACAACACACTCTCTCTTTTGCAATAGTGTTGTGGGATTTTTAGCATTCGCTCGAGCGGGCAGCCAAGACCTGCAGTCCAATACCTTTACAGTTCTACGCTGAGTTACGCGGATAAGTAAATGCGTGTATTTGATATGGTGTTTAACATCAAATGCGTCGATGCACTTCGGAGAGGAAGCGAAAGTGAACGGTTTGAGCACGTTCCGGTGGTGGGAAATACAGATTATTCTGTACGCAAAAAATATTAGTTCTCACTTCTCTCTTTCTCTCTCCCACCTCCACAAATTGGATCCTTCGGCAGCAGGTGGGGGGGATCCACCGCCTTTCAGGGCCGATGAACCGGGGAAAGTCTGGGCACGAAACTGGCGGATCAGCATAGAAACAACAACAACAACGACAACAAGATTTCATTTATGGAGCGCCTTTCACGTCGGGTGGTCATCCCGAGGCACTGTCAACTCACAACAACAACAATAATAACTGGGGGGGGGTGGGGGGGGGGTTGGGGGTGGGGTGGGGGGGTGGAGGCGGGGGTGGGGGGTGTGGGGGGGTTGAGGGGGTGGGGGGGGTGGAGGCGGGGGTGGGGGGTGTGGGGGTGGTGGGGGTGAGGGGGTGGGCGGTTGGTGCGGGTGGGGGGGTGTTGGGGGGGGTGGGGGTGGGGGGGTGGGGGGTGGGGGGTTGGGGGTGGGGGGGTGTTGGGGTGGGGGGGGGTGGAGGGGTTGAGGGGGTGGGGGGGGTGTGGGAGTGGGGTGGGGGGGTGGAGGGGTTGAGGGGGTGGGGGGGTGTTGGGAGTGGGGTGGGGGGGGTGGAGGGGTTGAGGGGGTGGGGAGGGCTCGGCCGCTTGTGTAGGTTTCTCTCGGTCACTTACATCAGAGACCGGAAACCCGCCATTAGCAAAGGCCGCGCCATCAACACAGCTCCGCCCCCCGACACAGCCCCGCCCCCGGGCAGAGCCCCGCCCTCCGACACAGCCCCGCCCCCGGGCAGAGCCCCGCCCTCGAGCAGAGCCCCGCCCCCGGGCAGAGCCCCGCCCCCCGACAGAGACCCGCCCCCGGGCAGAGCCCCGCCCTCCAACAGAGACCCGCCCCCGGGCAGAGCCCCGCCCCCGAGCAGAGCCCCGCCCCCGAGCAGAGCCCCGCCCTCCGACAGAGACCCGCCCCCGGCAGAGCCCCGCCCTCCGACAGAGACCCGCCCCCGGGCAGAGCCCCGCCCCCGAGCAGAGCCCCGCCCTCCGACAGAGCCCCGCCCCGGACAGAGCCCCGCCCCACAGAGCCCCGCCCCGGCAGAGCCCCGCCCCCGAGCAGAGCCCCGCCCTCCGACAGAGACCCGCCCCCGGCAGAGCCCCGCCCCCGAGCAGAGCCCCGCCCTCCGACAGAGCCCCGCCCCCGGGCAGAGCCCGCCCCCCACAGCCCCGCCCCCGGGCAGAGCCCCGCCCTCCGACAGAGACCCGCCCCCGGCAGAGCCCCGCCCCCGAGCAGAGCCCCGCCCTCCGACAGAGCCCCGCCCCCGGGCAGAGCCCCGCCCCCAACACAGCCCCACCCCCGAGCAGAGCCCCGCCCTTCGGTCCCGACCCGACCGCACTCCGGGTTAGAATCTGATTGGTCAACACGGCCGTCAATCAACCGCCCGCCCCACCCCCAGCCCGTCAGTCACGTGATCCTGTGCGGGCGCACTCCTGTGCATTGTTCAACAGCAGACAGACACCCACACAGACACCCACACAGACACCCACAGACACCCACACAGACACCCACAGACACCCAGACAGACACCCACACAGACACCCAGACAGACACCCACACAGACACCCACACAGACAGACACCCACACAGACAGACACCCAGACAGACACCCACACAGACAGACACCCACACAGACACACACACAGACACACACAGACACCCAGAGAGACAGTCACCACACAGAGAGACACTCACCACACAGACACCCAGACAGACACCCACACAGACAGACACCCACACAGACACCCACACAGACAGACACCCACACAGACACCCACACAGACACCCACACAGACAGACACCCACACAGACACCCAGACAGACACTCACACAGACACCCAGACAGACACCCAGACAGACACCCACACAGACACCCAGACAGACACCCACACAGACACCCAGACAGACACCCACACAGACACCCAGACAGACACCCACACAGACACCCACACAGACACCCAGACAGACACCCACACAGACACCCAGACAGACACCCAGACAGACACCCACACAGACACCCAGACAGACACCCACACAGACACCCAGACAGACACCCACAGACACCCAGACAGACACCCACACAGACACCCAGACAGACACCCACACACACAGACAGACACCCACACACACCAGACTGACACCCACACACACCAGACAGACACCCACACAGACACCCAGACAGACACCCACACAAACACCCACACAAACACCCAGACAGACACCCACACAAACACCCACACAGACACCCACACAGACACCCACACAGACACCCAGACAGACACCCACACAGACACCCAGACAGACACCCACACAGACACCCACACAGACACCCACACAAACACCCACACAGACACCCAGACACACGACAGCAGCAAAAGATACCAAACTGCATTATTTACTGAGATGACTGTACTGTTATGAACGCTGATACCTGCGGAGACCGCGTCAGGCGTTGGGATCCTGTGATCCGAGTGCAAATATACCTCCCAACCGCGAGGAGAGAGGGAACGGTGTGAGCGAGCGGTGAGGAGGGGATCAGGGAATCCTCCCCCTCAGCTCCTGTTAACCCTGCAGCCAAAACCGTAACGGGAGGGTGGTCCGGGCTGGACAAGTAGCGGGAACGCTTGGCTTTGGTTGGACTCCAGCAGTTACCCCAACACACACTCTGGGCTCCCCCAAAGCCTTGGCGCTCGCCAACCTGAGCCTAATACTCTCCGGAATTAAGTAAAGCAGGATGCCTCCCTCCAGGGAGAGAGCGAGAGCGCATTCCATTCCAACGACCTATCTCCGGGATTTCCGCGTGTAGGCGAGAGGCCTGGAATTCTCAGATTGGTTTGGATGCTCTCAAGGACGGGATGTGTCAGGCACCCGGCCGGGCAAGAAAGGTTCACAGCTACAAATAGTGCGAGTGTAACAACGGGGGTTGTAACTGCTGAACATTAGATGGCAGCAAAATTCCACATCCCGAAAGAGCAGCAAATAGACATCTGAGATCACTGATAACATCTCAGTATATGGTGTTAGTAACAAACAGTACAACTGATGCATGGAATGCCTCCTCTGAAGTGCCAGCGGATCGTGGCATTGTGCAAGTCAGCAATAACATCGTTTTCCACAGGATTGGGTTGGATGAGGACAGCCAATTGAGCACGGCAGTGTTTCACAAACAGTCGTGAATTGTGTGACCAAATTTTTTATTTTGAAGGGATTATTTAAAATATGGATTACTTTTTTATTATTCACTGAATGTATCGAGCCAATGTGAAACTTGTATTAACAATAATTTTATAACATAACAATAATATTGAAGATATCTCAAGGATCTTTGACTGTATATTTGAGGTTGCTATTTCCATATGGTGCACACAGCCATTGATGTGAAATTTGTTATGATATTAGAGAGATTTGGGGAGTAAAAATATGGCAGGGCAGTGGGATAAATGGAGATTTTAGCACATATCCTGTGGATGGTCGATGGCAGAATAATTCCAGCTCTCAGGTAACAGTCTCATATTTATTTAGCTGCTAAAATATTCCCCAGAGCCTTACCCATTTCCTTTCCCATTGCCTTGGGGATGCTGTGGTTCCAGAACTCTCCTAATGTTCTGTGCACATTAGACTTCCGGAACTAAAATAACCAGATTGAGAAACTGTTTATTATCTTCATTTAAGATCTTAAAACCCTTTTGTGTTTTTTTGTTCAGTTTCCTAGATGGACTTCCCCAGAAATAATTTGGTTCAATGAGCCATTTGCTCATTTAAAGACTTCTACAAAGTTAGAGTTACTTTTGACCTTGGCCATAATTATTATATAAGTGGATTTTACACAATGATCACTAGAACAGTTGTGTTCACCCATTTTCAGTTTAATAGCTAGTTCTGGTGGGCTGCTACCATTTAATTTTAATATAACATCTTCCCTGTGTCACAATAGTCACTGTTCTTTTTAACACATTCCCCATATGCTCTTCCCAGGATTATCACATTATATTTCCTGTAGCCTCTGACGGGGCTAAATGGCTCTATCTGTTTAATCTGGGTGACAGCAATTGTCAATTACCACTTTGTTGTTCTTACTGTTACTAAGTTATACTCGTGTTACTTCCACTCTGATATCCAGCCTTCCTGACTGTTCCGTTGCATGACATCTCAGACCTTTGCATATCAAATGCAAGGATAATTATTATATATCTCCTGCCTTAATAACCCTGTCATTTCCTCATTTATCTTCTTAGCACCCCCCCCCACCATCATGTTGATTCACGGGGGCAGTTGCTCTTGGTATAAAAGCTCCAAATATCTGGGGAAATTACAAGTATTGTCGGTACCGCAAATATCCAAGTCATTGGGGAAGGCTCCAGCATCTGTTGCCCAGGGACACCACACGACTACACACTTTGTAATAAATAACGTCTCCACCAACACCACGTGGCAGCCAGAATAATGTCCCGAATCTGTAAACAAACTCTGATTTGCCTTTTAGCAACACAAGGGGGCTCCTTGGTCTGTCTGATCCACACTGGTGTTAACACGGTACTATCCTGCTTGTAATCGAATACCTTTCGGCTTCTGCTGTTACAGATAAAACTTTCTGTAAGCACTTAACAATTTAATGCTCCGATATTAAAAGGCAGGATCTAAAGGGAAAAGTGATAGAAGAAACAAAGCGAGGATGGAGTTTGTGATTACATGATCAGATGACGCCAAGTGTCGGGTTCAGTCTCCATGTCAGGATTGAGAATTATATATCAGAGACGTACCGCTATCCGGATCTACAAATAGATATGATGAATGCTCCCACTCTGTAGCATGACAGTTTCTAGGAGTTAGCCCATAGAATATGTAATACAAATTTGGAACAGTTCCATCCTCGTGTCTCCATTACTCCAGGTCCCTGTAGCTGTGGATGCACCATTCTCATTGTTGCCCCAGAGTCCTATTCCTCCATTTTTCCTGTTGCACCAGTCTCCGTGTTGCTCAAGCCATTGTACAGTAAAGCGGGATTATGGTTCTCAATATGCATTTGAGACAGTAATAGTATTTAAGCAGGTCTGAAATATATTAAGACACTAAACAACAAATTGCATTTGTATGACTCCTCAGTTACCAGCATTGTAAACATTGAGATCGCCTGAAAGTGTTGACATGAGTGGGCACCTTCTGGTACCACATGTAGTAACCATTCTTCATACATGAGCCTCCTTGGTCAGTGAGTGCATCAAGCTATCTGACCTCCAGGGGAAAGTCATGGCAGAGCCAGATGCCTGCACACACACATACACACACAGACATACACATGAAGTAAGTTAATAAAGTTTCCCTCGCCCCCCCCCCCACCCCCCCACTCTAACCAGGACACTGATGTCAATTGTAGCCCCAACTGCTGTCCCATCTGAGATCAGCTAATTCTGCACAAACTGGGGATAAAAACTGATTTTGCAGCTCTGTATAGCTCAGTAACACTGTGCAGTTCAGTAACAAGTATGTAGAATGTGTGACCACTGGAAGCTTCCAGCAGTTGACACTGAACCGGAAGTCTCAATTGAGGGTAGATCCACAAGGCATATATAAAACATGACACGTTTACTTCCTTTCAGGATCTCTTGGATTACCAACTTCTAAATTTATAATGAAATTTTAAGAAACCGGAAAGCAATTTGTACAGAAATACTCTTGCAATGTGAGTATCCTCTACCCCCAGATCAGTTTTCTGAATATACTAACGTGTCTGGACACTCAGAACATTTAAATAAAAGCATTCAATCCACCATTCAGCCTCGCCCAACACAGCACAGAGCAAAAGGTCTAAAGGGAGCTTTTAAGAATTATGGAAAAACTCTTCCAAATTAAGACTATATAAAGAATTGTAACAAGCTTCCAATGTCAAATTTTAAGAGAAGGGAGTTAAAATCATGAGGAATTTCATGCCTCAGGTCTACCAATGCCTGTTACTAAGTAAAACATCAGTAACTGAAATACTTCGGATAGAAGGAATGCTTATTCTTGAGTGCTATCAGGAGAGGGTGGCTTAATTACAAGTGCAGTTGGAATCACCGAGCCTGACACTGTAGGCATTCTGAATTAAGTGCAGCATATACAATTGTGCCAACTGATTGATAATATCATGCTGTAAAAATTACCGTACTAGTACACATGGGTACAATTCAGATTTTTTTTTAAAAAAGGCACTGCTGAAATGTTACAGGTTACTAAATATATATGTACTGGAGTTCTTTAGTTCCCTCGTACTTTCATGCTCAGTGATTGCTCCAAGCAAATTCTTCCAATGATCTCATCAATATAATTTTTTTAAAAAATGAAGAACGTTATGATAATTACGATGGTTTTAATTTCATAAAGGGAGCACTGCTAGTAACACTCGCTTTCAAATTCTGTTAAGTTATTTTCTGGCAAATTTAAATAGGTAAAAGGGCCCGAGCACAATATTCTCGCAGTCCAAACCACTCAATTCGCTTGCCCCCTGTTATATATTCATTGCATCAATAAATGGTTGTCAGGTCTGCCATTCCACAGTTCAGATGCATTTCACTGCCCTGAAATGGGTGGCACACAAATTTCAGAAAAATACAAAGGAAGGCAGATTACAAAATAATTATACGGAACTTGGATATCTCTGCATAGTCTGTCATACAGTCCCCACCCCACTGTGCTGTGTCAGCCTCAATGTATGACCTTTAATAGTTACTTGCGATTTGACTTAACAAATTTACACCAATTGTTGTGCTAAGGCAATGAATGAAAATTACGTCCTCTTGCCTTTGTTCCATCAGCAAACAAGGATTTAACAATACTTACAAACCAAACATTGCTCAACAAAATTATAAAAGGCATGAGTCCCTCAATGGGAATACCTTACGATTGAAAGAAAAGTAAACAATGTTTTACCAGTTACCCGGAAATATCCTGATGTCTGCTAACCTGCAGAATAAGACTAAGAGCTTTTATTAAAATGCTTATCTTACCAAGACATTTCAATAAGATTATAAATTAATAAATAAATGGAAAAAGCATTTAAACTAAAATGATTTCTCATTGAACTGATTGAGCAGTTGCCATTTCTCCTGTTCACCTGTTCTTGATTTCCATTCAGACTTTAATGACTGTAAAATATGTATTATCATTTGTTAAGTTATTGTATTTATTCATTAATTCATAATGGACTTCGTGGCATAATTTGGGAAAACAACAATAGATATTTATTGATTGATTTCATTCTGTACCTATTAGTTGAGAATTTGTGAGTTGTTAGGGTGCCAGCAGTGAGAGGAAGGGGACAGCCCACATTGGAGTATGGATAATAGCACAGCAGCATTGAGTACGTCTTTCCAACACTCAGACTTAGACTTTTTGAAAAGTCAATGGAAGTTGGTGTAAAAACAATCCAATTAGAATGAGAATTCTTAATTAAGGGAGGCCTCTTTACAGGGTCTTCCCGACGTGAAAGACGCTACACAAATGTAATTTTGTATTGTACAGGACAATAATAAACAAGAGAAAGTAGTAATCACAGAGAAGTGTGGCATTTGGTTACTTATCTCTGCATGAGCAAGAGGTAGCTCTGCTTAATCTGGATTTATAAACCAAAACAAGGGTTATTTAAGAGATGAAAGGACTCAAGGTTTGATAAATATTTGGCTGGGAACAATATTAGAGGTTACAAGAAAAGCTACAGACTGCAGAAAGTTAGTTGGGATGAATAGGGAGTTTTTTCTTGGTTATGATCAGAAACAGCTTTCCCCTAAAAAGCAGACATGGAGCAGAGCCTCCAGTTGGGTGTATTTGATGTGGCCCATGGAATGATGGGTTTGGTGCATTGAATGGTCATTTTTCATTCTTATATTTTGTTCTTAGGATTTATCAACTTATCCAAGATGAAGGTGAAATCTGTTACGGGAGACAAGTGACTAGAAACATTAACAATGATGGGCCTCACTCAGTGTCCAGGTTTGTATGTTGCCTTGACGTGCTTAATATCATTATAGTTCTCTTTTTTGATGTTAGTAATCAATAGCAATATTTGGCCTGACCTGGGGCTTGTCTAGTCCTGGACATTTCTATGAATTTCAATTTTGAAAGGGGGATGTGGCAATTAAGCAAGTGAAGTACGTTTTCACTTTGAAGAATTTCTGAATATTAATGAATGCAATATTTCTGATGTAAACATCACTGCTGAGTAGTGAGCTAAACCAATTTTTCTGCTAAAAAAACTTCAAAAAATTCTGCTAACAGAAAGCAAGACTTAATGTTAATGGAAAAAGATTAGGTCATTGCAGAGATTGCCCCAGAATTGATTACAGTCAAAAATGTACTGCATGACTTTCTGGGTGTTTAACGTAATTGTTTATAGTATCTGTTTAGCCCAGTCCAATCCTCCCAGGTTATACTGCAAACACCAGTGACAACGCACCATTTGCCACCTGGAAACTTTTTTTGTGGTAGAAATCTAGAAACAAAGAAATATTATTGAAGGGATTCAGTGCTTTGCACCACACCATCTCAAGCAAGAACCAGTTATACAATGGATTCTCTGATGTCCATTTCATCATAACTCCAATCTTTTGGCTCCACGGGAGTATCCGCTGTTTGGGGCTCGAGGGCCCTGGGGGCTTCTGGGGCTGCAGTTACCTCTTTGTCATCACAATTTTTGCCATAGTTTTTGTTCAGTTGAGTAGCGATTAATCCTTCTGTTTCTGGAGCATCTTCATCAGGGAGGATTGTGTCTGTCACACTGTGGCGGTACAAGTACGATGCATGTTTCACAGATCGTTTCAACAAGTGCCGACGGAAAGCACGCTGGATTTTTGTGGCACAAACATCCTCCTGCTTTCGTCGGAGAGTGGTTGTGATAGGTTCGTAGGAAACCTTGGAAGGATTGGCAGCCATGAATTTCTCCTCCATTGACTCCTTCAGTGCATCCATCTCACCAGAGTCACCCAGCACCTCCTTAGTTAAAGCAAACAGGATATCCAGGCAATGGATTTTATCACCGATCACCATTGGCATGTCCATGGTAATAAGTTTTATTTTATTTGGTTTGGCAATTCGGAGTGGCTCCTGCAGTGTGTCCACAAAGTCAGACATTCGCGAATATTCAACAAACTGTGTGGCTTCTGGGTCAAACTTCTCCCAAACTTCATAGAACATTTCAAAGTCGTCCTCACAGAGAGGCTCAGCACTTTCCTCTGAGGCCACGTTGAAGTTTTCTAAGATGATGGCGATGTACATATTGACCACAATTAGAAATGAAATAATGATATAGCTAACAAAAAAGATAATCCCCACAGCGGGATTCCCACAATCACCTTTCACAGAGCTGCCCGGGTTCTCTGCCATGGGGTCACAGTCTGGAGGACTGCTGTTCATAATGGGGGCGAGGAGGCCGTCCCAGCCTGCAGACGTGGTGATCTGGAACAGGCAGATGATGCTGTTTCCAAATGTTTCAAAGTTGAAGATATCATCGATCCCAGCTTCTTTTTTCACATATGCAAAGTTCGACATTCCAAAAATCGAATAGATAAACATGACCAGAAAAAGCAAGAGACCGATGTTGAACAGAGCAGGGAGTGACATCATTAAGGCAAACAGCAGGGTCCGAATTCCTTTGGCTCCTCTGATAAGTCGAAGAACACGACCAATTCTTGCCAACCTGATTACTCTGAAAAGGGTTGGTGATACAAAGTACTTCTCAATTATATCTGCCAGCATGATGCCTGAAACAAAGAACAAGCATTAAAATCTGAAATTAAAAAAAACACAGCTTTTAATTGTTCCCAAATAAACTCATGTACTTGTTCATGGGGTTTGTCTAACCTGAACACAAAAAATAGCCATCGTCATTATGACCTTATATTGGGAATTCACATGTTTTCTAAGTCTTGTTGATGTTGGGCATTTACAACAGGGGAATAGCAGCTTTATCATTGCAAGTTGTTTTTCTGCCTTGGGCGATTGTTTTCCTGCAAATTGTTGGTTGAGTAAGATATTAATTGAATCTGCAGTAAGTGTGCACAAGTTTGCGGATTCTCTTTTAGAATGGTTGATTATTTCAGTGTGGACATGCACATCCTACACAGACAAGTAGTTGATCACCTTCTCTTCTAAATCCAGACTCTTGCTTGGAAACACTAGATACAATCACACTTGATATCTCACCCAAGTCGCCGTTCTTCACAGATGAACGCAAGTCATATATGGGGGTGAATTGTACTGAGCAATACAGGCCTAGAAACTCTCCAGGTTTAGTCCTGATCTGTGCTGGGTTGCCAGAGTAGGTAAGTTAAATGAGAATGTATTTTAAAATGGGCTAACATCTACTTTAAACAGTTTTGACTAATGCTTCATTGGGAAAATGGAAGAATTTGCCCTGATTTACCACATGCTGATTACTAAACCTCAGTTCTGTATGCTTAATAGGGTTTCAGGGCTTACCTACAACGGAAAGGATCACCACAACAAAATCAAAAATGTTCCATCCAATGGTGAAGTAGTAGTATCGAAGGGCAATGATCTTGAGCAAACACTCGCCAGTGAAAACAACAATGAAGACCAGGTTGACGTAGTATAGGATGTGGTCTTTCTCCTCACTTTGATCATCTGTCTCTACCATCATGGTCACCATGTTCAGGCAAATGAGAATCATAATGAAGATATCAAAGGCTTGTTTGGTGACAAAGTCAAAGAAGACGCCTTGACATTTGTTCTGGAGGAAAAGAAAAAAAATGCCAGTCACTGTGAAATCCACAGTTGTCTGATTTCTGACCAGCCTCAAGTGAAGTCTAACACATACTGTTTCCAATACTTTTATTCCACACTTTTAGCATTGCAGGAGAGGCTTGGATTAAGAACATGCTTTAATTAATTTGCCCTCATCTATCTAGCATACCCAAACTATGGTCTTCATCACTACATAACTGCGGTGCAAAATGTGTGCTCGGTTTATTGAGTATTTATTTATGTGTGCTATTCTGAGGTGAACTACCCTTCAATAGAGTGATTGTTGGTATTTCCTCCATTGGCAGCATCACAGGTCCTTGCCACCCAAAGCCTGGAGTTGGTGCATTCCTGGACCCATCAATGCTGCATTGGTGCAGCTGACAAAAGTGAAGAGGAACTGCAAGAGCACATGAGGGAATGAATGCAAGAGGGAAAAAGAACTATGTCACACCTCTCCCTTGGCAGTATTATGAGAAAAAAGTATGAATTAAAACCGAATCCACGTTTTCTTTTGACAACTTAGCATGTTTGTGGTCCTGTTAATTTGTGTTGCTGATACCTGAACTTACAGTTGGTCTTGGGATGGGTTTCTGTGGCTTCTTTGAGCCCAGTTTCTTCATAGCATTGTAGTATTTCTTCTGCTCTTCTGTCATGAAGATGTCCTTTCCTCCAAAGTAAAGAGGAAGACATATAAATATTTTACATTGATCTTCTATAGTGCTCTGGAGTGTATTATAGAGTGAGCATGGGTATGGGAATCAGGATATGGTTAGGAGTCAGGGTTTCTGACGCCAAACTGTATGGAGTGGAGAAGTGGTTGTGAGTGTGCACATGGTTAGTGAGCACGCGGATATCTGTTAAACAGAACTGGTTTGATCCCCAAAGGTAAACAAACTGTTATTATCAGAATATTCATCCATCCCCATTTCACATGCACTGAGCGTTTGCCCTTCATTCAGGTTTCCTAATATGATAAATATACATCCACAAATGTACTGTAATCAGTGCCCCAGGTAATACATTAAAAGCCAAAGAAATGGGTTTGAATTGTAAGATCCTCACATACATGTACATGTTAGTCAGATATTTGTTGGCTTTGTGCCTGAAGCAGAGTAGTTTGTGCCTTTGATACTTATCTTTTTCTTTTGCTGGTTAAAATTGTCAATAATTACACCAATGAAGAGGTTCAGGGTGAAGAAAGCCCCAAAGATGATGAAGATGACAAAGTATATGTACATGAAGATATTAATTTCATACGACGGCTGTTCTGTAACCTGTGAGAAAAATAAATCATCCTTTGTTTATAAGTCAGATAACTTGTGTCAAAGTTGATTCAAAGGATTAAACTTTTTGCACGTTTTAACGCATTTCCTATGTTATTCCACGGAGCAAAGTAACCCCCAACTTTCAAAGTGCTTTATCCTGCATTCTTTAAGATTTTTGGTAAAGGGTGATTGTTCTAATGTCCTAATGCTATATGAATTTCACATGTTCAAACAGTTTGCTGATCTCAGCAGGGCTGTATTTGGGGCTACAATTAACCTACTAGTGAGGGGAATATCAGACAGGGTTCCACCTCATGAATACCGCAAATCATTGACAAGGATCACACATGAAGAATGGTCACTATGAGGTACATGAGGGCAACAGGAACTTTGAGGGAACATATTCTGAATTATCACCTCAAGAAAAAAGAACACTGCTGAAGAAGAGGAACAAGAAAACGAAAAACGAGGATTAAGGTCAGTCTGAATCTTAATCTCTGGATTACAGGTCAAATTACTTTGATTCACTCACATTTCATGCAGACGTGTTTTCAATGACAGTTTAACTGCAGGATCATATTCTGTGTGGAATGGGTTCATCTCATGGACACAAGCTCACTATATTCTGAAATAGTTTTACCATTCACATCCCTGACACCATTTTGCACTTCTGCAACAGTTTTATTGACACAGGGGAATCTCGTTATGATGCTTGACAGTAGAAAACAGCCTCACTTGTAGGGCAAATCTCTTGGACCTGCACTAACCAGACATTATGCTAAAATAATATTGCAAAGCAATTAATAAAGGTGTTTACTGAAGCTCATTCAAAGAGATTATTTTCCAGGCAGAGGAAAGTTAAATAGCAAAGTGGTTTTGGAAGAGAATTCCAGAGGATGGGGTTGTAAAAGTTTGGCACTGATGAAAGAGCAAAAGGACTGGAGTAGGAGCAAGAGATCAGAGCTGGAAGAATGGAGTGTTCAAGCTGAGAATGATTGCATTTGAAGAGGAATCTGAAACCAGGACAACAATCTTAAACTTGAGTCTCTGAGATTGATTTTCTTGATTTGGCTACAAAATCACAGCCCTCATTCCTTTACAGTTTATCCTGTGAGGCACTTTGACTTCTCCTGACGTGAAAGGTGCTTTATTAATTGTAAGGATTATTATTAGTGAATGGAGTTTGGAGAAGGTGGGGATAATGTATAATGGAGTTACTGTTGGAGCCTATTTAGCAGAGAAATTGGGATCTATGGGATATCAGGATACAATCTAATGGAAAGTCAAGTTACCTAGTACAAAAGTGAAGATGCAGTAGCAATAAGATACGAACTGAGGCAATCTAGATAAAAAGTCTAACCATTGGCATTTTCCATAGTTATATAGGTTCTAAAGCTTTAATACCGTGTCAACAAAAATACCAAAATAATCCATTTAATGTTCACTGGCATTGAATAAATGAATTTTTTTAGGTTAAGACAGATTACTTACATCTCGAGAATCGACTGCGGCATACATTATATCCATCCAACCCTTGAAGGTAGCCTGTTAGGAACAAGAGCATAAAAGCTATGCACTGTGCCTGAGACTGATAGTTTCACCCAGATAGTTCATAATAATAACACAAATTCTGAGGATAATAGACCACATGTTTAACCATATTTTATTATTGGTTATATCTGCCACTCTTGATAAGATATTCCTTTTGGTGCTCAGTGTAGCCATTCTGCTAATATGGGAACTTTGTGCCAAAGTTTATGATATTTGTTATTGGTTATCTATATACGTTGATTATTTTAGCACAAATTTGAAAACATATGGAAATCTATTTCTATAAAGTCACAGGACGGGTCGTGTGGAAATTAGAAGTGGAGCTAATGGTTTCCTGCCCTCCACACTGCCATCTTCTCTATATATCTTCTCTGATGGTCTTTGTTCTCCACTGCCCCAAGGCATTGCTATGGTCCAATAAAAGACAGAATCATAATAATAATAATAATCCTTGCATTTGATATAGCGCTGTTCACGTCGGGAGGACGTCCCAAAGCGCTTCACAGAACACACTGTAAAGTGAATTGACTGTATATTTGTGGGCGAACGCGGCAGCCAATTGCGCACAGCAACGTCCCACAAACAGTCATAGATTGAAAATGACCAACTTATTATTGTTTTTGGTTTTGGAGGAGTATTATTAGGCTCTGTATGGAGTAAGGAAACTTGCCCAAGGTTTTGCCCTGACCTGCCAGGGATTGAACTCAGGTCTCTCGCTTGCAAAGCGAGTGCTCTAACCACTGAGCTACAGGACTCCAGAATAAAACTGAGCTCCATAAGGCGGCAGATTTGGACCAGTTCCATCTCTAGTTTCTGGTGACTTAGATGATCTCAGCTGGGGTAGCAGTTGGGGCCTCAACTGACTACAGTGCCTTTGTGTTAAAAGACAAAATCAGCCAGTTTCCTGATCACTAGTTTGTAATCTAGTGGAAAGCACTATCTATCTCAGTCTGCAGCAAGCCAGAACTTACCACCTGCAGTAAGGATAGGTATCCCAGACCAACATTGTCAAAGTTGACCTTCAGATTGACCCATCGTGCTTCTCCCATTGCTTCCAGGTAAGAACAATCCGTTTGGTTATTTACTATATGTAAGGGAAACATTGAAGAATCTGTGGTGTTGATGCACTTGTAGAACTTCCCAGCAAACAAGTTGACTCCCATTATGCTGAAAATCAGCCAGAAGATGAGGCAAACAAGCAGCACATTCATAATGGATGGGATGGCACCAACCAAGGCATTGACCACAATCTGCAAGGAGGAGCACAAAGTATCAGCTACAAATATCAGAGCCAGCAGACCTGCCCCACACACAAAATTATTCTGACTTTAAGGAGAGCTGCTTTCTCTTTCAATGCTTTGCAAAGCCTACATCCCGCTCTCAGACTAAATATTTTCACAACCTATCACATGTAGTAACATATAACTAAGAGATGTAATGCCCTCTTCATGCTCCTGTAACAAAAGTGACATGACTTCAAACTGCAGTTTGTTTCAGACTTCCCCATTCATGCTGTAAAAACCTAACCGTTGATACCATGTTAGGCTGCCAAACTCTAGCCAACTTTACCTCCTCGGGTAATCTCAGTTGATGGCCCAATTAGGGCCAATTTATTCTACATGCCAATGGCAAAAATGGCATTGTAAAAACACATTACTCACTAGAATCCTACTGATAATTACATTATTTTCTATTCTGAAAAGTGTTGGAATAACATGCACTTTATGTAGTGTGATAGCAATGGCTCACATTTAGATATCATGACATCAATGTATGAATATAGAGAGTAAGATAGTTCAACCGTGCGGATCGTAATGTGTACTGCAGATGTCTGAACTAGCATGACAAAGACACGCTTTTCTAGTTAACCAAAACTTTGCATTGTAATTATTTTGCAGACAAATGGGTTGCAATCGATCATGCTGCTAAAAGATGTTTGAATTACCCGCATTCCTTCAAACCGTGACAAAGCTCGTAGTGGTCTTAATGCCCTCAGTGTCCGGAGTGATTTGATGGGTCCGAGATCATCAAAGCCAAGGAGATTTGCTGTGAAGCTCACCAAAGACACCTTCAAACATATGTTAGAAAGGTTTAGTACAGGACAGTTTCTTGGGCATGTCTCTAGCGCGGTTCTGTTCTGTAGCTATTTTGGTAATTCAATAACATACAACCAGTAATTTAGCAGATACTCTTTACTCTTCTGACTTTGGTTTGCTTCACCAACAGCATCCAGACCTTCAACTACCATCTCCTGATCCTCTGGAACTCTCTTACAAACACTCTTCACAGCACTCTTTATCTGTAACCCTAGTGTTATGTGGACTTACACAAACTGGACATCACTAATATAGGCCATTCAGCACATCTACTTCATTACTGTCATCGAGAGCAAGAACCCAGTCAATTATCTCTTCCGTATCTCATAGGCCCTGAAGCCACAACAAGAAACACAGGGTTTGGGTTTAATATTGTCTTCACTCTCAGGAATTACTTACATCAACAATGAGAAAGTCCAGCCAGCACCAGGCATTGGTGAAGTAGACCTTGAAGCCATAAGCGACCCATTTTAGCAGCATTTCCACCACAAAGATGTATGTAAAGATTTTGTCCGCATATTCGAGTATTGTTTTAATCACCTGCCTTTGTTCAATGTAAATATCTTCAAAAGCCTACAAAGAAGAGAAATGAGGCTGCTTGGCCTGGTTGCTTCTGAAAATGAAGTACTATTTATTGATAACCATTCATTTCACTTTTTTTGAGGTGGGGGGTGAATAATGTGCTCAACAAATCAATGGGAAATATATCAAATGGCACAGATAGCTACCACACAGTTAGACAGTGCACATGCCCCTTCTTCACTAGTTATACATGTTCAATTCCTAGTTCCTCACACAAGCTCTCAGGGCCTCTCGGAGAGAAATTGCCAATTTGGGACATTTCCAAGTTGCAAGGACTATACTGTTTCAGCACGAGGCAAGGATTTGCTGAAAATTACCTTAAAGTGGGCCCAGGAGTAAAATTGCAAGGTTATTGACTTTCAGATCAGCCTGGCAATTTAAGTTTGACTGTACCTTTGCAATGACTGCCCTGGAAATATATCTTGTGACTCAGAGGTGAGAGTACTAACTGAGCACTAACTGAGCACTAACTAAGGTGAGAGCACTAACTGTACTAACTACTCACACAAAGGTTAGATACGAGAATGTTACTAGCTGTTAAGTAAATACTTGGGTATTATTATTATCATTGCTTGTTAATTTACAAAAAGAGTGAGCCTTACCAAAGCACCACTGCTCAGTAGGATCATAAAGATGATGAACGATTCAAACCAGTTGTGTTCCACAATCGTGAAGCAGGTCTTACGCAGAGTCCACCACATCTTGCCACGACCTTCTCGCACATCAAAATTCAGAGAGGGGCACGTGCGAAAACACCCTATACAATGGGCAAAAGGTCAGATGTTCTCCTGCACTCTGATCCACACCATCTCAGATGGTAGGATTAACCTCAACAAAGGTGCTGCTATCGCAACAACTGCTCTAATTGCACTTGGAATAATTCGTCTGGACCAATGGCTATTTTCCCCATTTCTATGGCTTATGATGTTGCAATATTAGTTATCAAAACATTCCATGAATTTTGAAGCATCAGTAAATCTCAAAGCTCAAACTGTATATTTTTTGTATTCTTGGTATTTATTGCTAAGTTTTCATACAGCATTCCCCCTCTCTTTTCCTCCTGTCCCTCAGATTGTTTCCCAGGGAACAGAGCCGGCAGCCACACTGGTGTGCGAAGCATCCAGCCTTCTACAAAGGCACAGCCAGGAAAGGGATGAAAAGGCATGGCAATGAACAACAACCACCACAACAACTTGCATTTATATAGCGCCCCTCACGCTGGGAGGAACTGCAAGTCCCCAGTGGAATTCGTGGCTGCATACTACCTTCACTCAGGATGTTGCAGGTCCAAATATCACCTACTGTACTGCTTGCATTAACCCTGCTACTCCTCCATATCTCAGTGTTTTACCTTCAGTTAAACACTCCTCTGGGCCAGTGTTCTCAGCACTTTCTTCTTGAACCTCTTCTACTTCTTCCTCATGAACTTTCAGATCCACAGTACTGCACAGGGAAGAACCAAGTTTCTCCATTTTCTACAATCAAGAAAAAAACATTGCAGAGAATTATATACAGAATAAAATGTTAGAATAAAAGTTTTGTAAAACAATAAATAGTGCTTGCATGCCATCAAAAAGTTCAAGATTACAATAATATTTTCATTTGACATAGTGCCTTTCGGGTTAGGAGGAAGTCTCAAATAGCTTCGCAGGATTTACTGAAAAGTATAGTTACTGTGTATTTTGTAGGCAAACGTTTCAGCCAATTTGTCCCACAAACAGCCATGAAGTGAATGACCAATTGTATCTGGGGGATTATTAGCTAGGACAGGAGGAGAAACTCCCTTCCTCTTTTTGAAATAGTGCCTCGGGATCTGTAGAGACCATCTGAAAAGGCAGCAGGACCTTGGTTTAACCTTCATCAAATGGTGGCACCTCTAAGCACTAGATTTAAGTGTCAATACAGACTCTACATAAGTTCAAATTCCCAATGTAGAACTTGAAACCATAACTGACTCAGAGGTGAGAGTGCTACCAACTGATCCAGGCTAATATTACAGAACAATTAGAATAAGTGGAACCCAGACTTTTTCTGCAGCCACCCAGTTTATCTTACGTATTCAGTACATTGAAATCGTTGGCTGGTCAATGTACTTAGATTGTTGGCGTGCGCTTCTGACCCCTTGCACATGGATATGGTGTTACAATCATATGACGGAATGAACACTCCAGGCAAACACTGTGACAAAGGTACTGATTAACAGGAGGTGAAGTAAATTGCATAATAATTTCAGACAATTAAAGCAAGTATTACAGCTGTTGACACATTGAGGTTTGCCCCATTAAACTCTAAGCCAAGGACATATTCTGTGCAACACTATGAAACCTAGCATTATCAGCGATGCCTTGTATCCTGTCACTACATAATGAATAATGAATAAACAGGCTGGTGCTTCATATGTGCACCACTGTTGAATGAATGTCAATTTCATGCTTCACTGTCATTAAGCTCAAACTTCGAATCAAATTCTTCCAGACTAGATTTGGATTCCCAGTCACTATTACCTGCTATTACTTTCTGTTTTGTTTAGAACTTCTGTTTATTCCCATTTAATGGAAAGGTTACGTGATTCAATTTGCAGTTTGATTAACATGCATTGTACACCACATTTCCGTCTTAGACAGATTTCAGTTTAAGCAATTCAAAAGCCATCATTGGATTAATCTCCAAAGCACCAGAATATTGTGTGACTTCTTGAGTGGCTGTGTACACATGAAACAAGCAGCATCTGTACACATCAGATGAGTTGATAAAAATCAAAGCTCAAATAAACTTACTAGTTTGGAATCTTCATCCTTTCTTGGTAACAGATCCTGATCCTGAAGGAAAACAAAAACACATTTTGCCGGTGACTAAACCAAAAGCCGCCACCTCACTGCAGTCTCTTCTCTTTGCTACTTCACACGGATTCAAATATCAGGTACAATTCACAGCTCTGGCCAATTGCTTGATCATTTTTTTTCAAAGATATTCTTGTTTCCCTCCTTCCTCTTAGTTCTCCAGACCAGAGAGGAGACTAGAGACCTATCGCTGGACTGTGTGGCTCTCCGTCCCTGAGTCTCACCACCGTGCACCTTCCTCCTCACCTTTAAAACTCATCTTAAGTATGACAATTTCAAATCTCACTTTTATATTATTTCCCAAGAATTTAACTAATTCTCTTTCAAATAATAAAGACTCAGCTTCAGCAGCCATCTCTGGCAAGACATTTCACACTCTATTGTGTAAAAACTATTCCCTCTAACTTCACATCTTAATTCCACACACAGAATATTATTAGTTAATGGTAACATAATCACCTCACACACTGGATGAAAAACTTATTGTCCAAACAATTCTTTCTCACTTACACTCCTCACACAATAGTTCAGCTATATATAAATAATATATAGTATATAAAATATTCCATTTAAGTTATCTATAACAGACTATTTGATTAATTTTGGTTATTAAGTATTCTGGTCAATAGTACAAATTCCACAGAACTGTGGAATATACCCCCAGCACCTTCAATGTTCAGCAAACAATTGTAAATGTATTTCAGCAAGAGAACATCAAATGCATTTTAAACTATAACCATCTCAGACCCACATTATTACCATGGGAACATTGTGAAGATCCATCTCAGAGCTCCGTTCCTCCTCACAGTCAGATTCAGGCTCAGCAATTGGAACATGAACAGTTAAATTAGTGTTGGCCAGGAAGGCTAAATGATCCTTGTCTGACAGGTTGCCAAGTCCATCTGCATTAAGATATGCTTCTTTTCCCAAGTTCAGCTCAGTATGATTAAAGTCAAAACTGTCTGTTTTCAGGGGAGGAAGTTCATCCAGCTGTTTGTCTTCTTCAACATTCTTCTTCCTCCGAAAAATATTGAAAACAAGACTTTTCACAAACTCGATCCCCCTGGTGATCCTGTTGAGAGCAATCTGTAGATTGTTCATTTCCCCATCATCATCAGACGCTGACAAGTTATCTGCACTGAATGAGCTCAGCAGCAAAGCAAGGAAGAGATTCAATACCTGGAAAGAGATGTCCAGCTTTGAGGCACACAGTTGCTGCTTTATAATAATAATAATTTATCCACCTCACTTCACACGTGGAGTGTAAGAGGAAAGCCGGTGTGATGTTTAACACACCCACCCAGATTAGGCATTTTACTTGGTTTAAATCCTTCCCCAAAGCAATGATTTTTCTTTCCCCCCAAAGTTCTCTCCCTCTGAACAATACATAACGGGATGGACAAGTGACAAGTTCTCTATGAATTTAGCAAATGCAGTTTGCTGGTGTGTAGTTTATCTTGGGAAATATACCATTTCCACTCAGGTGTGACTGACTTGGTAAAATACTGACGTCTATATTAAATGGAAATATCCTCATATTTTCTCATTTTCTATGTAATGAACATCCTAGATTCCAATGCCTAGTAAACATGGACAGGTGGCTGCAGCTGAATGCTAACACATCATGGGTGGTTTATGTCTCTCCTACACAGCCATGTTAATCGTCCTGTACCAATGAACTGCCTGATTGAGGAGACTACACCCCACAGAGGACCAGCTCCTGAACCTGCCGAGCAGATGGCATTCCGAGCCTGTGATTAAATTCCTGCTGACTCCTATGGAATCCAACTGGAACCAGAGACGTAGCTTGTGCCTTTCCTTCAGCTTCACATCAGTAATCCACTGCACACAATTTACTGCTCAAGAGAAAACTTCTGCAAACATGCAGCATCTGGTTGTAGCAGTGTTTATTGCAGATGTATTTCAGCAAATGCATTATTTTTTGGAGTCTGAAGCATAGGTGAAATAGAGAAAGTAATTAATACTTTCCCCAAGGGCAAAGTGCTCTTTCGTGGGCTCATATTATGTGACTCAGATAGAAGCCTTAAATAAATCACTTGCATCATATCCGTAACATTCATGCCTAGTCTCAGTGCCAGGACAGCTACACTGAAAGATTTCAGATCTTTCATGTAGAATCACAATGTTCAGCTGTCCCAAACCCCTGATTTCCTATGTTAAGTGAGGAATTAATCAACAGAACTATTCAATCACATCACTTCAAGCAATCTTACTGCAGATGATTTCCCAAACTAGTGGTGCACAGGCAACTGTTACAGATACATTTATCAGGGCTGAATACAAACTGCCTCCCATTTCTTTAGTGAATCTGCCCAGTGTATGCTGGACAAACAAAAAACACTATGATAATAATATAAATAATCCTTGCATTTGATATAGTGCTTTTTCACGTCTTCTAGACGTCTCAAAGCGCTTCACAGAATATACTGTAAAGTGAATTGACCGTATATTTGTGGGCGAAACGCGGCAGCCAATTGCGCACAGCAATGTCCCACAAACAGCCGTGGATTGAAAATAACCAATTTATTATTGTTTTTGTTTTTGGAGGGATTATTATTAGGTGTGTGGAGTAAGGAAACTTGCCCAAGGTTTCTCCCTGCCTGGAATTGAACCCAGGTGTCTCGCTTGCAAAGCGAGTGCTCTAACCACTGAGCTACAGGACTCCACTATGAAGAGAATTTGGATCGTCTTCCCAAAGTGAATGCAGGAACAACAGAAAACAATGGAACACTCACCTATCTATCAGGTTTCATGTTAAGGTGGAGTTGGAGAGTGACTTGTAATGAGTCAAACTAAACTAGGGTTCAATTGTCTTCAGGTGACTTCAATTAAACAAATCAAAGCTTCGGACTGATTTTATTTTGCTCTGTTACTTTGGGGAAAGTAATAAATTCATTCAATGATACCTTTTAATATTACAATTTATTACTTCAATTTTTGAAGCTTCTTTCTGTGCTTATAAAGATAAAGGGATCTCTGCAGCAGGAAAGGGAACATTCGCTAATTCTGTTTTGCAGATATCGGACTATCAGGAGTAAATACTTTGAAATACTCCACATGATTCAAACACAACTGAAGATTAAGAAGGGAGAATAACGTACCACGAGATTGCCAATCACCATAACCATCATGAAGACAATGAGACACATGGACTGACCAGCCACCTCCATGCAGTCCCACATCGTCTCAATCCACTCCCCACAAAGGATGCGGAAGACAATCAGGAAGGAATGAAAAAAATCATTCATGTGCCAGCGAGGCAGACTGCAATCCAAGGAAATCTTGCAAACACATTGTTTGTACATCTTGCCAAATAGCTGCATTCCCACCACCGCAAATATAAAGACGATGATGGCAAGGACCAGGGTCAGGTTGCCAAGAGCACCAATTGAATTACCAATGATCTTAATCAGCATGTTCAGGGTTGGCCAGGATTTTGCAAGTTTAAAAACTCGCAGCTATGGAAATAGGAGAGAAAAACTGTGATATTCTCACAATAACATTACAAATTACGAGATACAGCAATGCATCTTATAGGAATTAACTATGGATTTGTAAAGAAAAATACAGAATTGAAAGAAAAGCCTTAATTAGCAAAACCTTTGCTAAGTTCTTTTCTTTCCCCTCTTTCTCATCTGGAGTTTACACTTGAAAAGCAGGCCAATGCTTCTTAATTTACACCTTTAGCAACAGTTGCTAGGAGTGTTGTGTGTTTCGATTGATGGAGAGCTTTGTTGAGATTGTCTAATTGCCTTATGCTTAAAGGCTTTAAATAGCAATCAGAAAAAGGAGGCTTTCATCTTCTCTGGACTGGAATCTAAACACAATCCCTGAGGTTAAAGCACATTCTTCAACATTCAGTGCCAATGGGTTGGGACGTCCTCCTGACGTGAAAGGCGCTTTATAAATGGAATCTTGTTGTTGTTGTTGTTGTTATTCTCTTTACGCAGAGAGAAAGGGCATTCACCAACTTGTCCCCCAAAATGCTGATAATGGTACTTCATTTAAACATGCTACTTTGTCCTAATTTCTTAACATATCTGTCTAATTAGATGGTTAGAGTAATGATTTGGTTGTTACAGAATAACACACTGTAGTACTCACCAATCGGAAGGAGCGCAGCACTGACAAACCTTGTACATTGGCCAGTCCCAACTCTACCAAGCTCAATGTCACAATGATACTGTCAAATATGTTCCAGCCGACTTGGAAGTAGTAATAAGGATCCAAAGCAATAAGCTTAAAGACCATCTCAGCTGTGAAAATCCCTGTGAAGACCTGCCAGTAAATAGTACACATCAGTCTCTGTCACTGCAGAGACATACAGCTCAAACACTCAAGCACTGTTCCTGCCTATGTATCAGAAGCTAGTTACTGCACACAGCATATGTCATGTAGATTTCTACATAAAAAAGGGCATATAGATATCCATGTTATTTTGTAGCACCAGATGGACATTTCAGGGACAGCATTTATTGCCCATCTGTGGTTGCCATCAGAAGGTGGTAGTAGATCTTATCATGAAATCCTTGTGCTGTTGGTGTTCCCATGGTGGTGTTGGGAACATGTTCAATTTTAGTTCTACCCACACAAGCAGCACACACTGTCCATCACAACCACAATCTCTAACTACTTTCCCTGCCCTAGAAATACACACCCACCTTTACCTAATATAACAGATGCATCACAGGCCACAGTTACTGGTATTGATTTCACAGCTGGTAGTCAGAATGTGCTTTCTCTGAACCTTCTGTCAACTCAACTTCCAATGATTGCAGATTCCCAACACATTCCTGCCCAAAACATGGCATATTTCGGCCTATAAACCAGCAGATTCACTCAAATGGCAGCTAAATAGGACAACTCACACTGGTATAGAAGGGGTGATCTTCTGAGACTGAGATTAAGGCATATTGTTGGAGAAGAGGGAAGAAAGCCTTACGGCTTCTGGAAAGCCCAACTTGTTTAATAGCGATACTGACATCCAAATGAGAGCCGTTCCATTCTCCAATACTGGCACTCTACTTGGATCAACTACAAAACAAAGAATTTTGACAAGAAATACAAGAAGCACATTTCACATACCAGGTTTCCCACTAAGAGCATGTTCTCAAACTCTGGACTCATAGGGTAGTGTTCCATCGCCATGAAGAGAGTGTTCAGCACAATGCAAATGGTGATGCCCAGGTCCACAAAAGGGTCCATGACCACAAACTTAACGATCTCCTTAAATTTCACCCAGCGTAAGGAGCAATCCCAGATTAGGAATATGTTGGAACACTTGTACCACCAGGGAGGACATTTCTGGTAAACCTCTTCCAATTCTGTGGATAACAAGGAATTGTTTAGTCTCATTGTGAATAAAAATATAGATTTAATAATAATATTTGCACAAGGATTAACTTCACTATTAACTTTAACAGAAGATACATGATTAAACAGTGCATTTGTTCCTCAGACAAATTAGTTGCCTATCCAAACCCCTATTCCTTTTGACAATGTACAATCAGTGTTGACTTTATGGCCCCTTTAATGTCTTGGATCTCCTCAGAACTAAATTGTGATGGGATGGAACTCGTCAGACTTATGTCCTTAAAAACCACCAACAACAACAACTTGCATTTATATAGACCCCTTCACATGGTGCAGGGATTCGGAGTGTGGACAGGACAGTCTCGGTGCTGAGACCCTGAGACAGAGAACATTAAGTTTAGAAGGATTGGAGTTCTCCTGAAACCCTGAGATTCACATCAATCAAGTGTAAATGTACGTATTACATATCTTGGTCACAGATAATGGACAGCTCCATATGTAAACATCTCAAACTAACGTCGAATTGTTGCACTTCAGGAATATAGAGGGAAGAACTCCCTGAGAAATCAGGGGTATTTTTTCATTCTTATGATTTTTCTTACAGTGATTTGTGTTTTCAACTCATTTGTTTTATTATACGTTCAACCTGAATTGCCTCTCCACGTCTCTCTTGCTGGCCCCAATGCAGTCACATGTCTGCTGTAGCTCCGTCTAGTGGCTTATCTGAGAACTGGTGAAACTAATTCAGTGAAGAATTTCTCAAGTGTCCTCAATGCCCTAAAAGCTCACTAAGTCATCAGTTGTATCCATTCTAAACCTGGCGCAGCACTGGGGGAGTCAGGAACGTTCACCTTCCATCGTGTGGGTCAACACAGTGACTGTGCTCCCAGATCTCTTTCGGGGTCCAGATTCCTCTAGGAAGTTCATAGAAGTTCGTTTAGATCCAGGCATCCCACATTCAGTGTCCGCATTGTCTGCCTGCAACAACCACATCAGTTAGACAATCAAAGACTAAATACATCTTCCTGTGACAATGAGTTCACTGGTCAGAAAGTGAAACTGAATAATCCTGGTTCGGTATAAAATCCTCAACAGTTTTACACACAATAGGAATTGAGAGCTTAAGTGTATGTGAAATGCTTGTCATTCTGAGTAATATCTGTGATTATAAGTAAAGGGATTTTTCTAATTTTACATATTAGGTTCTTTCTGGGGGTTGGGGGGGAAGAGGTAAAGGGGTCGTTGGGACAGCAATTGGGGCATCAAATTTTCTGAAACCGGAAACTTGAAATATTTCCTGAGGCTGCAGTTGGGACAGGAGGGGATGTGGGGAGAGCTGTGGTGGGACAGAGCGGGAATGTTGTACAGAGAAGTTTAGGGCTTGTTGCAGTGATCAGTCGGGAGCGGTGGAGTCACAAGCTCTTTGGGTTCATTGCAATATTTGACATCCTTGAATCTCTTACAAGCCCCAATGCCACATATTCTTGATTTATCAATTATCAAACAGAGTGGAGAATGACAGGTTCCTGGTCATTTGAATGGAAAGCTTACATCTCCATCGCTGGTTAGTCTGTCGATGACAACAGTCGGTACAACTTTGCCATTGGCTTCTGTACCACTCTCTCCATTCTGGGATGCCAGACCATTGCAGTCAGGTGATTTGCTGTGTGACCCTCTGTGGCTCTCCCCGTCCTCTGCCCCCCCAGCCTTGCCATCCAGAGCCTCATGCTCACAGCTGACTGTTTCCCTCAGCACCTGGTTACTGGCCAGTGAGGAAACACTGTGTTGGTGCTGTTGTGCAGAGCGTAACTGAGGAACAAAACAGATACCATGAATTAGCTTTCATTCCGTGTTAATTCAGTAAAGGGGTTCAAATGAAAACACACACACCAGCCTGTGAGCATTGCTGAAGTTAGGGATTTTATGTCAAGTTATAGGCAGGTTTGTGCACGTGTGCTTTCAAGTCATCTAATGTACAGTTCAGAGGACATGACAGCACATGGAAGCTTTGCTATGGTGGGGCTGTGTCTGGCAAACTTTCTGGGAATGTTGCATGGGAATGTTGCAGTGACGAGGTGGGAAAAGGTAATGTACCTGTGCTTCCTGATGCTTCATGTTTTCCAAAAGCTCCTGAAACTCCTTCTCTTTCTCCTCAGCCTCCAGCATGGTGGCCTGGTTCTGTTCTGCGTAAGCCATAGCCACCACTGCCAGGATCAGGTTAATCAGATAAAAGGATCCGAGGAAGATAACAACCACAAAGAAGATCATGTAGGTTTTTCCAGCAGCTCGAAGAGTCTGTATAGGCGACAATAATATTACACGTCATCTGTGTAACTAAACCAGTACATGTATAGGTCATGTACAGATCACTTCTCATTGTGTCTTGCACTCACATTCAAGGTAAATCTCTCTTAAAAGCACAATATAAACCGGGAATTAAGTTTATCTCACTCACAATAAACCCGATAAATTCCTTCTGGGAGTGACAATGTCGTTAGGAATAATTATAAGAAGTGAAAAGATTTAAAAAGTCATCACTTACCAGCTGAAAGAGATTTTCCCAGAAGTCTTGTGTCATGAGGCGAAAGAGAGACAGAAAAGCCCAGTTAAAACTGTCGTAACTGGTGTAGCCATAATTTGGGTTCCTCCCAGCTTTCATACATAAGTAACCCTCAGGACATTTCCTGGGAAAGTGAGTAATGATAGAATTAATAGAGAGTCAATTACATCATCTATAGCGCAGGCAAAAATTCTGAATGATTGGTTTCTGGTCACACAGCCTGATAGGTCCATTCATACCTTTTCTGCAGCCCAGCTCTTTCCATTCCAGTACAATACAATACAATCCCACTGTAAGTTTAACTTGTCTGTGGATATCAATCTGGTGTCTAGATCATATGGAAATGGTTGTGACATTGTGAAGAGTAGAACCAGTGACTATATTGCCCCCATGGCAGTTTGAGGTGCTGGGACCTTATGAATGTCTTGGAGCTAAGACATAGGACTGAAAATTGTTTTTAGAATTATACCCAGACTAATTCACTTCCCAATGACTTCCATGAACCTCCAGAGGAAACCAGCCTTATACAATCTGGCTCCCAGGAGAAAAGGGCAGATGGTATTAGATTCAGGTATTTGATAAGACATGGATGGATTTTACAAGACATCAGTCACACTCATTCCCCTCGTCACTGCAGGAGTGTGATTGAGAAGAAACCTCACGTACAAGAGCACTAGTTGCAATGAAAGCCTCAACGTACCCAGCATCAGAACTGTTCCCACACAGCAGGGCATCAGGGGATCCCTCCAGGAAGTAAAAATTATCTTATAAAAACAAACAAATTGTTTAGCAGCTTAAGTCACATGGATTAAAAGTGAGACATTTCTTTATTATGACATCTTCAAAGGAAGTATGAATTTTAGTCTGTATTTGAAAGAGAATCAGATGGCTGGAAGAGGAAATGAGCCCTACCTTCATTATTGATATATTCTTTCCAGTCGAATTGTGTGTAGTTACTGGCCATACTGCTATTTTCCATCCCATCATCTAGAAACGTGCTATTGTCCGAGAACTTTGGGGGCCACATCACACACTTTTGCCTCAAGTTTCCCATAAATAGCTGGAGACCAATAAGTGCAAAGACACTTAAGCAGAACACAGTGAGGATCATGACATCGGCTAGTTTCTTTACTGACTGGATCAGAGCCCCAACAATGGTCTTCAATCCTGGTGAACACAATAGTAGATTTGTTAGTTGTGCAGCAAATAAGAGATTGCTTACTTAATCAATTAATTGTTCGATTATTTATTCCGGAGGTTGTTTCCCAATTCAGTCTCCATACAATTGGCAATAAAATAGAGGAAGTTTCAGCAGGTCACTTATTCTGCTCATGTCAGGAGTAAGAGAGTAGCTTCAGAAACACATCATTTATTTTATTTGTAAATGATGGTGATAGCAATCACTTTCCAGTGTCATGGAGTTTGGCTGTTTTCATGCTGCCTATTGTATGAATTTACACTTATTTCAACATTCATATGACCAACTATTCAATGACATCCTCAGTGTTGAAAAAAATTCAGACTCAAAGTCTACGATAATTTAGAGGGATAATTAAACACAAAACCTAGGATTGGTTTTAAGATTTTATTTCCACTGTTTTTATTTGCTGAAACTTTATTTCATGTTGCAAAAAACAAGTTGTTGTGTTTTTACTCAACTAATTCAAGTAAAGTGGTTATAACCTCCTAAAAAAACAATAACTGACCTGGTCTTGCGCATTGAGTTCAGGTTACTTCACTGGTATATGGCTGGGGGTGTGAGATAATGTATGTATGAATGTAATTCCTAGCCATACCTGTAGCTCCAGACGCACATGGCAATGTAAATGTTTCTTGCCCAACTGTTAGGTATCTCCAACTCTGGAGAATGGAATTTCTTAAGGTCTTAACCTTAAAACTTTAATTCAAAATTGTGTAAAATTTGTACAATTTACATGACTACAAAGAAGATTATTTTGCTCATCAAATCACTCCTCCAACAGAGCATCTGTAACACCCCTTCATCCATCTTTATCCCCAGCAATTAATGCACCCACCTGGAATAACAGTGATAGTTTTCAATGCCCGAAGGACTCGGAATGTTCTCAGAGCAGAGACGTTCCCCAAGTCCACAAATTCAGTGACGTATCTGACAAACAAGAATTATGAAGAGATGACTGGATTTATTCAGCTCGTAGTTCTAGGAATCAAACAGTAACACATGCCGCATAGATTTTCAGTGAATAGGTTTTCTCTCCATCCTCTCCTATTGCATCACAGCCACATTGTGAACAAGACAACAGAACACATGTCCTACAGCTTTGGTATTTGGCTATTTATTTAGATTCTGTGAATCATTCACTGAAACCATTTACTCTGTTAACAATCTGATAATTGTCCAAAGCTCATCTCCAACTTCCATGCAATCCATTGTACAAGCTCAAAGTCTCACAATGACCTCTCCCCCTCCCCTCCTTTGACCTATCACTCATACCATTCCTCAATAAACCATTCCCAGAGAATTTTTCAGAAGCATAGAGTGGTGATAAATCCCAAGATGCTTCCTCTTTCCAAATGTAGATCACAACTACTTATTGTCCAATATAGAGATGCTAGGAATGGAAACGTTTAAGGAACTATAGCTCAGTGTCTCAGGACTCGCTTGGCGCCACTGTCCCCTGGCACTAGGCAGTTGTCCATTATTGAATGCAGCTAAACTAAGCCAGAGATATCTGTGAGATTGGCATTGATGCCACTATCATATGAGGAGCAATAACTTTGTGGCATTACATTACAACAGCAAGGTTACCTCATAGGGGCTTGCAGACTATTAATGACACATATAGGAATAGACGTTAAAGAGAAGTTTATGTCAGTACATGATCTTCCGTCCTATAATCAGATTTGATTGTACTTCCTGATGCCAATCTGTCTCTTTTTCTTCCTAGATTTTATGCTTTATACAGATCAGAATCCATCGACTCCAATCACTGGATCACAACTTCTTGGCTATTACTCAAAAGCAAATTAACTATATTGTGAGTGTTTAGCATGAAGATAAAAGAGGACTAAGGAATGGTCACAAACAACTAGCTGAGCACAGGCTTGGCATTGATCACAGAGCCCTCTTGTATCTGTGTTGGACAGACCATACAAGACAGTGGATTTATTTACTAAGCCAGAAGTATTTTTCTCTTTTTTTGAACAAAACATTTCTATTTAAACTAACGTCCAATTAAAATGTACCCACTGTGGCTACATAATGTTCCCATGGTTACTTTAATTCTTCAGTCTGTGATGTACAATAAGGCTTTTTCTCAGAGGAAAGGACAACTGTGCCAACTGTGCTAATAAAATGGTCTTTGTGAATTAGGTTGTTTATTACTGCTATTCCTTTTGTGAATTGTGTGAGTTACAGATTCTTCCAATGGATATACAAAAGCACGGTGTTTCATGTCATATGTGCAGAATTCTGGAAAATATTTGCTCACTGAGGGAGCCTTCTGTAATGGAATTCCAAGCACTCTGCGTGAGGGGCGTAATGTAAATGAAAGTTGTTATTGGAATGAGAAAAACAACTTTTTCCATCAAGTTTCTTGCCCGTCAGCACAAACTCTCTCTCACTTCACACAATCACACACTTCTCCAGGGAAAGCCTTTTAGCCCATTGTCCATTGTCTTTCTACAATGTGAAGGTTCCTCTCTGCTTCATACTTACGCCATTACAATGACACAAAAATCAAGCCAGTTCCACGGGTCACGAAGGAAGGTGAAATTGTCTATGACAAATCCTCGGGCAAACATCTTTATCAATGACTCAAAGGTGTAGATGCCTGTGAAGGTATACCTGCAGACAGAGAGTTTCATACACATGCAAGTTAGAGGCCACCTGGTTATTGCAATCCCCAGAACACACCATATCATAGCATTTCAAACTCCTGAAACATTGTAATAAAACACATTTACAGAATAAAAGAGAGTTACTAGAATATAAAGCAAAACAATTGTGCGGGAATATCTCTTACACCATCAGAACATTCAAACTACTTGCCCGCTCAGTAATGAGCAGACTGTCTATCCCCACAGACTTCAGAAACATCAGAGCAAATACTTACTCCACGTTTTTAGTCCAGGGTTCAGGGTTACTCATTGTCATAAAGATGCAGTTTGTTAGAATGGTTATCATGATGAAAAAGCTAAATAAATTGGAAACAGTTAAGGGAAAGACTATAAAACATGGAAAAAACAACTAATAGTTGGAGGTGTCACTCAGCCCAGGTATCATCATCCTCTCATTCCTCCCCCAGCCCCGTTGCCCACAGCCTTAAAGGCAAAATGTCTGAAATTCCAACTTGTCGTAGCCTGCTAATCATAATCATATGTTTGAGTTAACTTGGTAATGTGACATCTACTTTTGCATGTTTAATGGCAGTACAAATCTATCATTGTGGAGAGAGAGGCTCTGCCAATGTTATCATTTTGTAAGTGTTAAACTTAACATTTGGTCTACAGACATTTTTTGATTCTCGTTCCATCAGAAAGGATATGAATGGATTAGGACTTTGATGGCTCCTCGTCTGAGGGGATGGAAAGGGCTCAGCAAGTAGAGAGCAGGGGTGGCACTGAATCGGAATATTGCCGCCCCCTTGTTTACAACAATAAACGTCTGGGGAAAAAGAAGAAATTATTTAGAACATAAAAACATAAGAAATGCTGGACAAAAGAAAACCAAGGTCCATCTAATTAGTGCAACAGTTTCAATGACTACACTGGTACCAACCAAACCATCCAAAAAAGCTTGGACAAACTTTCATTTCATTATTATTAAAGATCACTATTGCTCCTGCAGGGCATTTAATTTACTGTGTCAGTGCTGCCTGTCGTATCACCCTTCATGATTAATCCCACTTTACAGTTCTTTTATTAATAATTATAATTGTATGAAAATTATTTTTTAATTAATTGGAAGAGAATGTTTACAAGATAAAGGTTTGCAGCTACACCATGGAGAAAGGAGAGGATTATCTCAGTTTTCTCAGAGTACAGTGGATTGTCAAACCAGTCTCTCTTGTGCTTTTTTTAATCCTATTATTTCACGTTGGCTTTTTAACCAGATCAGTCTCAATAATGCTCTCAAGTTCATTGAGAAAATTTTCAGGATACAATTTATTTCCCACTCATAACATTGAACACCATCAACCTTTGTACTCTTCAGTATCAAGTGGTCCAAGCAGCCCCTCCTGGGATACCAATCAAACTTCATTCTTACCAAAGTTTCTGAGTCTTTTGCAAACCAGGAACCAGTTTCTTCTGAACACCATTAGCAAATGAGCCTGTCAGATCACTCTAAACAGAGCTCTGATATGCACTGTCCATGAGGTTATAGCAGACCCACAACAGTTCATGCACTGCTCGTTGAGAACATTACTTCATCCTATTCATTCCAGGCTCGATCTAGCTGTGGACATAGACTTACTTTCTTGTCACTGTAGAAAGGATCCAGGTCTTCCAAGGGTTCTGCAATGAGATTTGGAGGAATGTCTCCATAAATAAAAGGCAGGTTTTTTCCAGCCTCCAGGTCACTTTTTGGTTTCAAATCCACTGTCTCGATTTCCAGACCTTGTTTTCTCGCCTTTTCTTCTTCTTGCTGAGCAATTCTTTTCTCAATCTGAGCCAGAGACTCTCTGGTGAATGGGCGCAAGCTGGCAGGCCCCGGGTGGCTAAGTAGAGCTGCCATCTTCTCATTATGGAGCCCTCCCGGTTCGGTCGGTCAGCAAATTGCTACGAGTCACAAACAGAAACATCTTCAAACTGTATTGTATAATGATAATCCTTGCATTTCATACAGCGCCTTATCAATCATCAAGGCGCCTCAAAGTGCTTCACAGAATATACAGTAAAGTGAATTAAGTATTTTCTGAGATATAATACAAGGTCCCGTGCATGGTTGCAGCACCGCAGTCTGGGATCGGTTGGTGTATTAGGTTCTGTACTACAGGAAGCCATCCCAACTGTGAAGATGGTGCAGTAAATTAGCAAGTTAACTGAGACACCGTCCGGCATGGAGGGCACTTCTTGTTGTTGTTGTATGTGAATGTGAGTGTGTGTCAGTGCGTGTATGTATCCGTGTATACTAATGTGTGTGTACTAATGTGTAGCAGTTTGTGAGTGTGTATCGGCAGGCAGCCATTGCGATGCCAGAAACAGCACCAATTAGAAACACAAAAGCCATTCCCTCTTTACAGCCTAATTTTTATTTCCCCTTGACCTTGCTTAATGGAGACTGGCCACAATGTCATTCAGATCCATGAGGACTCCAAGGTACTGTTGAAGATTGATCTTAGCCTATTAATGACATTGGAGGGGAGACATGCCATTGAGGATTCTTTCCACTCAGCTTCCGATAATCCTGGGTGGACAAGTCGTGGCCAATAAATATATAGTGAGATATAACCAACTGTGCTCCTGCCTCTAGATCAGAAAGTTGTGGATTTCTTTCCCTCCCCCCACGTTAGGGACTTTGCTCTCACAGTTCAGACTGACAGTGTAATGTGCAGCACAGGTTGAATTACAAAGGCTATTTGTTTAGCCACAATTAAAAACAATTTTTTATAAATATGGATCAGAGCTTCATTTAAAAAATCCCCTTTTAAGTTTATATTGAGTGAAATATAAAGTACTTTAAGAGATGCGTTTTGTGGAGTTGGGATATTATTCAATGTGAATATGCAGCTCCAGTGATCACATGGACATCAGTGCACCTGTTGAAGATATTTCACCATCTAAGATCATCCGTGTTTCTCCTTCTATTTGTTTATTAAACTTCACCTTGTCAGTCAGTCAGTGTCAGTCAGTCAGTCAGTCAGTGTCAGTCAGTCAGTCAGTCAGTGTCAGTCAGTCAGTGTCAGTCAGTCAGTCAGTCAGTCAGTCATTCCCGATGTGCAGGGACTTTGAGAAATGCAATACGAAGCTTTCATTCCAAAAAAAAATGATTTGCAGACTTCCCATTTGCAACATTTCGTAAAAGTGCTTCTTGCATTTACGGTATTAATGTATGGGAGAGGTTACCTCAGAACTTCCTCTATTCCACCTGCCCCACCCACAACTCAACACCACCTCATTCCGCTAACAACAACAATTTGCTTTTGAACTCTGGAAGGCTCTGGAACTCCATCCCCCAGTGCCTTCGCCTTGCTTCCTCCCTTTCCTCCTTCAAGGCCGGTCTCCAGACCTTTCTCTTTAACCATGCCTTCAGCTCTCCTCTCGACTCTCTACCCCCTGCTCGCTCCCTCCCTTCCCTCCCCTCCCCTCACCCTGACCAGTTCCCCCCTGCTCGAGTCCCAACCCAACTGTCCAGCGCCTTGGGACGTCCTCCCGACGTGAAAGATTTTCTATAAATGAAATCTAGTTGATGTTGTTGTTGTTTTGTACAGCAGCCCTCACATAGAGTAGCGTCCCAGAGCGCTCACCTGATCCCCCACCCTGCCCTGGCTAACGATGCAGCTGTGGGATGTAAAAAGACAATTAAGGTTCCTGGGCCTCAGAGCCTGACAGGCAAGAGACTAAATCCTTGTCTCTAAACAGAAATAAATAAATAGCTTTATAGCAGAGAACACACACACACACAATAGGAAACAACTGATCTTTCAAAAAAAGAAAAGGAGTTGGACTGGAATCTAGAGTGGATTGAATGCCAGGCCAATCCTTTCCCAGTCCATTCCCAGTGCCTTCAAATCTCCTGCCTCAAACCCAGACCAATGTGTGTAGATGGAACACCTGGTGTGGGTGGAGAGAACACCAATCGATCACAAACCCACTCACATAATATTGATAATCCTTGCATTTAATACAGCGCCTTATCATATCTTCGAGACGTCTCGAAGCGCTTCAGAGAATACACTCTAAAGTGAATCAATTGTATATTTTGTGGGCGAAATGCGACAGCCAATTGCACATAGCAGTGTCCCCACAAACAGTCGTAGATTGAAGTGACCAAATTATCATTATCAGTAGTTTTTGGGGGCCTGTGGCTGTTCGTGTCTGGGAGCCACAGGTAAACATGGATTTGTACCCACCTGGCGCCACCTCTTTGCCAACTCCGCAAATATTCCCAACCCTGTAACCGCTCAGTTGGTGTAATTACAGCGCATTTCACTGCAGCTAATTAGCCACAGACTGGTGGCAATGATCTCAGGGCGCCGTCAGCCGCCACATATGTTTTTATGCTTAACTCTGACACACATGTAAACATGATCCGCTGGTTGTGGAGGCGCATTAGGGAGACTTTGCATATCTCACAACAAGTAAACGCGCACTTTTCTATTCACGCTTTTCCCCCTGGCCTGGGGGGGGGGGGGGGGGGGGGAGTAAAGTATTTTTTGTACGTGGAATCAGAGGATTAAAGTGACTTTGAGTCCGTTTTGACTCTCTCCCCCGCGCCTCTCCTCTCCTCTCCTCCTCCCCAGCGCGTATTCTAACCTTCCTCACTGATCTGATGAGATGTGAAATAAAGGACTGATAAACAGCTCAAGTAACCAACTTCCCTCCTCCCTCCCTCCCTCCTCCAGACACTGCGATATCCCTGAACATAGATGGAAAATTACCATTGAATCCATACTCTACTCTACATTCCCTTTCTCGCACGGGTCAGTTCCCCTAAAACCTGTGTCCCAAATAAACAGGTTATATCCAGCAGCAATATGCAAACTTTGTCAAATGGATCTAAATTACAACAACGCCCCCCCCCCCCCCTCTATCCACCAACTTTCTGTCTCTCTCGCTCTCTCACACACACAGCCCAGGCTTAAACATCTCAGCTTTAAGAGTCTATTTAACTTTCACATTACACAGAAATATTGAGACATGAGTTTCTTTTGAAGTGCTGTGTCAGATTTGGAATAAGTTGGTACTGATATTCGCACGCAGCGAATCTCACCAGACATCACCACAATTAAAAGAGCTTCCTTCATGTAACGAGTAGAATCCCTAATCTTATTATTATTATTCCAACCGCATTGACAGCCCCTGAGCGCAAAGACATAGTCTGGAAATCAGAGCAGATTTTGAGTTTGGAGGTTTCTGTGTGTCTGTGTGTGTCTCTCTCGCTGTCTGTCCCTGTGTCTGACTGCATCTCTGTCCCTGTGTGTGACTGGGTCTCTGTCCCTGTGTGTGTGTGTCTCTGTCCCTGTGTGTGTGTGTGTGTGTCTGTCCCTGTGTGTGTGGCAGTGTAAGTCAGGCTCAGTCCCTGTGTGTGACTGTGTCCCTGTCCCTGTGTGTGTGTCTCCCTCTGTCCCTGTGTGTGACTGTGTCCCTGTCCCTGTGTGTGTGTCTCTGTCCCTGTGTGTGTGGCAGTGTAAGTCAGGCTCAGTCCCTGTGTGTGACTGTGTCCCTATCCCTGTGTGTGTGTCTCTGTCCCTGTGTGTGTGGCAGTGTAAGTCAGGCTCAGTCCCTGTGTGTGACTGTGTCCCTGTCCCTGTGTGTGTGTCTCTGTCCCTGTGTGTGTGGCAGTGTAAGTCAGGCTCAGTCCCTGTGTGTGACTGTGTCCCTATCCCTGTGTGTGTGTCTCTGTCCCTGTGTGTGTGGCAGTGTAAGTCAGGCTCAGTCCCTGTGTGTGACTGTGTCCCTGTCCCTGTGTGTGTGTCTCTGTCCCTGTGTGTGTGGCAGTGTAAGTCAGGCTCAGTCCCTGTCTGTAAGGAAATCAGCGACAGCCCATGTTAAGCGGCTCCTCAGAGGTGACACAGAGACACAGACCAGTGATGAGCGCAGTGAGTTGGTTACCTGCTGTCAATCCGCCGATTCACTTTTCCTCGTAAGAAACTCGATAAAAAGTTCCTCCGTTTTGTTTAAACCCGAACGTGGGTACCCTGAGATCTGGAGGGAGGGAGAGGGAGGGAGAGGGCAGTGACATATGCCCAGAAAGCGCAGCTCGCAGTTTAGCGAAGTGCCGGAGTGAGGGTAACACAGTGACAGCTGCTGCTGACGCCGGAGACTGAGTGACTGTCTGAAACCCGATCAGTTTATTGCAGGTAAGAACTTGGCATTCACTTTACGCACTGAGATGTACAGCGAGAGAGAGAGGGGAGGGGCGGGGGGGCGGGGAAGAGAGGACAGAGGGAGTGGGGGCAGAGAGAGGGGGAGAAGAGAGGGAGGGAGAGGAGAGAGGGAGGGGGGGAGGGGGGAGGAGAGAGGGAGGGAGAGGACAGAGGGAGGGGGGGGGAGGAGAGAGGGAGGGAGGGAGGGAGAGAGAGGGGGGGGGGCAGAGAGAGGGAGGGGGGGGGGGGGGGGAGGGAGAGGTGGAGAGGAAGGGGATGGAGCGGGAGGGGGAGAGGCTCAGACTCCTCCTGTTTGTGCCACTGAGCAATTCTCACCATTAAGAACCAGTAACAAGTGTCGGAGTTGATTGACGGGAAAATATGGTTTTGATGGTAATATTTACAGACAGAAAAATATTGGATTTAACGTCAGACCTCCAGTCTGTGCCACCCACCACCTACAGGGTGGCCAGTTTTGCCCACAAAATACACAGTCATGGATTATTATTATTATTACTATTTCCAGGTCTCAAAGCCAGTGTGGCATGTGTGTAAATGAACACTTGTACCTGGGCCTTGTGCAAAGCACTTTAACGCTTAACTACCTTGAGACGCCCTCCTGACGTGAACGGTGCTGCACAAATGTAATTTGTTGTTGTTGTTACTCGTCAGGTCTCCCCAACCTCCCCTCCTCCCGCCCCCCCGTCTCTCCCTCCGCTTCCCAATGACAGCGCCCGTCTCAGCGTTTGCTGCAGAACTTTTACTTTTCAGTGATTTTATATTTAGAAAGCTGAATGTTTGATGCCAGCTGTCCCGCTGTACAGGGCTGTGAGGTATCATCGAGTATCTCTTACACATCGTGGATCAGCTGCCTTTAGCCACATGCCCTGAAAATCTGGCTTCCTGTGTCCGTCCATCCAGTCCAGTCCGTCCGTCTGTCTCTCTGACTCAGGCTCACACAGATTCAGTTTTCTCGCAAAGCCCCACAATCCGAGTAGTAGAGCAGGTTCCCGCCTGGTCCCCGCCTGGTCCCCGTAGGTTGACCTTTATCCTGATCTTGTTCAATCAATCGTCAGATATCAAATAAAAGTTCTATTCAGAAATTGCCTTTTGAACAGGGAACTTTTTCACCTCATTAAAAATGAAACACTTTTTTTGATCGGCTTGTGTCTTCTCCCACACCAAACTCCATGAGCCGATCACCCCCATCCTTGCCTGTCTCTAATCGCTCCCCATCCCCATGGAGGATAGAGTTAATGATCCTCATTGTCACTTTCAAAACCCTCCACGATCTTGCTCCTCTCTACCTCTGCAACCTATTAAACACCACACCAACCAATCTGCTCTGCGGGCACTGGGCTGCTTCATGTCCAGTGACGTTGGGCCTTTCTGCAGCCACCCTCTAGAACTCCATCTCGGAGTCCCTCTGTCTTGTCTCCTCCCTTGCCTCCTTCAGGGCCTGTCTCAGGACCTTCCTCTTCCATCGTGCCTTCAGCCCCCCACTCCCCCCCTTCGTGCCTCCCTACCATTCACCCCTTTTGACCCCAACCCTTAATTGTCCAGCGACTTGGGACTTCCTTCTGACATGAAGGACACTATGTAAATGTAATTAAAATTTGGCCAAAGTTGAGACAAAAAGAAAAGGATGATCATAACTTCTGCCAAATTGGGTGGAGGGGGTGTCCAGCCCACTCATTGCAGCACTTGGCCCTGGCTCTGCTAAGGGCATGGACATGGATGGGGGGGGGGTCTCAGATTGCCTGGTGGTGTGGCGTGATCATAGATAATCGCGTGTAATCACAGGCACGAGATCAGGCACTAAACACAATGTGGTCTCATTGCTCTGCCCGTTGTATATTCTCCCAAGGGATGTCACACCAGGTTCTGGATAATCCACTTGCTGCCTCCTGTCAGTTTGTGATGGGTCCAGACTCCAGGTGTGTGTGTGTGTGGTGTGGGGGGGTCAGGGCTGCTTCCCAATTCTCAAGCAAGAGAATTTCTCATACCTGCTCCCATTTTCTGAGTATTGTGCACAGCTGGCTGGCTCCCCACAAAATCATCTCCTGCAGTCAGTGCCTCTCAGGAGGGTTGAGCTGGTGAGTCCTTCTGTGTTAATCTGGTTTGTATCTCGGGGCATAAGTTCGGAACTAGTTAGTGATGTGGGGTGATTCAGGCCCTCCTTTGTCTGTCTGGTTTAGGGTATCTTGACTTCGGTGTTTTTTCCCCCTCCAGTGGGAATTTGCACCTCTTAAGAACAAAGAATTATATAATAATGGGTTATTCCTGGCACTTGCTGTGACGTGAGTAGCTGTTTCCAGTAAAGAGAATTATAATTTGTCAAATCTTTCCTGAACAATCCGGAGGGAAATTTATCGAGTGACTGAGGATGTTGTGCTTATAATTATCCAATATAAATATAATGCGAGCAGCTCAGACAGTGTCTCACGGCTGAGCTGGGGGCCTGTTCGCCGTTTGAAAGAGGATCAGGGTGTCAGCCCCAAACACAATGCAACTATACACATGGAGTCCTGCATTCGCCTCGCAAGCGAGAGGACCTGGGTTCAGTTCCCAAGCGGGGCGAAACCTTAGGCAAGTTTCTTTCCTCCCCATGCCTCTGTTTACCTAGCAGTAAGTAGGAACCCGGTTGTTAGTTGATTGATGAATCACATCAGAGCCCATGGGGTTATGGCGGGGCCATTGGCGGTGGAACGATTTGTGTTCTCTCACTCCGCGTTTCGATGTAACCACATCATGGTTGCACTTCACCAGAGACACAGAGAGAGATAAAGAGAGAGATAGAGAACACCAGGAGAGACAGAGATGGTAAAGCAACATGTTAGATTCTTGCACCAGGACCCCTGGGGGCTGACTCCATTCGAGGTAAAGTGGATGCTTTCGCTGTGTGGAGCTGCACATTCTCAGTAATTTAAACCCATGAGAAGGATGGCCAAGAAAATTAGGAGTGTTGGGCAGACACAATGGAAGGGACTTGTGTTGAAGCAGAATTTGGGAAACACATCAGTGAGGTAATGTCTGGGAGCACAGTGCCGGCATTACTCAGGGGGACACTAATTGGCTCAGGTACCACCTGTGCAGTGGTAACCTGACTAAAACTTTTACGGTGCTCTCTGCAGAATGATCCCAACCCATCGCTCGCCTCCAATCTCCCCCCCCACAAAATCACCTCCCAGCAATTCCCCCCACCAACAACAACCCCCCCTCCTCCCCCCCAGCCCCAAGGAGAAGAGGATGGCCCGCGGGTGGGGGAGAAGGGCTGTGTGTATGTGTGGTGGGGGTGGGTTGGGGGGGGTACTTCTGGACAGTGCTCGCGATCAGATAGTCTGTAAGTATAGCAATGGGAAGGCAGGTTTACTTCCTCCTTTATGACTTGGATTGCAAATGACCTTATCTAACACCAACAATATGTATGATCCACAGCTCCGGACTCCAGTGGCATCCTCACCTGTTGCAAGAACCGGAATTGTAAATATCAACCTCTCCAGTTAGTAAATCCAGGAAAATAACAGCAGGTAATTTTAGAACAAACAGTGCAGCTCAATGAATAAGTTGGGGATGAGCCAGTTACGACCAGAGCCAAATAGATAGAAGCCTCAAGGGACAAGAGAAAGTATGTAAAACTACAGTGGGTACGTATAAGACAATCTGATGTCACTATCTGGGCTGCTTTTAGAGATATCGTGGAGTGAAGGAAGGCACAGGTGGAAGAAAGATACACAGAAAGGATGAGCTGGAGTGGAGACAGAGCAGCAATATTTAGGGAAAGATATATTGTTGTGACTGAACAAAAGATAGGAGAAGAACTATTCAGGCAGCGACAACGGTGTAAAGAGGATCAGAGGATGAGAAGGTGAGCGGATGAGAAACTACAGTGATATAAGCCCTCATCGGGGTAGAGTGCACATTCCATTCCAGCCACGTAACATCCTGCACTTATTTAATTAATTTTATAATGTTTAATATTTTATTAATAAATACACTTGTGACAAATATGTTCAATGTGAATAAAATATTCTCTCTGTTAAACACTAGTGATGTGTTGGGTTTGCAGGCCGTTTCCTAACCTATCCAATTAACTAATTAAATTTGAAATTTTAACTTTAACTGAGCAGAATCTTGATTTAAGCTTTTCTTCTTTGTAAATCTTGGTAAGCAGGTTAAGGTTAACTCAGTAACTTCATCTGCTCAATGACAAAATGCTGAGAATTGTTATTCAGCATTGGGCTGGTATTGACGTCACTGGAATGCACTGTGTATAATTTGGTGCCAATCTCTCTTATTCCAGTAAATGAACATATAACATTTCACCCACAAACCATACAGTCTATTCACTTTACATTCTGTGAAGTGCTTTAAGACATCTTGAAGACATGATAAGGCGCTATAACAACGTAAGGATTATTATTATTAATATTATAACCTGTCCCAAATATCAACGTATAAAATTAGTGTGCTCCCCACTCTGTTCAGGAAGCAATGCAGTCAGAGCAAGAGAGGGAGAGAGAGAGAATGGCACTAGAATTACTTTTGCTCTTTCTCAAATTTCTTCTCATAAAGGTTTATCATACAATGGAACAAGTGTTTGATATGAATTTGCTTTAACAACAAGGGACCTAATAGTTACTGAGCTGCCTCATGATGTTTACAGACAGCTTCCTTCCCTTCTCCCTGATGGGTCAAAACATGCTACCAGTTAATGTGAGCCACCGTTCTCTCCTGGCAGCTGTTCGCTGTGGCGTGCTACTCGTTGTCAGTCTCCTGGCCACCAATGCCTCTGGCCACTCTCTCTCAGTTTCTCTTTCTGCTGTGCGTGCTCTTACTCTCGTTGCCAAGTGAACATTGGAGTCAAAACCAAGTCAAGAATATTTGAATACAAAATGAAACACTAGTCCGTAAATTCTAACATATGAGATAAATATTTAGCTGGGGACTTAAGTTTTAATTTAGGCATTTATTTTTGTAATTGTGTGTATCTACCAATGTATTATCAATCTCT